TGTCTCTCTCTCGCGCAGTCAAAGGCGTGAAGGATTGGGGGGGAAGCTCTGAGAGTTAGACGTCACTCCATCGTATTAACATTACTGCCACGCACTGCATGCCTCCCTACCAATGAGGTCTGTACCCAAGGTTTTCTTCTGGTGCTGTCTATTTCAAAAGAGAAAAGACCGCGCAGTGCACTCGTCAAGACCGGCCTCTCCACACCGCCGTTTTGCCCGTCAGATATCGTCAAAATGTCATAGCTATGCTCGGCGACCCTACTCCATCTGCAGTATGCAGAAAACTTTTTTAGCCCTTCCAGCCGTCGTCCCACAGTGTCCTCCCGAGCCTGTCTGGATCCCAAGGTCATCACCTCGTCTCAATCATACAAATCCGGCCTTCAGATCAACTCGAATCACTGTTCAAACACACGAGCCTCGGCCTCGGCACATGCGTCAACCTTGTCGGAGTGCTCAACACGTCAAAAGAATGGCTCTCGCAGAGCACGACTGGTCCCAGCACACTATAATCGGCGCGCGACCTGCTATAACGATACTAGCGTTCCCCCAGCCCTGTGACCTTGCCTGCAAATCTTGCGCCGGCACTACCACGCTTCTGCAGCCTGTTGGAACCATCTGAACCCGAGGACAGGGGTGAGATTCTATTCATGAACGGGAGGGGACCGAGTGTATCTGCGTGAGCGCCGTGACCTGGAGGCGCCCGCGTTGTGCGTTGCTCGATATACAAGCGTGCAGCGGCGGATAGTGGTATGGCGGGAAGCTCGGTGGGGATTTCAGCCCCATTCTGAACGAGTAATTCCGCCATAGGGAATGCCTTGACTGCTCCGGACGGCGGCGTGTCCGAATGGGACGAGACTGGGCGAGCTGGGTCCGCGGCGGCAAGGGCCATAAACACAGCATGAGTGTTCCTAGACCGGTCATGAGCGTTAACGTGTGCCCGTTGCGCAATTGCTTGCAGAACGCCTTGGATGTCATGTTTCTTGATCGATGTCAGCAGTGTGTCATCAGCACTGGTATACTGAGAAAGAGGTTCGACGTAGGCCCGCTCGACGTATTTTGCTGTAATGAACTTCAGCCGCTGATCTCGAGTTGAGGTCGGTGTGGGTTTCAGGGAACGATCCAAAACTGCTTCCCAGATCATGTTGCTGATCCTGTTGCCGACGAGCATCAGTAACTCGACAATATCGTTGGTAAAAGAGTGCACGTCCAAGGTCAACGACCGGATCTTCGACACGTGAGTGCCCAGTGATCGATGGATACCGCCGCACTCAATGCATAAAATGATGCCGAGATTGAGCGAAACCCATTCGACCTTGGAAGAGGAGCCACAGTCCGCGCAGAACTGGTTGCCTTGATCATTGTTTCTGATCTGGTCGAGTAGTTTCGAGGGGTTCTCATCGTAGCTGTTGCTGCTGGTCCTGGTGTAGGTCGGCCTAGAACCTACAGTGATGCGTCGCGACACACCGCTCACGTCACTTCGCAGAGAATACCCGTGTGGTCCAGATTGCGAGGAGCTTTTGCCGAGTAGAGCGTGGCCAAACTCACGTACAGACTCCCTTGCTCCCAACTCCTTTCGAACTTGCTGGGGTGCTTGACCGCCAGCCTCGAAAGCACTTTGAAGGGCATTGTTGATGGCATTGATCCAGGCATTCATATCGTCTTCACTTGTGGCCTGGTAAACCCGTTTGAACTGTGGCGTAATAACCTCGAAGCAAAACCTGCGCTCTGCATCCCGTGCGATTCGTACTGAAGCCATACGCAGGTCGATTGGGTCGCGATGTAGATCCAACTTGTCTTTCCAATTGCTGTATTCGGACAGCTTCCCTTGATCAAGCACGATCCAGAACTTGTGCCACGCACCCTTCGGGTCGATGTGGCTATTGGGTTTACTTAACGCCCACAACAGTCCCTCTTTGCGGTATTGCCCCAAAGAACTCTTGTCGCTAGCTGATACCGAGGTTTCGTCAAGGTCACGAATGCCCTTGAACTTGCTCGGAGTTGGTGCTAACGAGTTGCCACTTGGTGAAGTTGATAAGGTGGCGTTTAACGGGACATTTGAATTCGTTGTGGGCGACAGCGTTTTGATCGATGCATGGCCAAATTGGGAGCTGCTGCTGTCGGCCCTGCTGAGATCAGTGTCGGAAGTATAAGCAGTATACCCATTCTGGCCCGGGACTTGGGTGGAGACGGCGACGGCAGGAGGTTGGTAATGCACCTCCTGTTCCGCAGCCACCGACCCGTTCTTCTCCAGGTTCCTTCGCTTTTCTTCTCTTTCCGTCCTTTGCAGCTTATATTCCTTGTCAGCAGCAGAGACTTCCCTGACGAGGGCATCCAGCTGTGGCGTGAGGTTTTCCACCTTTTTCGCTGTGGCAAGGAACGATTTCGCCTGGCCATCCGCATATTTTGTGAGCTGTGACAAGAGTTCTTGTTCCTTACGGCCACCATGCAGATCTTGCATGAAAGTCGAGTAGTCAAATCGTTTCAACTCAAAGTTCTTCCTCTTGCTCTGGTACTTGGAGTCGCTTTCTGCACGCTTCTTGTCCTTGAGTGTATCCTGCCTCTGGCCCAGATAGCGGCCAACATAGGCATAGTAGTCTCGGCTTTCGTCGTCGAAGTCCTTTTTCTTGGCTTCGACCTGCTTGATGTCCATGTTATACAGCTTGGAGATGGGATCGATGATCTGTTTCTGCAACAACGTGCTGTTGCCCTTCTCATACTTCATGATATGCTGGGCTATATTTGTGAAGTAATGGTCGAGAGCGGGTTTGAAGGCCGTGGCGCTTGAATTCGAGGCTTCCTGGAGTGCTCGTAAGAAATCAGACATGGCCTGATTGCACTCGACTTGGGCCTGCTGTGCAGCTTCGGCTTTCTTTAAGACTTTCTTGATCTGCACTTTCATGGTGCCGGTCTTTTGCTCAAGAGCTTTCATGGTGGCCCGGAAAACTGGGCCGTCATCAACCGCGCTGACGTCGTCCCCGGGACGCGGCACGCACTGAATGTCAATCACCGGCATCGCAGGCGTCGATGAAGGGGCGATAGAGCCGAAATCAGCGGCGTGTACATGAGGCGAGGGCGGGTTGTGTTGATCCGAAGGACCTTCTGAATCGCTGATAGCGGACTGGTATGATTGCGAGGACGGCATCCTATGCCTCTGTGGGAATGCCGGGATATCCAGGCTGGGTGAAGCAAGGGGATGGCCGTTGGCTGTGGCCATGTTCTGGACCCAGAAGGTGAAGGACGCGAGTGTGTTGAGCCTGTGGGCTCTGGAATCGTACTCGAGGAAACTGCAACAACTGCGCCACCCTCCGCCCTTGTCTTCTTGGGGTTTTGGAGGCTTCCACCGCCAAGTCCATTCGTAACTTACGGACGGACTGCCCCGGGTTCCAAAATCACCAATAAATTGCACGTTGGAGTTCTTGTGTAGATTGGGGTCGGCGTGGAATTCGCGCGTCACGAGGGTATCCAACTCTTTGGCATTGTGAGCGTACGCAAAGGTCAGTCCGGTGACGGCGGCATCGAGCGCTGGAGTAGTGGTGGAGGGCGTCGCGGGCAGAGGACCGGAGTTCTGTCGAGTTACAAATGTAAAGCGGATGTCAAGTTCATCTTCAAGGTCCAGCCTGGGAAGAAATGACAGCGCCGATGCATCAGGATCCTGTACGACGATCAGAGAGTGTCCCCCAACGCAAGAACGCTCCACCGACCTGTATGTATGAAATGGGTTTGTAATCGCTGCTGTCTGGCTTGCCAATAAGACGGGTCGCCGGATATGCATTTGGTGCAATGCTCAGAAGTACTTTGCGTCGGCCATTGCTGACGACGATTGAACTGATAGAGACTAGAGAAGTCAGCCACTAGCCGCTGAGGCAAGACAACGGCAGGACATACAGCGCGCTTGGTCCTTCAAGTATAGCAAGGCGCCCTCGTCAATTCTGCTCCCAATGTTTCCCATCGCTGACGGCCTTAGGGCAGGCGTGACAACTAGAATGCGCCAGGATGGGCAATAGAACGGTTAAGGGTGGCTTGCTTGGCTGGAGGGGTTGTCAAAGATGACGCGCGAGGTGTCAATGCTGGAGCAAATGCAGGCGAGAATGAATGCCGGACCACTAATGCTGGTGTTACGAAGTATGGACGCTGGTCAAGAGTGAAAGAGGAATCTCGAGTGACAGGCTTCGAAAGAGGGAGGATTTGTCGCAGTGGTTGGTCGCAGTTGACGTGTGCCTGGCTGGCTCGCTGCGCTGCGCTGCGCCTTGAGATGTGAAACGGGCGAGCGCGAATCTGTAAGACCAACAAGCGAGGAAGGCCGATGCGGTGGGGGCACGCCAGTGGCCAGTGGCCAGTTGACGCGGGCGGTGGCCCTCGACCCCCCGGACTCTGCCAAGCCTTTTTAGTTTCAACTCGTCCATCCAACTCGCAGCCTCAGTGGCCAGCCAAGCCCGCTAACATCTGCCACAGCTTGTGCCTTACTCATACGGAATACGGAGTACTGAAAGCCAGATCCCGCCTACTGGGTAGACATGGACGAGAGCCGGACAGCGACGTTGTCATGGCTGGCAATAAACACTGAGGCTTGGAATCCGCATGTGATCAGGATGAGAAGGTTCCGAGCATGAAGTCTTGTGAGACATTCGTCATCGCCACTTGCTCAGCTCGCTTTTCACAATATCAGCCTGACTATTCTCTAGGTAGGCAGCAGCGGATTAACATGGCCAGGATGCTGGCCAATGTCATGTGTGTTGATGCGAAGGGCGAACAATTGCATTGCCTCTAGATTGATTTAGCCAGTAGCAGCTTTCATGGATGACCTTTTACCAGCAACCAGTATTACCCGTCACAGCGACGTAGGCATACTTCTTTGCCTGCGGCTGTGGGTTTGGGGCATGTGGCTCGTCCTTTTCCATGCTCAAGAAGCGGTCCTGCCAGAGGATTTCAACTGGCGTATGCATCATCAAACACAATGTCTGCAAGATCCAGTCTAAACGCGTTCGACAGCCACAACCATCTCATGCCTCGTGGGTCATCGTCTTGAACACCCTTTCCATTACGCCAAACCGCAGATCCCACACGCGATCATGGTCCGCCCCCTTCACTGTCTCGCTCGTAAACTCCACGCCGTCCACATCCCTCCAGCACGCCTCGAACCACCTGTTCCCTTTATCGCCCGCATTGCCAATCATGTTGTCCTTTTCCGCAAAGAACACGTCCACCTTCAGCGTCGCGCCCCCAACGCCGCGCACCGCCTCGGCCAGGCGCGGTGCCAGCACATCATAGTCGCCCCAATCCGACCATCCGTCCTTCTCGACCCCGTTGCGGAGCAGCACCTGCGTCTCCTGGCCCAGCCCGCGCACGCTACCGGCGAAGACGCGCTTGCCCACCCGGTCGCGTATACCCTCCTCGAGGTCGATGTCCGGGCCCTCGCAACCCGTGGGCTTCGCCTTGGGCCAGAGCTGGGGTACGCTGCCCGAGACGGCGGCGCTGACGCCCAGTGCGGGTCCTAGAGTCGAGTTGACAAGCGTGGCCATTTTGTCGGTCTGGGCGACCACCGAGCGCGGTAGCGAAGAGGCCAGCGACCAGATGAGCACGCCCGAGTGCGACGAGTGGACCCAGGGGCCGGCGATGGCGATATAGGGCCGCGCCGGGTGTAGAAATTGCGGGTAATGAACGGCGAAGTCGAGCCCGAAGACGGTGCCGCCGCTGTGGCAGCCTATAGAGACGTGCTTGATGCCAAGGTGGTTAAGCAGGGCGGCAATGGCTTCTATAATGCGAGTCAGCAACGTGTATTCCCTAGTAGTATCAGTCAGGGAATCTATCTAAGTTGGGCGACTCACCCCTCCAAACCTCGAGCAGCCTCTCAGCCGGCACGCTGTCCGTCTTACCAATGCCCGGGCGTTCTGCGTTCACGATACGGACCTTGTACCTCTTCGCCAACCCATCCTTTGCAGCATTGTGCAGGCGTGAAGACATGAGCGGTCCGAAGAACAGGAGCACTTGCTCCTCACCATGGTCGTCGTGGCCATCTTCGCGGTGATAGCCAAAGTCGGCGTATGAGACCTGAAAGGGTGTTGTCCGGCCGCGCGATGGGTCGGCCGGCAGCTGGAAGGTCCGGTTGAGGCGGGGGTCGTTGATGTAGGCGGTAAACTCTTCTTGCGAGAGCTTCTTAGCTGTGGTGGTGGGTTTAGTGGTGGTTCTAGAGGAGGCTTTCGTTGCTGTTCTTGGAGACATGAAAGACATATCTAGTAGAGGCTCGGCGAGAAGGTCTACGTAGCCGATCGCTCATGCTTCAAACTGTGGAGCGTGGAATTGGTGCATAGCGAGAGCAGGGCGGCTTGCGGCAGTCAGTCAACTGTTAAGGACCCCCAGGCACCCATCTGAAGAGCCATACGTTCTTGGGACAAATGCACGAACTTCTGCGACCGCTGGTGAAGAGGTTTGACGATAGCACACCAGCTACTGGCTTGGGGAGTCAAGCCATTGTATGCTATGAAATGGCGCAGGGAAGATTGAGCATCTGAATACCTAATACCTAGGTACTCCGTACAAACTGGTCTGGTATCGCCAAGACGTTACTCAGCCAAACTGAACATGGCTGCGGACGCCAGGGATAAAAGCGGCATGGCCGGGCATCGCACGTGAGCTCCGAGCAGCGTTTCCTTAGTGCCTCATCTTTACCTCGTGCGGAGCGGCTGCCACGCCAAAATTTCCGCAACAACTGCCAAGAAGCTCAGGTTCTCATGATACGCAAGTCACCTGCAGACCGTCGGCAGCAGGCATGTTAACGGCATGATAGAGGCCGCGCGCAACGGATTCTGTCTCTGTCTCATCAGCCGACCTTCGCTCTCTCACGTTGATGATGACTGCAAAATCAGCTAAAGAGTCCCAGAATACGGGTACTCCGAACCAAACGTGAGAAGCCGCTCCGGTTCCTGTGCTGGACTCCCTGCTGAGAGCTGTGTAGGCTGTTCGTCAAGAACCTCCCTGAGAAAATCAACAAGAATGAACTCAAACGCGCCCTGTACATGCTGTTCTCCACGTATGGACCCGTGCTCGACATCGTTACTAGCCGTGTTGGGGCCAAAGGCCAGCACATGCGAGGCCAGGCACACGTCGTCTTCCGCGATATTCAGACAAGCACGCAGGCTATGAGGGCGTTGCAAGGGTTTGACTTCTTTGGCAAAGAAATGGTACGAGTGCACACTGCATATCCGGGTGAAACACACGTTAAACTTATGTTGCAGGCGATTGCCTACGGAAAGGGCCAGTCGAACATTATTCCCAAGCTTCGCGGAACCTTCGAACCTCCAACTGCTGCGGCGACCGGCGCCCCCGAGCAGACGGCATTACAAAAGTCCATCTTCAATGCTCCTCCGGGTGCTGCAACCAGCACACCGGTTGAGAACGGCACAAAACCGACCGAGACGCCAGTGGATACAGGCCCACATGGCATAAAGCGACCACGAGAAGAAGTGGAAGAGGAGGACGACAGCGAAGTTGAGATGGAGGAAGATGAAAGTGATGCGCCTATGGAGGAAGATGACGAAGACTAAGACAACCACACCCTCAAGATCGACAACCACTTCTCAGCAAAACGCCGTACGACAGCTGTGCCCTCGAATGGACGACAGCGGCCCGGAATGACATGGCGACAAGGTAATGTCGAGGGAGACCGCACTTGTTGCGGGCAATAGAACAGGTTGTTGAAGTTCTCTCGCCTACCTATGAGCTCAAAAGCTTACTAGGGATATGCAGGCCCACAGCCGAACCGATCAGACCGAGCCAAAGGATCAGGTACTCGTCCGGTGTGGGGTCGTGATCGGGCTTCAAGACCGAGAGTGCATCTTGCGTGTTGCAAGGATGCAGGAAGAAGGATGGCAGATCTGACACTGGGTGGTGCTGCCGCGAATCAGCTAGCTTCCGCGACCCGAGTTGGACACCACTTACTGCCATGCTTATGCCGCCCAGGACACCTACGCCACGCAACGGTGCGCTTGAAGGCTGCGGGACCAGTTGCTCATATATCTGATCGAGCGTTATCGGCCGTTTCTCCGGTCCGTGATGGCATGAAAACCACAGGACCGGGACGCAATAGGTTGGCGACAGAATGACGGAAAAGTCCACAATGAGGCAGGTGTCCTCTAGACACTTCGAACGTCGCTACAATATATTAGCTCGGGGCGCAGGAACGGCGCGCTCAATCATGGCCCAGCGTACTCGTACAGTGTCTTTGATTGAGGAGTCTTCCACCTCATCCTCGACTATGTTCTCGAAATCTTCCTTTCCTCCCACCTCTCCTGTGTTCGTGCCCTGATCGCTAGCAAGCCGACGACTCCCACTGTGTAATAAGGTATTCCGTCTCTGCCTGATTAGCAATTCCTCCCCACTCCATCTTACGCTCAGCCAATCCGTGTCACTAATGCTGTCCGCACTCCTACGCTCCAGCGCCTTGCACGCTTTGCAAAACTCGTCCTTGGTGATGGCGGGAAACGCCTCAAGTGAGCGCATAGATCAACAACAGGGGAGAGGCCCAAGTGATCATGGATCCAGAATGGATCGCTGTACGTAAAGATGGAGGACTGTTCATCTCAAGTCTTTAGAGATATCAGATTGAATCTAATTTGGACATACTCTACGGAGTACTGTGTACACAGTAGAAAGTGGAAGACGGTATGACGGATGAGGCTTGTACGGAGTACCTCGTACGAGCTACGAACTGTGGAAACAAAATAGCCAAGACGACTGGAGTGTCACGAGTGTTCGCCCCGGCGTGCCCCGCTGCCTGGGGTGTTCGTCTGTGCTGTGTCAAAGGAAAACCCTAAGTGGGTGCCTAACACGTGCATCACGCGCACAACCACGTGCCTCATCGAGACCATACGTTAGCCCTCAATCTGGAGTACGAGGAACGGAGTACTCTTGGGTTGATGGCAGCGCCTACTAAAGCACGTACCCAATCAAGCAGATGGCCGTCGCCCAGCGAAGATACTGACGTGGAAGTGTCAGCGGCCTTCTTCGCCTCTCGTGACATCCGTCCACTCGACCCGAATTTGAACCTCACAGACGGTAAGGAGTAGCGTGACCGTGGTGGAAAAGATATCCGCGTATGTGCGTACCTACCGGACAGTGCGTACTCACCATCCAGGATTCTCCAGCAGTGTAGCCACCGCGACCCGCACAAGCCCTCTAATAAGTTTTCAGAATAGGCTCCGTTTTTCACACGGTTCGGGTTTCAGTTTCACTTCTCCATGGTCAGCGTTTGGGTCATGTCATAACCATGCCTATTACAAAGAGTATGTACTCTATCGATCTTAGATGCAAGGTCAAAGGAAAAAGCCATTAAAACTATATACAAGAAGGATCGTCCAGCTCGTCGATACAGGGCGCGTCCCCCCACCTCATGCTCCACTTGGCAATGCACAAAGGTGTTTTGGTATACTTGTCTAGGGCTTCCCGCTGACGGGCGGGCCGTTCAGCTTGAAATATCCAGGCTCCAAGGTCTGGAAGACGCCCGTGGGGTCGTACTTGGCGGCGATGCTCTTCAGCTTGGCCTTGTTGGTGGCGCCGTAGCTGGCGATGACGTCCTGGAACTGGCTCGCGTAGTTCATGTAGATGTAGTCTTCAAACAGGCCCATGGTCTTGCCGAGCGCGACCGTGCGGTCGATGATGCGCTGGTTGGTCTGGAGGATGCGCGTGTCGTCGGCCGGGTTCGTCCACATCATGTTCATGTTCAACAGGAGGTAGGGCCCGTTGGACGCCGGCAGGCCCAGCGGGTTGCCCCCGTTCTTGGACATGGCCGCCAACTGGCCCTGCGTGATGACCTGCAGGGTCGCGGCGGGGACGAGGCCCGCGGCGTCGCTGATGCCTTGGATCTCCTCGAAGAAGATGTCCCGGACCGAGGCGACGTGGGCCTTGTTCAGCTTGTACGTGGCCGCCCAGTACGTTTCGCGCAGGCCGTCCGGGTTGCTGGCGTTGAACTCCTGCGTCAGGTCGACGAGGGTGCGGACTCTGGTCGTGTCCGAGATGGCCGGGATGGCAAGGTACTCGGAGAAGATGGGGGCGTTGGCCACGGGTTTGGCGTACTGCAGGTCGGCAGCCGCGACCTTGAGATCGGCGGATGGGACGTAGGCAAAGGAGAGAATCTGCGCGGCGTTGGGATCCGAGGGCGAGTTGACGCCCACGTTGTAGAAGGCGTTGACCACGGCGTCGAACGAGTCTTCTAGGATGACTCGGCCGCCGCCCCACATTTGGCCGCCGGGCAGGGAGATGGCGTTCATGGTGAATTTCGAGACGATGCCGAAGTTGTTGCCGCCGCCGCGAAGGGCGAAGAAGAGGTCGGAGTTTTGGGTCGGGCTGGCGGTGATGATGAGACCGGATGCGGTGACAACTTCGTAGCTGGCCACATTATCGCACGCCCAGCCGTAGATGTTGGAGAAGAACGAGATGCCGCCGCCGGTGGTCAGGCCGCCGACACCGATGCCGGAAACACGGCCGCCGATGACGGTCACGCCCGAGGGCTGCAGAGCGGTATACACGTCGAACCACACATTGCCGGGGCCGACATCGACGGTCTTCTTGTTGCCGGAGAGTTGGACGGTGTCGAGTCTTTCTAGCGAGATGGTGATGCCACCTTGGATGTTGGAGGCGCCCGCAAAGGCTGCATGGCCGCCGGATTTGGCGGCGAAGGGACACTGAGTAAGTCGTGAAATCAAAATCGCTATCGATATCGAGGCTGCATTCGATGGCTTGAATATGCAGAATGGGTCGACGCTCCCTTGCTGGACGGACCAGTAACCCTCCGTGAAGGCATTGTAGCTGGCGTCGTTTTGCTTAATCAGCGAAGAGCCGCCAAAGAGAATCTTCAGCGAGTCACACTGAGGAAGAAAGAAGTTAGTCAAAGGGTGGCCAGAAAGGGTATCCGATGAAGGACCATTCGGGATAACTCACGGCTATCGAGCATCCAGCTGTCGAGGACCTCGTGGCCAAGGACTCCAACTCTGGCAACGCGGAAATATTGACACCTTGGTCAATCAGGGCGTCGGTCACGTTGAAATCAACCGGCTCGAAGGTCGAGTCCTGGGCTGACACCGACGCCACCAGGCCCAATGCAAGGGCAGCGGTATAAGCAGAAAAAAGCATATTGGCTGAGAGAGTGAAGCCAAGAGACAGAATTAAGAAAGGCGTAGAGCGAACTGCAAGGGCAGGTGATTGTGATCTTCGCTCGACAGCTAAAGAACCGAACACATGCAAGAACAAACACGAAGCGAACAACACTGGGTTCGAGAAGGAAAAAGCAAGGTACTTAGGCTACTTTCTGCAGCTTAACATGCCTGATGTGGAGTATGTTTCATTAGGCCACGTGGGTGAAACCCTTTTGATTGATGTTGCCGGAAGGAGATTCAGCAGATGAGACTGTACAATCAAGCCCTGGACTATAGACAACTTCAGGCTCACTAACACAGACCAAGTCAGTAAAACCGCACAGCTACCGCACAGCTGCCGCGTACTAAGGGGATCTATTGAATGCCCAAGCTGTAGTGACCTCGTACCTCGTATACTGTACTCCAACAGAGTCAAGGCGGCAGCCGTTTGGACTCTGCGTGCGATAACGAGGTCCCACGGTTGCGTCCCCCTGAACCGGCACTCGAGCGACGAGCAACAAAGCAAAGAGGTGTTGCACCGCAAGCGAAATTGAACCACACTTCGATGAAGGATCCGCTGGGTCACTACACAGTAGCGTGAACGTTGTCAGGCCCCAGGCACCGAAAACAACTACTGTGCACAGTAGTACAAGACGACACCAGGAGAAGCGCAGCAATCGGCTCTCGAGGCTGCAGGAAAGTTGCCGGATCTTCAACGGCGTGCTGTGAAATGCAGCACTGTCGATCTCTGACCTGATCGGAACTAGTCGAAAACCGGGGCCCGGGGTTCGGATCGCGGCCACGCTAGCCTGTTGTAGCTTAGATTGTCGAGCGTGAAATTTCCTCTGCAACACTGCGGAAAAAGACTTTTGGGCTAACTTGCGGTCGCTTTCCACCTGCGACGAACAAGCCGACCTCGTACCCATTCCACGCCGTTCCCGAGAAGATCCCTCTGTGCCGTCCCGACCCCGAGCTGTCTGCCTTCCTGGGCAACTTCCCTGGGCAACTTCCCCAGGCAATGCTGTCTTCTCATATCACCAGGCTGGTGTGCAGCATCGGAACAAGGTCTCTCAAGAGCCTTCGTCCCATAACCTGCTCTGGCGGCAGAAGAGCTATTGACCACGACTGTGTCCCAAGGAAGCCCACTCAGCGGACTGATCGCCGGAGTTTTCCTACCCAGCATGCAGGAGTTTTGAAGGTTTCCAATGCCTGCGGTCGATCGAGCTTCCCGGGAGGGGTGGCTCCTGGCCAACTCGAGCTTGGACGACACTAACAATGATCTTTGCCACAAGCGATGTGACTAACCAGTCGCCCAGCACCGAGCCCAGGTCCAGGCGTCCTTCTTGCCGCACGGAAACAGTTTGGTCATCAGTATCCCTGATCCAGTTATATGCATCTCGAGACGCCGTTGTGGCGGGGAAGCTGGACTCGTCGTAGTGCCTCACATCGTGCCTCACCATTTTCGTTCGCGTACCACTCGCTTTTCCTACCATGTTTCATACGGAAAGCTTCTTGTCGAACCGGTTTCGTGCCTCGTGGGAGATATATCTAATATGTGCTCCGTAGGGACGACAATCTTTTCCTCCACGCGGATGTGGGAACCGCACGAGGCTCTATCCTCCCACCCTCCTCTCCATCTTGACCTCGTGGCCGCTGGGTTCTGAGGTTCCCATTCTGCCCTTCCCACAGGCGAACGTTTCGCTGTCTCGACACCGTCTCCGCCCACGATGTCGTCCACTCAGAACTATGTCACGGAGAAGCAGCTTGTTGGGGTGGGATATGCCATGATTGGGGTCACCAGTATCGTCTTCGGCGCGAGAACGTTGATCAGAGTCAATCAACCGAAAAGATTACAGGCAGACGACCTCTTCCTCCTGCTGGCCTATCTCTGCTTCCTCACGTTGAGTATACTGTACATCGTCCTTGCTCCGACCATGTACCGTGTCACCGATGCCTCCTCGGGACTCACGCCGATATACCCGGAAATCTTGTCGGACTCTTTATTCATGATCAAGATCTTCTTCGCCAACACTATGATTTTCTGGTTCGCGCTGTATGCCGTCAAATTCTCCTTCCTCTCGCTGTACCGACGGCTCATGAAGGGCCTTCGCGTGTACATGCAGCTTTGGTGGGCGGTCGTGGCGTTCTGCGTCTTGGTATGTACCAGCCCAGCGGGAGTTGATATCAATTGCCGAGCTGACTCCCCGATCTAGACATTGATAGGTTGTGTGATTTCCAATTTCACCAGCTGTCACAGCATGCACGCGTGGTTTACTCCCGGCGAGTGTTCTGAACGGCGGGACGTCCGCGCTCAAATAGCCTCCTTATACTATGCCTACGCGGTAGATGTTATCTCGGATCTTTTCAGTAAGTTCAGCGCTCCATCTCCTCTCTGGACGCGTGAATTGTGCTAACTTGACGCCCTCCACCTTCAGTCATGTTCCTGCCCCTACGTCTGATCTGGAATCTTCAACGGCCCACGTCCCAGAAAGTCGGGATTGGAGGTCTCTTCTGCGTCGGTTGGGTCTGCATTACCTTCGCCACCATTCGCGTGGTCCAAATCGGCGTCAAGGCGAATAACAGTTCGACGCCGTCCTCATCATGGCTCGCCCTCTGGGCTATCGTCGAAACTGCCGTCACTGTCGTCGTCGGGTGCTGTCCCGGCCTATATTCGAAAGCCAAAGAAGTCCACTCAACGCGCAAGACGTCATCCAAGAGGAGCGGGTTGCCCCAAAACTACTACCACGGGAGCCGTGGGTACGAGAAACAGGGGACCGGTGCAGAGGATGACGGCAAGATGGACTTTGAAACCATGGTATCTGGGAACGGGCGGTCGTACCACGCCGTCACGACTGGTGGCACGCATCAGAGTATCGAGATGAAGAACATGCCCATCAAAGCTGCCAGCTCACAGAGCACCCAACGGGGAGAAGGCACCAATGGCACCTTCTGGGAGGGCGACGAGACGTCCAGTCAGGAAGAGTTAAATGGACACAAGCACATCTATGTGACGAACAGCATCGAGATCAAGGATGAGGACGAGTCGATTCGTGAAAGTAGCCGGAAGGATGTCGACTTTGCGAAGAGCGTTGTCTGAAGCAAGGGGAGGTGTATGTCCCTTGATTGCAGTTACAAGCAGCTTCCTGTACAAATGTATGATAACAACGGCTGGATGTGAATGATAGATGACGTGGTCCTGGTCCTGTGCCTAGTTGCTAGGGTGGCAGTCGTGTAGCTTAGCGCTCTATTTCAGGAGAGCATCGCATCTGTCGATCCGCAAGACTACAGCGGTGAGACGAACCCGTGAGAGCACCCAGTACCCGACCCGCCTCCCATGCGCCATACCCTAGGTGCCGGGTGCTATGTGCCATCTACTGCACAGACCTGCTGTTGCTGCCTCGTGCTGACTAATGACACCAGCTCTTCCACCGACCAGCTTCAGGGATACCAATAACTCCGTACTGTCCACCGCTTGCCGGACCGACAGTACATAAGCTGAAAACAGCCGTCGAGCCTTCCTTGGACCGCAGAGTTCCCCAAATATTGCATGACCGCTTGCCTGGCGTCAAGGCGTGTATCAGCTCGGTCAGAATAATGCGACTTATCTCTCCAGCATTCGCCATGGTACTCCGTACTCAGATTCGACAATACGTACGATAACATGAAACCGCGATGTATTACGGAGTACATTCCTTTGCAACCGCACCAGGAAGTGTGGCCGCCTGGACGGGATCAAACACATCAGTTTGTAATCAGGATGAGATTCCTGTTATAACATGCTAGACGTGTGGTGATAGCTGAAATTGGGCCCTCCACACCAGATTGAGCGTACACAGATTACTATGGATCAGCTAATAATCTCCTGTCTCATATTGGGGAGCATATCGATGCACTCAGTCAGTCAGCCTGCTGGCTGGCCCCCGTTCGCCGCCGCGCACTTGAGGGAAACATGATATCGCTGCCAACCTTTTTCGCACATACTACCGGCCTCGTGAGTAACAACCATGGCTGGCGCGTGATCGAGCGCTTGAGAGGCTCGAGAAGCAGTATTGCAACTCTGCGGGGGAATCGCAAGCACAGCAAGGAGCGCCGTCTAGACCCAGTGTCGAGACTGGCGGATCGAGTGATCGGGCTGCCAGTGATCGGGCTGCCAGTGAAGATTCGCGAGAACAGCTAAGGGCACCGTCTAGAATCAGTGTCGAGACTGACAGATGCTGTGGCCGTTCTGCGAGCGCTCGGCGGACTCAGCAACGTGGGCGGTAGGCGCCATTTCGTTCAAGTCACCGAGAAGGCGCGATCTGAGACTCAGATGAAGAAAGGTTTGTTCATCGCGCCGCATCCGCTCAGCCGGCGCCGTCGGCGTGAGACAATCCCAACTGGGACGACGTGTCGACAGTACCAGCAAAGCATGGGTGGCGGAGTCAGACTGGTTCGCAAAATCACAATACCAGATCGGGTGCCGGCGTCGAAGGCATTAAATATGGAGGCTTCACCCTCGAAGATGGCGTCGTCAAGGTACCTCGACCTTCTCGTCCCGTCCCGCCGTAATGTCCACCACCTCCATCCCCACGCCGATAACCAGAACCCTGCAAGCACGGTCACACGCTTGGATGCTGTGGCCTTGAGCTCCGGTAGCATACCGAGTGTTTTCATCCACCATCTCAAGTCCACTCACATCGGCGACACCTGTCCACGCTTGTCCCACGAGCTCGACCTGCACGGCTTCAAACAACACATCAACCTCGGTATGTTCGGAGGAGCTGACAAACGCTTTCTGAAGATTTATTTCAGCCCTCCAGACCTTGACACGTTGGTCATTTGCCACGGTGATGACCCACGCTGACCAGCTCTTGGGACCACTGGTAAGGCACACGATCTTCAGCGCGGTGAGAGCGGCGGCGTGGGCGCTGGGGATGAGGATCGTTCGGAAGCGATGGTCCGCATCTTTTTTACCGAGCCTCCTATCTTCAGGATCAAGTGACGGTCGAGATGAGGAGCTCATGAGTGTCAGAGCCAGTGCGTTATCGTCACCGCCTGTGGCAACGAGATGACCCTTTGAGCCAACGGCCATGATGTCCATGGCTAGTATGCTGCTCTGGTGCAATTTGTGGACTTCCATTCGGCATGTTGACTTTGGCCACGCGTTTGCATCCGAAGAATTCAGCCTGTCCCAGCAATCGAGAGGACTCAGGTTCATGTATCCATTTGTGCCTGCAGACAGGACACACATCTGATTTGTGGTAGGTCCAGCAAGAAGCGGGAGGAAGAGAGCCTGCATGATGCAGAACGAGCCATAGCTGAGTTTTTGCATTGTTTCGAACGTGCCTGTGTTTCGTGTCGACGATGCGGTGTACCGCACGATCTTGGTCTTCCCGTTCGAGTAGGCCAGCACAAGGGTGTGCTCCTCATCTTCGGCGCCGTCGTCCTCGAGGCGTGAATCGAACCCCATGATTCGTGCATCTGAATCCTCTTCCTCAGTGGGCATGGCGTCCCACAGTATTGCTCCTACGCTAATGCATGGTACGTCGAAGCTGAGTTTCCATACATAGAACTCTTCGCATCCAGCGCTGCTGAAGAGATAGTGTCCTGAGGCCGAGAATTGAAGATGTTGAATGCCCGTCGTGTGCCGTTTCAGCGTTGCAATGTACAGAAACTTGTCTGCCTGTAGTTGGCCGGGCGCCCGTGAGATGGCAGGCGCAGGGAATTTCGCAATGGCGAAAAGTTGGATGTTGGTGTCCTCGGCTCCAGTGGCCACAAGCACTCGGTCCTTATGTTGCCTGCCAGCCCCAGCGTACGGCAATGGACTTCGTGCCACAGCCTTTATCTCGCGTCCATGGCCTCCTCGCTGGATAGTCTGATGGCCGGACCCATTGCTCGTATGCCAATTAAATTTGCCCGCTCTGGTCCAGACAAAAGTCTTCGCGTCACTGCCGGACACAGAGGCAGAATCATCTCTGAAGTCCCAGGTTCGGTGAGAACCACCGCACTCAACCGAGAGGATGTCGGACTGCTGAGTTTCGTTCCACACAACGAACGCGGTGGACCTGAAGCCGTAGAGGAACAGATCCTTTCGTTGAGCCCGAGGTGCAGCTGAGCAATCTTCCGAGGCGGCAAAGTAAGCTCCTTCGATGTTCGGACCGAGTGGAGACGATGATAGGTGAACCATAAACACCTGCGGCTGGGCTCCGGTGGCGAGAGACGGGTGCTCCAATCGATGAATCGCGCAATGTCCGTCACGACCGGTCGTGAGTATGTGCATCATCCCTATCCCGGTCTCAATGTCTGCTTCTTGCCGGAGAACAGAAATGGAAGTAACGCTCTCCCTGCCATGGACATGTCGGAGGCAGTATGGCTTTTGTGTCGTCGCAGATTCAGGGCCCAGATCGGAGTATACAGCAAGAGCACCAGCACGAGAGCCGAGAAGTAACGTCCTGCTCGTGTGGTCATAGTGGCATGCCGTGATCTTAAAAGTATCTGGCATTCTCAGAGCCGTCTCGGTCGCCCCGATTGAGCCTTCTTTCATGCTGAGCCAAAGTATGACCGTCATCTTGTTCGTCAAGACAGCCACGACGCAAATCACGGAATCCTGAAAACTAGCCACTTGTTGGCCGGCAACTTGCATCCACGAAATGCCTTGATCGAGGTTGCATGGGATAGGTGATAACGTATCTCGACCATTCAACAAAGCATAAAGCCCGCCCATCTGATATGCAATGAGGACGAAACCACATTCCTTGATTGAGCAGAGTGTCAGACCACCTTTCAGCGGAGTTCCGTGCAATCGGCGCCATTGCAACTCCCGGTCTTTAGAGGTTATCCGGAAGAGATGTCCTTGACCTGTAGATGCCAGACATTCCTGATGATCCAACAGTAAATAGTTCTTCAATGGCAAGGGGGATGTTGTGATGTCCTTGAAAGGCACAGATATCGTGAGGGGACACAGTTTGGCAGTTTCCAATGTGTCGAATCTTCTAGAGATGATTTGTCCGTCAGCACCACCAGTATATACGACAATACCGTGCTCATCATTGAGCTGGCACATGGACCAGGCATTTTTCCCAAAGTGAAGTCGGTCGCTGCCTCCTGGTCTGAGGCTGCCGGCCAGGCCAGTTTCGCCTCCAGGACCGGTGCCCAACTCGGCAGTCCACATCTGACAGGCACCATCCTCACCACGCGAGAACAGTAAGATGCCCAGACTCGTGTTGTACGGCCGTCCTGGTGCGAAGTCGACGTCCCAAATGCGTGAGAGATGACCCCATGCCGATGCAACGTGGTTCTGACTGGTCTGAATCACATGCCCGAATCCGGTCTGGGTTGAATCGAGCCCATAGGAACCTTCATTGTGGACATCTCGATCACAATCACTGATATCCCAGATTCTTACCGTGCGATCGTCAGAGCAACTCGCCAGCAGGCGTACCCGGGTTCCTGCTAGGTCGAAAACTTCCGAGATTGAGACTCCGAACACAGAGCCTATATGTCCCTGGAAGACATGTTTCAGAGAGGGCACCCATTGCTGACCACCTTCTCTCCTGCTGCATGTCCAAACCAGGATTTCCCCAAAGACTGTACCAGACGCGACGATGACCAAATCAGGTGCAGCAATGGAGAGACATCCAGAGTAGAGAAACGACGCCGGGCCCTTGACAGTCAATAAACCGTCGTGCTTGGGAGGTTCCGCCACAGCGACATGGGAAGTGGGTGCTTCCACCAGTTGATTGTGTGCGGTCAGCAGGAGCACGAAGTTGCCAACGAAGACCGCGTCCAAGATCCAGTCCGAGCACGTTTGTTGCTCTGCCAGGCTGAGGCGTGGAATGATATTGGACGTGTCCGCTACATCTGCTTCCAGCGTGACGGTGCCGAGCTTCAACAGTGTGCCGCCCCAAACCACGACGTGGATTCGACGATGCGTGCCTGGACTTGCCTCACTGACGAGTACATTGATTCCAAGCACTGGCTGGGCCTCGAAAACACGTGTTGACAACACGCGAGTACGATCTACATTGTAGATATGCAGATATGCGCCCTGGCCTGCCAACAACCACGCTGCTCCATCAATCACGACTGATGTAAGGGCAGTGACTGGGAGACATGTGGCTCGCGACTACGGTGGTCAGAAGAAGTTGTTGCACAGAGACTGGGTACAAGCACCGCACCTCTATGATACATGCTGGCATTGAAATGCGTCGATAAAAGTTAAATGCCCAGACAGATCGTCTGAGAATCACAGAATGTAGGCGGAAGAAGACGTTGCTGAGGCGTCAAAGGTGTGAGAAAACGCCACTGGTCGGTCATTGCTTCGCCGTGTTATGTCTCACTAGTGAAATGATCCGCCCTAACTTCAACCAGAAATCACGTGTGAATCTGTTCAACACGTGACATCGCTGAAGGCGCGTCTGGGCATCGGGCTATGAAATACACTGGCATTGTCGCTGGTCTTGTTTACACCGGGCTTCGTAGATATATTCGGGTTTTTCTTCGAAATAATCGACGTCTGAAGGTGGTAAGGTCATTCCGGGCGACAGTGAAGCGGACATGCAATGAAACTGTACCGTCGATTTGTAACTTCAACATCACAGCCAACCCGAAGTTCTGAACGCGAGGCATTCAAACCGATGGCTAGATGAAGAACAGGTCTCTGATATTGTCGCGGACTATCTTGGCAGCTCACGCAACCGGCACATGGTGAGCCTCGGGCGAAGCAAGATTGGCCGTCTGGCCTTCACCTCACCGTCACTTTCATTGCGTCTCAAATTGCGCGTCACGAGAAGAAGCACAAACCATGGTTCAGGATGGGTCCTGGCAATCAGCTCCCAACCTCGTCACAATTCAAGACCTCGAGCCGAACGAGTCAACAGCGCCATGGGCAGTCTACTCCCCACGACAACCAGGGAACGCAATCCGCACCCATCACCATCACCATCTCTGATGAGGATGAGGATGAGGCCCTCAAAGGGAGCCAACTGTCAGCCAATACAGATCAACTCAACAGCAGCCGGCCGTCAGCCGACAGAGATCACCTCAACAGCAGCCGACCGTCTGCGGCTAGGGATCAACTGCCAGCAGGACCGAGACAGGCTGAAAGAGAACCAACCGTGGTCATAGAGCTTGATAGCGACAGCGACGAAGAAATCCCACATCCTCGAATCCAGCAGACTCCGCCGACTGCACCGGTAAGTCTTTCGCCCAGACATCCATATACTTCTACGCCAACAACTGCACCCTCCCCAACTCTGAATCGAGAAGAGGCGACAACGTCGGCCATCCCTGCTTATCGTTTCCTATGGGACCGTAACGCCGCACCTCGAGGTTCAGATCGACCCTTTCCGGATAGAAGCATAGCACAACCCGAAAGGTCCGTTGCGCCTCCAACAAGACCTCCGGGATTCTGGAGTACGTTTATGTCAACGACGCGTGGGACGCAACAACCCGTTGCTTCCCGCACGCCTCAGCCTCGCGCGCAATCCCAGGCTCAATCTCCGGCTCAACCTCCAGCTCAGCTTCTGGCTCAACCTCCCACGCAACCTCAGATGCGACCACCAGCGCAATCCCAAACCCAGCCCCAGGCACCACAGCCAGCGCGACCCTTTGCGCAGACCCACCCGACGTTGCCCCAGATGCCGCATTCAGAGCCATCCCGAGCTCAAATCCAGCCGGAAAAGCCACCACAATCCCTACCCCAATATCACGCGCAGAGACTCCAACCAAGGGATTCCCTTCCATCGCAAAGTCCAGGTACCAAGTCGTATGTGCCTCAGGGCTCGCACACCCACGGTACGCCATCTGAATGCCCACAGCCTCAAGGAGCGCAACCAACGTCAATGAATGGACCGTTCGCCACGAATGCACCAACGGAGTCTACGACAAGGCCTTCGAGCGCTACAGGCACCACATCCTTTTGGGCGGCATTCAAGCAATACTCACCTCCACATGTAAAATCCAGCCCAAAACAGGGACCCAGCGGCGCAAAGGCATCAAGCTTTCCGGCGACTCCAAGGCCGGCGACCCCTGCTATCGAGACGTCCATTTGCGACAATTGCGCTCGCGGCGATCTCCCGTGTGACGGCGTTGTCCCGGTTTGCACGCTGTGCGCACAACATGGAATTGCATGCTCTTACAAAAACGAGACGACGCCAACGCGGCCATCCAAGTTGGTTGTATCGAAGGTCCCTGGTCTTTCTGAATCTCACCGGGTCGAAGCAGCAGAGGAGGCGGTCCCCAGGCACGTGCCTGCCTCCAATCATAGCACAGAAACTCACCTAGATGGAATTGGGCGTTCAGCTACAGGCGGGTCCACCAATGCGATTCCAGCCGCGGATGACAACATTGTCCTGCGCGCACCGCATCCGCCACTCACGCGTCCAGAGAACCGAGTGGGCAATACTGTCGCAGGACAGGCGCCCGAGTGTCTCGACTCAGAGTCTGACGCCAGTGGAGATTACCAATATACCGACCGGAGAAGCGTGTCGTCTGTTGACACCTCCGGGCTTGGAGAACCAATTGAGATAGATCTCACGCTGGAAGCCGTCACAAGTTTCATGCAAGACCTTGACAAGGAAATCCGCGCCTGGCACGAAACGAGCACCCAAGCCGATTTGCGGCAGGCTACAATTGATGCGAGAAACAGCCCTGGGCCTAGACTCGACCGAACGTTACAGGACCCTTTCAAGGCGATCACCGAGCAGCGCCGCTCGGCAGCGGGAGGCAAGATTTCACAACAACCGTCACAGGGGAAGAAAACGTCCGTCATTCGAGCGCCTGTAGGCTCCTTCCCGACGGGGGCAGTTCTGCTGCCAAAGTATCAGGCCATCGGCCGGGTTGGATCAAGCATCCTCGCGCCAAATCGCAAGACCGCCAAGCATTGGGCTTATTCCGCCGAGGACGAGAACGACCCGGACTCGGACAAGAAGTACGACGACTTCGAAAAGCATTACATCATCGACTTTGAAAGCCTCAAGGCTCAACAAAAGTGCCAGGAGCTGGTGTGGCGGTGGAAACCTTGGATGGAAGAGACACTGGCCCGGATCGGGCTGCGGAATACCGACGTTCTCTACTTCTTCACCTACTTTGCTTTCGAGACTCGGCCGCAGGATAGATGGCAGCAATGGGAAAGCTGCAGCACGTGTGACCTGGCGGACGTGGAGACTCGACGCAATCATTTTCGGAAAGAAACCTTCGACGCATTGCCTCGTCCCGACGACCAGACTCTCCAACTGGCGGCGTTGGTGGCACGAGCCTTTCATAACGTGGCCAACATCAGCCTCTGGCACATTGCCGTTGGTGGTCTTCTCCGGCCACAATACCCAGACGACCAAGACGCGACGGCTCAACAATCAAACCTCTGTCTGATCTGCTTTCGCCATCACTGTCCCGATCATGGCTCGTACGAGGATCCCAAGGGGTATATCGCTGCCCATGAAGGACAATCTTTCATCAACGACAGTGAGCAGGACTCCAATATTCGCAGATATGTGACCCTACCTGATCGGGGCCGTCGAGACGAGGACAAAAGGCATGTGTGTGGGGTGTTCTGTGTGGAGCCGTCGTTGAATGTACGCGGAATCCTAGGACGCCAAAGTGATGGGACGGTCAATGGGGATTGTCGACCGCCGAAGGAACAAGTCAGGCACATCCTAGCGGACGATTACTTGTGCTGCCCTTCCTGTTTTTGGGATGTAAACAACCGACGCGACATCAAGGCGTCAGATGTGAAATTCCAGCCCTTCCTATCGGCATCGCAGAAGCTCTTGGTAGACAAGCTTATGCCCTTCTACCTCAACAACCCGCGCGGCCCATGCCTCATCTCACGCGTCATCAAGGATGTGGACTGCCTGATGGTTTTCCACCACATGATCTTTGCCATATTCGACACGCCTCATCCCGAGGAGCTCTCGAGCAATACATTTGACGGTGGTGGGACCAATCCACGTGACTCCGGTGCGGTGGGAAAGAAGGGAAAGCCACTGACGGTGAGCGAAACTGCAAAAAGCGCAGACCTGGTCAACCGGCCGCCCTTCCGACCGTGTTTTCATGCAGGGCCTTGTCTCAACAACCCTGCGTGTACCTGTGCCGAGAGCAAGGTCCATTGTGAACGGTTTTGTGGGTGCGACCAATCCTGCAAACGACGTTTCCGCGGTTGCATTTGCAAGGCCGGCGGCGCCAAGGTGTGCTTTGAAGATAGCCGATGTGAGTGCTGGATCCACAACCGTGAATGTGATCCTCATCTTTGTGGCAAATGCGGCGTCGTCGACGTCCTCGACTCCTCAAACAAATACCGGGACGAGATTCGGACGGGCCGCTGCAGGAACAACCGCATCCAATTGGGCTTGCCGGCTCCCACGACCAGAGCACCGAGCCAGGTCCAAGGCTACGGACTGTACAGTCGAGCGGAGATTTCCATGGGCGATTTCATCGGCGAGTACACCGGTGAGATCATCAGCAGATCCGAGGCAGACCGGAGAGGGACGATCTACCAGTTGATCAACCAAGAGTACCTGTTCAACCTCAACCGGGAGCAGGAAATCGATGCCTCCAAACACGGCAACAAGATGCGGTTCATGAACAATTCTCAAAAGGAAGAGAATATCAACGTGGTGGCGAAGAGCTTCTTTTGCAGCGGCCTGATCCGCATCGGGCTCTTTGCAAAACGCGACATCCGAGCCGGTGCAGAATTGCTGTGGCAGTATGGCTATTCGGCCGAGCGGGTCAAGTTCTTCTGGGAGCCCGGAGAAAAGCCCGTCACTGCCAGAGCGTTGATCCCCTTCTCCAACGAACGCGTGGCCAGAACCGCCGGCAAGAACAAGCCGGCCGGTGGGGAGACCCTACGAAGGGCCCAGGACAAGAGCACCCCGTCTCCCACGGTGCATCGGGGCCAAAAGCGCAAAAGACAAATAAGCGAAAGCCCCGAGCAAGACCTCGGCGAGACCGTCGCAGACAGTTCCGAAGAACTGGATGCGGATGTGGATGTGGATGTAGATGTGGATGTAGACAAGGAATCCTCGGCCGACTCACCGCTCCAAGTGCCAGAGACAGACGACTCGGCCGACTCGGATTACGTCGAACCCAACGGTCGCGTCTTTGAGGAGGGTGATACTGACGACGACGACGGCGGCGGCGGCGGCGTGAAATCAGACGAAGAGGAGGCCGAGGCCGACACCGACGCCGTACCGCCCACGACCGGTTTGAAGCGCGGTATTCCACGGACCCGTACTGATGCTGCTGCTGCCAACGGCGCCGAATCTCCTCGATCACAGGGCAGGGCCAAGGGCAGGAGCAAGGCCAAGGCCAAGGGCAAGGGCAACCCTGAGCAGCGCCAGCGTCCAGCAGCATCCGCGGATACAGCAACGTCGACCCATGACGACGACGCTCAGAGCGGTACCCGTAGTCGTGGTCGAAGCGATGCAAACTCAACAACGACGGGTCCGTCCCACTATGAGACCGACCATCGCCGCAGGCCACTCCGACCCAATGACAAGAGACTGGGAGGCAGATCGCAACAACGGGCGTGGGAGACGAGGAAGCGGAACAATGCCATGGCGCACGGTGCGAGGTAGGGCCGAGGGAATAGCTAGCCTCCAGATACCAAGATCCAAATTCAATGCTAGGATTCAGGTTTCATGTTCATGTTCACGGGTTGAAACGCAAATTGACTGTGAGTTGCTCGCGGCGCTCGAGTCACTGTCCAGCCTCGCCCAGCGCTGCCCAGCGCAGCGCAACGGCGTCTTGGCGATCGGGGCTGATGCGTTTACTTACCTGTACTCGTACTCCGTCCGTGAGAGGTAGACGCACGGAATCTGTACTCCGTAGGTAGTCTGTCATTTTGCGAGGCATCCAATCAATCGCGTCGCGAAACAACAATGGCAGTCAGACGTCATGTTATCCAGTAGGTAAAGAACCATTCCAAGTATCCCATCGATCGACCCAGATAAACGCCATGCTATGTGCCCAACCTGATGTACACATACTGTACCAAAGGACCAAAGGACCATCGTACTTCCACGTGTCGTACGCGCCAAGAAATTTTGATTTTAGCCCCTGCAACCGGCCCTGCTTGTGCGAGACGTCGAAACATGCATTGTAGCGCGTAAAGCCCGCTCGAGGGGCTCGCACAAGGCAAGTCGCGCTCGACCACGGCTTGGAGCTTTGGGCTTGGAGCTTCAAGCTGGATCAAAGCCGCTTGGAACAATCCTACTCGCCGTCGGTGAATACATGCGTGAATACCCCGTTAGCGGTCTTCGCATAAGTCTAGTCCCGTCAGGCACTGCTTGGCAGCTGAAATCAAGACTCCGAAGCAAGTCTTCGCCGTGCCGTTTTGGGACACAACTCGCAGTTTGTCTTTGTCCGGAACGAATCTTCGGTGCTCAGCTCCCAATGCTTCGCTCTCTGACGGCCTCGCTTCCGGCTGGATGCTGTGGACGGCGGCGCGGTTCTCACTCCAAGTAATTCGTAACTTCATTCCCCCTTCCCCAGGGTGGCTTCTCAGCTGACACCCTTCCGCCTTCCGGGCCCCCTAAACTTATGCGTGACCGTCTAGACACCTTGCGGTCTGAAAGGCTCATAGGCACTTCCCATGTGCGCGGGTCTTTGCGGCGCATAGCCTTGAGGTGGCAGCGTGTTCAGTGGCATACTCTGGTGGTCACTGGGTCCCATGTATGGACTGCCCACTCTTTCATACGTATACGGGGTCTTTTCCGCCCTTGTTCTCCGTGCCTCCTTGTTGCCAGGGTTGTAAGGACTCCTGCCACTGCAACAGCAGACACTCAGGGTCCAGAAGAAGCCTGCTCCGACGGCGAACGCCGTGCCAATCCAGGTCAGTTCGAGGACACGACTGCCGAGAGTGGAACTAATGCCATAATCGTCCTTGAGGGACTCGTTGAGGGCGGTCTTGAGGACGATGTAGACTGCCGAGGCGGTTGCCGAGGCGGCAATGATGAGAATCGACATTGCCGAGGCGCAGAACGTGGTGAAGAAGGAGCCCCATCGTGAGAATGCGGCCGAGATGCCGACAACGAGCGTAATGGCAGCGGCACTCAACGCGCCCACATAAAGATAGAAAATGGCCTTTGAGGCCGCGTGGTAGGCATCCAATCCATCTGTGAAGGTCTTGGGTAGATACGTGTCCACGGGGACACCAGTGCTGTTCAAACCCCAGATCTTGATCGGGTTGAACCAGAAGTATGCTTTCGGGTCGGTGCAGTTTGCGTAGACGTCGTTGCCGTTCCACGAACAGTAGCTGCGAAGGTAGATTGTGTAGAAGTCTTTCATGCCCAGGGTCTGCTTTGCGGCTTGGAGGGCACCGGCGAGGAGGGTGCTATTGTCGGCATTTCCGGCCACAACAGTCGAGGGACCAAGCGTCAGGTTGGTCAAGTCGATCTAGAGAAGAGACACGGGGTTAGCGATGCACATTGGAGCGGGAACGGGCCGGCTCACCTTCAGGAAGTAGAAATCGTCGACGGTGTGGTTGCGGTCAAAGGTGCCGGCGAGGAAGAGCAGGACCATGCATATCAGCACGGCCAAGGTCAGAAGAAACGGTGCTGCGATGCAGCAGATGCGGCCTGCGTTGACCATGTTGGCGGTCTGCAGAAAGAGTCCTTCGCCGAGAAGTAAGTGAGTCGCAGGTGATTTTAAACTCAGTTCAGCTGAGAATCTCAGGCGTTTGGAGAGAAAGCGTTTCAGGTGCGGGGAAAGAGAATACGAGTGTCCGAGATCTTGCTCGTCGTCGGGGCCTCACTACAAACGAAGGTACTTGGTGACAGAGTTTCGTCGGAGGCAAGAAGAAACAACATAGGAAGGAGAGGGTTTCTTGCGGCAGATCATGGTGAATATGTGAGATGTGTCCAGCGATGCGCCATCCGGGGGCTGTGAGATTATGGGGCCAATTCTTAAATGTCACTTGCAGCCCGGCACTTTTCGAGCTAGCTGTCGCAGGGTCCGTTTAGTATCGATACAGGCGGGTGGAGTCTGTCGCTGGAGTCGAGGAGAGGCGAAGGACGTAGATGGACAATGTAAGAGATCCAATTAGGAATAGGCCCTTTCACAGGACAGCACAGAGGACAGTGCGAGTCGAATCTATGGAGTACACAGGAGGGACATACGCACACACGCACACACGCACACACGCACACACGCACACACGCACACACGCACACAAGCCTCGTGCTGGAGGAGCACGCCAAGCCTTCAGGTGGCACAGCGGTACCACAAGTGCTGCCTTCGCGGCCTTTGGCATCGTTTTGAAGTGGCTCAGCCACTCCTCATTAAGCCCAGGATGCGTACGGAGGACTATCAAACGACTTAGTTGCGCGGCCGCCGCACGCACTCACTGACGATTGTCGACTTGGCCCGGAAGGCAATCGCGGGTCCGAAGGGGTACCTACTGTACGAGTATGCGATATTGTGCAAGCGGATCGGTTGTATGGTATTGTCCTCTGCTAGCTGCGATGGATGCATTATCAAACCGAGGAGACTGGGTTGAAATTTGCCTAGGAGGCTGCAATGCCCTCGCTGCGTGCTGTAGGTGGCATTTTCCTAATCGAGTCGCGCCCCAACGACGGGAGCTTACTAGGTACCTAGAGTGCCCCTGTGGACGGAGGATCGTGGTTCTACTGTCCTCCGTACTCACCGTGAGCAGCAGTTCATGTTTTCCGCATCGGGCCCAATGCTCGGCTAAACAGTTCGGATTCACCGCGAGGGCAGAGATGAGAAGGATTCAACCCGGCGTTGCTCCTAACTAGCGCTCCTAGACTCGAGCCTGGCGGTACGTACCCTCGTACAGTATCTCACCATCTGCCTTCTTGGCCCTCTCCGAGTCTTTCGGTTACGTCGCCCTGGTGGTGGTGCTGTCTGTCTGCCGCACGCTTGGATAAGCAAGTACTCGTGCTGTACCCAGTACTTGCCACGTTTGTGGGGACTATCCTTAGGCAGTGGCGTACTGCACTTGGGCCGGCCAGACTTGGGGTGCGTGGCGCGTTCTCTACTGTGTACGAGGTATAACACTGACCTGCGGCCCTCTTAGACCCCAGCCTCACCTGAGCCGCGTGTGGCTTGCCCACACCCATGCATGATGTTCGTGCAAATCGACCAGAATTTCATTATTATTATGGCTATGAGACAACGTGACACAGACGATCCTTTCTGTTTCTCCGAGCTGCTCGACGCTGCTGGTGTATTGTGGCAATGGAACAGACAAAAGCGCGCAGTGATCGGGTGACATCGATTCTCAGTCGCAGTCGCATACCATGTATTGTGGACTCCGATCTCCCTGCTGCGCCAATCAAGAGGGTATTCAAGGGGTATTTGTCCTTCGTCAGCCCAGTGTCTCGTGCCTACTCAGTCAAGACTCAGCCACATCTCTTCATGATCCATTCTCGGTTCTCGTACTGTGTTCGTATGCTTTCTGCGTAGGCTTGGACTCGATGGCGGGCTTAAGCTGCAACCGCATGTTGGCCTGGAGCATATCATAATCAGTTGAGTCACTTTCCCGACACATCGAGGCGCAAGCCACTTTGGGCAATCACTTACCGTTTGCCTGTTGTGGTCTCTCCTCTTCCTCCTCCTCGTCCTCTTCTTCTTCATCCTGCCCGTATTCGCCGTGTTGGCCTGCAGGAACCCAGCTGTCGCGATCGTTCTTGATTGGCTGATCTTGACCAGAAAGATCGACGCCCTCGTTCTTGATCGAGTTGGCCTTCCGCCTCTGGCTGAGATTGCGTGCGCGGGTGGACAGGTTGGACCTGACCTGGGCCGTAGACGAAACCCAGTTGGTGAGCGCATCTTCGCAGTCTTGGATGATCGCCTTGGAGGCCTCGTAGCCGTCGTACGCATTACGCGTCTCGCCAGGAGTGACAGGGTTGTCATCGATAAGCTCGAGCAGATGCTTTCCATAGCCGGCGATGATGGCGACTTTCTCGCAGTGCTCGCGGATCGCATCGAATTGGTAGTTGAATGCAGCCTTCAGTTTCTCTCGAGTGATGTTCGACAGTTGGGCTTCGGCAACGAGAGATTCGGCTTCGGCACGAACGAGTTCCTGCTCGAGGACCACGATACGCGGGCTATTGGGCTCCTTGTACTTCAGTTGGGCAATCTGATCCGTGATCTTCTGCTTGCGGTCCCTAGATGGTTGCACCGAGGCTTCGATGTTGCGGATCGACTTGATGGTGACGCGGTACTGGTCATAGCGGTCGACGAACTGATCCTCTAGCTCTCCAATCTCGTAGATCAAAACGCCGAGCTTGTCAGTCACATCACTAACATCTTCATCGCAGGCTTCCCCCCAAATCGAGAGTTGTTGCTTTACAAACGTTAGACCCGCACCCCAAGAGGGAACGGCAGGGACTTACCGCGACCTCCATTCGCTCTCGGCCGACCAGCTCCATGCTGCGCATGACGTTCTTCTCCATCTTCACGAGCTGGGAAAGCTTCTTTGCAAGGTCCGGGCCAAAGGCGCCGGCAGTTCCTTTTCGGAACGCATGCCCTGTTTCTCCTGGTCAGCACCATCTGAGCGTGTAGTATGTGCCCAGTATCCCTCACCGAAGTTACCACGGCCGAACAGGCGGCCCGTCTTTGTCGACGATGCTGGCGGGGGTGGGTTTTCAATCTGGGAGGCTGTAGGAGCGCGCGATTGGCGCATAGAGTATGTGCGATGCATCTTGAGACGCGGTCGATGGTACGCTTATTGGGAGAGAGTTATGAGAGGGCGTGCGCTCGTGCTCAGCCGAGACACAGCAGGCAGGCAACAGATGGACAGGTGTAGCTGTGTCCTGCGCGAAATCAGTTAGCAATTAGCACACGAACCTGAACTGCGGCAATACCGAATCAACAGTGGTGGTGAGGAAGAGCAGCAGACGTGAATAGAAAGGGCCAAGGTCAGCGCCGATCGAGAGTGGAGGGTGGTGTGAGAGTTATGAGTGTCTTGCCCTTCAGCCTGGGCGAGAGAATGACGTTCCGGGAAGGTGCGGGAGCTGTGGCTTCAACCCGAGCTCAGAGTTTCCTGACTGAGACACGGCGCACTGGGGACCTTCTGGCCCGTTCAACGATCTCAACTCAGAGGCCGCTGTGTATCAAATACGGGTATGCACTGAGCGATCGCTGGCTGCTGGTCGCTCACGAGATCGGTGGTGCCGTGATGCGCATCGGACCCGCCACAGCGTCACTGTCAGCTCCACTGCTGACTGGGGCTTCAGGCCGCTGTTTCTGATCACTCAACGAAGGCGATATGAAATTGTCGACTCACCACGCGGACAGGTGGATGACTTGACGAAGCCGGGATAAAATGTTCACGCGGCGCAGGTACAGCGACGGGAGACTGGACTTTGGAGATTCAAGCTTGGGGAAGCTGCAACCTTGGGAGCTGGAAGCTGGAGAGCGGGAGAGCTGGAGCTGGCCTTTTAGGGAAACGGCTGTGTGGCTGAATAAGAAGCGGAGTCACGATCTCAGCCGGTTATGAGCAGCTCATGCTGGTCGCGAGAGCAACAAGGCCACATCGCCAGCCGCTCACGTCATCGAATTGCAGCGACTCGGGTGGACACGACCCAGATGAAAGAAGGTGAAGGTGGCACGCAAGGAGACTCCATCGGTTTCGAACTCAAATGTCCCTCACTACATCATCGGTGCACGCTCACTTCAATATCCTTTGTTGCTTGTGTCCAGCCCGCATGGCATTATCTGCGCTTGGGTCTCAAATCGTTCCATGCGCAAGCTAATGAGGCCGGCTACTGCATGCTAGACGATGCAGACTCCAAGATCAGCAGTAACGCCGACGGAAACCTGCAGAACCTGTCGCCTCAGGGTCACTCAGGGTGTCATGCGAAGCTTCGTCGGTCTTCCACTCATGCTTCTCGAGTCGCCATTCGTTTGACTCTTCATGGTTCCTGAACTGAACCATCGAGACATCCGCCGCTAACACAAACGACTCGGGAAAAGCACCAGATCATGCCACTGCCGACTGCCACATGGTCCATCGAGGGACGGCGTTCTCTTGGCTACTTCCTGCCACGAGCGCAGGCCGAACGACATGCGTGATGCGCCTTTAACGCCTTTTGATATCCTGCTCCTCCTCTGTCTACCCAGTATGTACAGCCTTAGCCCTGTCCAGCCACAAGAAAGTTGATTGACTCCTCTCATGGCCCGTAACGCCCTTGATCGCCTAGCATCACTGTTAGATACCCCACCCTCTCTCGTCGGCCTCCTGCCCTCCACCCCCACTGGCGCTCTTACTTCCGTTCGCCTTCCCCTTGTCACTCCCTTCACCCTCTTGCGTCCCGATCCCAATAACCCTCTCTAACTCACCCCTTTCACCGCTCATCTCCACCATCTCCTTGAACGCGCCCGCTTCCCGCCTCATCAACGCCGCCGGGCTATCATATTCAAGTACCTTCCCCTCCCCTAACACCAAGATACGATCGAAATCCGCGATTGTGCTTAAGCGATGCGCGATCACAATGAGCGTACTATCCGTGAATTCTTCTCGGATACTTCTCTGTATGAGGGCGTCGGTTTCCATATCGACCGCCGAGGTTGCTTCATCTAGAACCATGATCTTCGGCCGGGAGACAATGGCACGGGCGAGGCAGAGGAGTTGGCGTTGACCCTGGGACAGGTTCAGCCCGCCTTCCGAGATTTTGGAGGAGAGAGAGCGGAAGATATTTCTATTGGTGTCTCTGGGAGCGTCTTGAGCTGGGGCGGCGCCGCGCAAGCTGGGAGGTAGAGGTGTTGCGCTACCGCTTGCTGCTCCGGATGTCGCCAATGATGCTGAGGAGATGAGGTGGACTCGTGCTAAAGCTTCCCGTAGCTCTTCATCAGTCTGTTGATCAAAGGGATCGAGATTACTCCGCACAGTGCCCGAAAAGAGTACAGGATCCTGGGGGATAATCGCCAGTCTCGAGCGCAGGTCGTACAGTTTGATCTTCGAGATATCCACCCCGTCGATGTGGATACTTCCGCTCCTGGCTTCCAGGAAGCGGAATAACGCAAGCGTCAAGGATGATTTGCCGGCTCCAGTTCGTCCAACGACACCCACGCGTTGATTCCTCGCCACGCTGAAGGTCAAGCCTCTTAACACAGGGGGCAGATCCGGCGCATAGCTAACCACCAGATCATTCACCTCGAGGTTGCCTTCTGTAGGCCACGCCGCGGGCGCGTCCACACCGCCCTGATTCTCGATAGTAATATTGCTGTACTCGACAATTCTCTCCGTGGCATTCATGTCCAGTTCAACGTTGGAGTATTGCCGCAAGAACCAAATAACGCCTTCGCTAAGGCCGAGTGCGAAACTGAGCGCGAATCCTGCCAGGCTCGAGTCGATGGTGGTGATCGAGACAATCAGGGCTGCTGTGATGGCGGCAAAGATGGCACCCACCATGTTCAATCGCCAGCCCATCCAACGATTGAAGAGCCAGAGATGCCAGTACGCACGACAATGCAAGTCAATTCTGGCATACATCTTGTCCAAGTAAGCATCGCACTTGTCGAAAGCACGGATAGTGCCGATTCCCATAAGAACAGAACCGAACTGTTCGAAAACGGGTGATTTGGCGTTGCTTTCCAATCTCTTCACCTCTCTGGCACCAGCGAGATAGCGCAAGGCGTAGTACATCGAGATCGAGAGAAGTGCGGCTGCAAAGACGATCATGAATGGCGATACAAACAGTCCGGCGATGACTACAGAAAGGACGTGCATCATGTTGTGCAGCATGAACGCGAGATCCATGGAGATGCGCGAATCCAGCATGTTGAAATCCGAGGTGAAGCGGTTGAGAATTCGTCCCACGGGCACAGTATCGAGCCAGCGTAGAGGCGCCCGGAGTATCGCGAATGCAAGTCGTTCAAAAAGGATCTTGGATGCACGAATCGAGAGGACGAAGACGCAAAAGTAGCGCACGGTCCCGATCAACCAAGCAACCAGGGAGATACCGAGATAGACGCCCAAATAGTATCGGAGGTTGGGGTCGATAGCGGCAGTGGATAGTCGATAGTGGAGGCGATGGTAGGCGCTCCCAAGTGCCTGCTGGAGAAGACTGTGCTGGAAAGCATGGTCGGACTCTGTGCGATATGATCTCGTCCACACGCTGATCCAATACGACCTCGCCAGATATACAGCGACCCAGACGCCGAAAATTGCCAAAATCCCCAACCAGTAAGTGAACCCGCCACAGGCTCGGATGTACGCTGCATAGATCCGATATTTGATCGCACCTGTCTCACGGCTTTCGTCCTCGGTGAACTTCTTCGGCGGATTGCCGTTGGGTTTTGCTTCGTTCATGCTCGCGTGTGACGGACGGCGCCTGAGGTCGTCGCCAGCATCGCTCAGGGCAGACTTTCTCCTGGAGCGTCGGGACTGGTTGGTTAGCAGTTTCTGGAGGCCGCCCCCGTCATCGACAGCGAGGTTTTGATTCTGCTGATTCGCAATGGCCTCGTCTTCTTCTTTTTGTTGCTCCTCGATATCTTGTGCGAGGATAGACTTGAGTTTCCCGCTCCGACGTAATTCCTCTGTTCTGCCTTCTACCTCAACGGTGCCATTCGAAAGAAGCACGCTGTAGTTTGTTCGAGGTAGGCACAGAGCGACGTGGTGCGTGACCAGGATCCTGGTCCTGCCTTGCCCAAGCTCACCAGTCAGTGCCTGCTCAAACAAGTGTCGTCCAACATGGGCATCTACTGCCGAGAAGATATCGTCGAGAACAAGAATTCCCGCTCTCGAATACAATGCACGCGCAAACGACACTCGCCATTTCTGTCCACCACTGAGATTGATACCGTTCGCGCCGATGTCGGTGAGCTCCCCGTCTTGTAGCATCTCCAGATCTTTTGTCAAAGCGCATGCAGTGAGGACTTTCTGGTAGCGGTCATTGTCCAGTGGGAGGCCGAAGAGGATGTTGTCTCGAATGGTGGCATTCTCGATCCACGGGATCTGAGCCACAAAGGCGATGGAAGAATCAATCGTCCAATTCTTGCGGTTGGCTTGAGCATCATAACGTTGAGCGGAAGATGGCGGCTTGGGCACGACGAGTTCACCGTCGAGAACGTCAGCCTCCCCAATAATTGAGGCCAGCAGCAAGCTCTTCCCAGATCCTGTACGGCCCGAAATCACGCTCAACTCCTTTTGGGGAAACGCAAGATCCAGGCTGCGTAAGGTGAACTGATTGTCTTCGTTCGCCGGGTCGTCTGATGGCCAGGCGATTGTAGTGTTCTTGAATGACACGGCCTCGCCTGGTCTGGTGCTTTCAATCCGCTCAGGCGCGTCAAGGTACTCTTGAACCCTCTTCGCTGAAACAATGGCGTCGAGAAGATCCGTGATCATCTCCGGGATTATAGCCAGTGTCATTTCGATGGCTTCAAAGACAGAAATCGTTGTGAAAGCCACAGATGCCGTTAGTTGCTTGTAGATGAGGACATACGTTGTCAAGGATATAGCTGCGAGCATTACGGGGCCGAAGATCCAAATGCTAATCAGTGTGGTGTCGTATACGAATACCTGCCACTGTGTCTTCAACTCCCTTCTTCGCGTTTCCAAGATCTTGTCATACCAGTTCCTCTCCAAGGCGCTGAACTTGATTTGACGAATCCCTTGCAGAGCTTCAGTGACGACCGCCATCTTCTGATCTCGGTACTTCATCAGGTCGTCTTGAGCCGTTGCGTATCGTTTGGCAGCTAGGATGTTGATCGGCGTGATGAGAACCGGAGCAGCCAGCCCAGCAAGTAAAGGGATTGGCCCTATCAGTTTAGACAGGAAGCTGATGGCGAAAATCAGTTTGATAGCCGACCCGAGGAAGATGTAGTTGAATGTAGCAAAGTCCGCAATGCGCTTAGAGTCCACCCCCACCAGATTGATCGTGCTCTGCTTAGACTTCTGGAAGTCCGCATCTTCATCTTCTTCTGGAACTCGATCTTCGCCCTTTTGGCCAGCAGCTTCATTCACGACTGTCCCGCCGTTCAAGGCGCCATCGCCGGTCTCTGCCTCCGCCTGTTTCTTGCCCGTGCCTTTGACATCTTTCCTTCTGATGGCCTTCCCAAATACCACAGCGGACAATTGCTCGTAGATTGGAACGCCGATTTTCATAAAGGTGATGAAAAACATCCAAGCCTCGATCCAGTTCGAAAAGGTGATGGCCAAGCCGAGACCGATCACCAATAACCATGATGTGAGAGCCACGTCCTTACCCTCATCGCGTTGTTCGAGCGTTTTGAGGACAAAATAGAGAACGATTTGTGGCAGGAAATCCGTGATGGAGCAAGTCGCTTGGAGAATCCACTGTTGAATGAATGTCCATTTGCGCGACCAGAAAATCGTCTTCCATAGCTTGTCTTTTCGACCGACAGCCTCGAACTCTCGCCTCAGTTCTCTGGAACGATTCTCGAAGTCAATCTCGTGTAGGTCGTCATAGTCGAGGCCTTTGTTCTTCGCAGCGAATGAAAGAATCGGAGCGGCCCACGAAAACGTCAGCTTGGACAAGAGAGAGACAGTGTTTTCGCGGTCGACAATCTTATCATTCCAGTACACATCCGGTCGCCGAGGGATACACAAGCTGCTCACGGCAAGGCCAATGCCAGCAGCGAACAGTATGATGGAGAAGGTGAGGTGGATGTTTCGTGGAAGTGGGCTGGATTCGGCTTGCCAGAGGGAGATGTTCTCCACGGCTACAGCAATGGCGATGGACAAGGCTGAAAAGCTCGAGAAAACTCCGAGTCTGTAGCGTTGAGTGGAAGATGGCGTAACGTATATGATGGCCGCTTGGGACAGCACAAGCAACTAGCAGATGTCAGACAAAGGAACCCGACGAGAGGCCGTGTAGCAGCAGAGCAGCCCTTACCCAGGTTGCGAACTGCAGCCATTGCTCAAGACTGAGAGGCAGCTGTGAGCGCGCAGTCGTGAGAATCGCAGTTGCCAATGCAACACCACAGGCGACAAGAGAGATCAATATTAATATTAGTCGAGGAATCTGATCGGAATATGACTGTTCTGACTCCTGCGTAGCAACTCCATCCTTGTCTTCGTAGCGCTCTGAGAGATGTGCATCCTGCTTCTTCCTCGACTGGACCCGAGTGAAGAGTTGGCCAACTGCTGGCGTTGACAAGACCGCAACAACAGCGAGACATGCTATTGAAATTGCGACTGACGTGGACGTGTGATGTGACGCCATGTCGTTGACAGCCGGCTCTTCCCCAGTTAGACCGTATTACAATTACAGGGTTGGGTAGTTAATCGAGAGACATCCTGTCCGTGGAAACAATTCCCAGTTGAGTACCAGGACGCGGGTGTTGAGGCGGTTGTCTAAAGACGTAGTTGCAGATATTTTTGCAATATCAGAAAGGGAAAGAAAAGCGGATATTTATGACGATCACCGGCGCAACTCCCTGCCGGTACGAATAAGAGTACCAGGTACAGATGAAACTGCAACCCGAATACGTTTCTAAAGGTCGGAGACTTGGTGCTGTGTTCGCACAGCTTTGAGCCTGCAACGACTGAGTGTCGTTGGCTCGCGTTGAGAGTTGAGCCTGGCGCCTGCCTTGATCAACTTGGCTTAACTACGCTTGACAGGTTAGGGAATAGTTAGAGGGTAGATGGAGGAGCTTGAGTCACACAGCTGAGCTCACATATTCATGTTGGAGAAGTGACTCGAGTTCGGAAGGTCCATCGTGAGCATGCAGACGGACATTGACGAGAGGGGGCTCCCTCTGTTGGCTTCTCCGCCGTCACTGCTTGGTCCGCTCAATGGCCATTGGTAGGTGGCCAGCATCAAGCCGCCGCCGGTAGCTTCAGTGCTCCACTCCTTCGCATATCTGTTCATCCTGCAGTCCCGATGACTCACTCGGAAATGCAGCTGGGGAAATGGTGGGAAGCTCATCGCACGAAAATAGACGGAAGAATCTCCTCTGGTTGAACATGAAGAAAGTGCGGGCAGAGATGTCGTGCATATGAATCCATTGAACTCCTCGCTCTACATAAAGTGCTCTACATAAAGTGCTCTATCAAAACATGGGCCAAACTTTCCAATTTCCCTCAGGACACAGCAGCATCGACAGTCGTGACTTTTACTCGTCGTTGGACGAACTGTCAATAACTACGACTTCCGCCTCCACCTCCCCTATGCTTTCGACGCTGAGCACGTCACCGGCATTAACATGACTAACATATGCACCATCTCCTTCCTTGAGAATGGCGTCTTCTCGGCCGTCCAGCCTAATCTTGGCCTTTCCACCCTTCGTTTCGGGAAAGTGAATGTACACTTTGCGGTCGGATTTGGACGTGACCAAGTCCCCGCCCCCGACGGTATAGTTGAATGCATTGCCGGTTGGGATGATACCAGCACTGAACACAAGATCGGCATGGATAGGTATGGTACCCTCCTTGGTCGGCACTGCTGCCTTCTCTTCTTCCAATGTCGCCTTAGGGCCCGCCTTGAGCGGAGTGATGATGGTGACGAAGCCCTTGCGCTTGTCTTCTTCAGCGAATGTGCTGGTATGATAGATAGGTGGCAGGTTCCTCTTCCACGGCAATGCCCAGATCTGCAGAAAGTGAACCCAATCCTTGTCGTGTTCGTTGTATTCGCTGTGAGAGATGCCCCTGCCACCGGTGGTAAATTGGACGTCTCCACGGTGTAACCGGAAGAATTTGTCCTTGTCATTGCTTTCTGCGCCCTTCTTTTGCATTGAGTCACGGTGTGTCAACTCGCCGGATAGAATGTAGGAAAAGATCTCGGCGTTCTGGTGGAAATGTGTGGGAAAGCCTTCACCAGGCATGACTCGATCTTCGTTGAGTACACGGAGGGACCCGTAGTTGTTGTATCTGGGATCATACCACCCAGCGAAGGAGAAGGTGTGCTTGGTGTCGAGCCAGCCATGGTTGGCTGCGCCTCTGGTTTTCGACGGGCGGGCGACAATCTTTGCGTGAGATAGATTCGACATGTTTCTGATGATGGAGGTTGCTTTCATAGAATCGTGTTGAATGCCTGCGTTGGTGCTGCTAAGCATGAATATTGCTGTGACTGCTGTGAGAAGTGCTGTTACTGTTGTGATGATGAGGGTGGATTTTTGATGGAGCAAGCGGGAAAACATTGAGCTGAAAGGAAAGCTATATACTTAGGCCTGGTGCTTCAAAAGAGCATAGTGGACGCATCCAGAACAGCCACCGAAATACATTATAGCTGACTTGGTCAGTAACTGGTCAGTGAACAAAATGGCAAACAGGGTGTAGTAAGAGAGTGGACGTGTTTTCCAATCCGTTGGTAAGCGGAAGGTAATGTGTAGCAGAGCGGAAATACCCCCGCCAACTGTCCAGTCAGATCCCAGTACACATCTTAGTCATCACCCAACGCGAACATGACTGTGACGTCACTGATCTCAGGAGCCGAATGGCAAGCTGCCCCGGGTTTCCCTTCTTTGGTCTCCTCGTCTTCAGGTGAACTTCTGGCCCAAGATGTTGCTAGGCTAGTGCTAATGAAAGAGCAGACGCCTGACACGCCTCGAGAGCACTCGCCTATCAAGCCCGAGAGCAAGTCTGGGGTAGCAAGTGTCTCCTCACCCGCCTCCCTCAAGAGAAACGTCTCTCCTCCTCCAATCAATCGCCGTCGTCAACATCACCGCAAATCCAGAACCCATAGTGGGCTCTCAACAAACTCAGCGACCAAATCAGATACTGCACAGGTTGAAGCTGGTGAAGTCGACATCGATGACCATGTATCATTCTTCTCCTCGAAGCTGTTGGCGGCTACCCGCCCGCCTGTGGAAGGAGGCCAACCGAGACTATCCCACTCCAGCTGGTTAGCCCTTTACCGTGGCAACCTGCATGATAGAGGCCATCATTTCGTCGTGCATCAACATGACCATCCCATTGCGGGAACTCATTATGATCTCCGCTTGCAATGCAATGCCACCAGCTCGATCAGCTTTGCCCTGCCGTATGGCCTTCCTGGCGACCCGAACAGTCGGAGATTGAACCGATATGCCATTGAGACCAGAGTGCATAATCTGTGGAACCATCTGATCGAGACTGCTTCTTACGAGACAGGAACGATGCTTCTGTGGGACACCGGTGAATACGAGGTAATCCCGTACGACACGTCTAACAAAAACGCCAGCACGGTCGAGGCCACGGCTACCGAAGGGTCAGACTCGGATACAGACAGCGAGCTTGTCGCAAGGCGAGAGGCAGAATCCGAACCACAGAAACTCCACCGGGCTTTTCGAAATCGCAAGATCAAGCTCCGACTCAACGGCACGCGCTTACCAAAAGACTACACCATTAGCGTCAGACTCCTGGAGGACAATAATCGCATTGGACAGCCTGACGCTCCGGCCTTCAAGCGACGAAGGACGACCATCATCAGCAATACCCCTTCGAACCCGGCGGTAAGAAGAAATTCACAGGTGCAGGAGATCGAAACCTCGTCAGATTCGAGCAGGCCATACTCTCCGTCTGCAGAGGCTGAGAGCGATGAAGCTTCTCTCCACAGCGGTGCCCCAAGTCCGACAGGAACAAGCTTCGACAGCCTCGAAAATTCCCTGACACGGAAGAGGCCCCCAAAACTCAAGCGAAATGTGTCCTCTCTTCTACGTACCGCGTCTCCTCCACCACCAAGACGAGGCAGTTCAATTGCCCATGTGCCGCGAACAAAGTCCCCACAATCATGGAATTCTACAGGCTCCTATGCAACTGCTCACCCGCAATCTCAGGTTGAAGTCCCGCGTCCGACCCTCTCAACTCATACCCGATCTACAACCCTTCCCAGCTCCATGCCACACCTCCCGAGTCCTTCAGCTGAAACCCTTTCCCAAAGGCAGCCCGACAACTTGACCACCGAAGCCAGAGAGGACATAACGATCCGCCAATCCAACGCTTACCCGGGCGCAACCAACACTATAAACTCCATCCATCAACGAAAATGGTTTCTTTCTCTGGACCGCGCCGCATGCGGCTTTCGACCTACCAATGAATTCGCGTTTGGGAGACGAGTCTGGAAGCGTCCGCGGCTCACGGGCACAGATACGAGCGGGGAACAAAAGAGCGACGTAGGAGGATTCAAACCCTTCTATGTTCGGGGAAGGGAAGTGGAAACTAGTGTTCTGACAGGGAGACTGGCCGCTGATGTCGCCCGCGATGAGGGATTGGTTGGATATAAGCCGCGAGGCGGCTGGAAGGGCATCACGGATTGAGGAATCTTTTGCTATTACCGGTGCCCGAGAAATCGGCTCGCCATCTTGGGTAGTGTAGCCTTTCTGCCGACCCGGGAGAAAATTGCAACTGAACATGTTGGCGGCGGGCTCTTCTAGGTCGATTTAGGTATCCGCTCCGAGAAGACTGTCCAGGAGGCCCTTAGAGAGTATGTCAGGAATCGAGAGTCGATTGCTCTACGAATGTCTCTTCATTTCAGGACGTAGGGACCAGGAGACCGGGAGTACCAGTCATTATATGGAATATGACGCCGATCCTCGAGTACCGCCAATTTAGCAAGTATTTTGTACTTCATTGTTCCTGTGATGCATGTGCTGGTAGCGCAACCAGATAACTACCACGAATACCAGCTGGACAGGTGGTGTCGATGGAGGTTGAGATCGACCGCAGCGTACGGAGTATACGAATGCACATTAGACAAGCCTAGGGTGTAAAAGACCAGGATGTAAGAGAGGTTAGTGAGGCCCCTAAGAGAGTTCACGACCCTTATCCGTGCAGTCGTTGGGTTTCTCTGGCAGGTGGCAGGGATGTTCGTCTAGTCAAGGCGATCCGCCCGCCATTGTGTGGCGCTCCGGACGGATTTCAACTCGACAACGAAAACGATAATTATGCTTCCCGCTTCGACGGCGCTCATACGAGATATTGGAGCGTACACACGGAGACACTAGCCCCTGGCCCTTCAGCTCGAGACCCTCAATCTCTACTCTCACTAGCTGCATATCCTCGGCATTGCACGTCACGGATTCTGCGGAGCATCGCATCTCGACATACGGAGTAATTGTCCTTGAAATGCGCACCATCCGCACGCTCAACTGATTGCGACTCGCTTACTCCTGCGCTCCCATCATCTATCTCTCGCGAGCGATCCTGAAGACGGAGGGCCGCGGCACTTTGACGATACTCCATATGTTATTCTTATTCTCGGCCAGTCGCATGACCTGCTTTCCCAGTCCGCGAGATTCAGCTGTCGCGAGGAATGCAAGCCCAAAGGACCAAAGCCGAGCTTCAGCAACATAAAGCCAAAGTACGAACTCTGATCGCAGCACATATACGTGCATTCAACTGACAGACCACCGACAGCTCGCCAACTCCTACTCCGAACTACTTGCGTACGCCTCGCCCTGTGCACTTCCTGCTCAAACATGCGCTGACAGCACCGCTTAGCCAATTCGCCTCGACAGACCTCAAGACCGTCGGAAACTACACGTTAGGGAAGCTTATCGGCAAAGGCTCTTTTGGCAAGGTCTATCTTGCGAGACATAACCTCACAAATGGCTCAAAGGTCGGGCTCGCAATAGGCTGGGGGCAAGACAAATGGCTGACGATGCGCCCGCAGGTGGTACTCAAGGCCTCGAATAAGAGCGATCCCAATCTGGCCAGAGAGATACACCATCACCGACAGTTCATACATCCACATATTGCCCGACTATACGAGGTTGTAATAACAGAATCCCTGGTGTGGTTAGTCTTGGAATATTGTCCTGGTATGACCTCCTCAGTCTATCCTCGGCCACAACACTGAACAACGCCCCAGGTGACGAGCTGTACAATTATCTGTGCAAGAATGGCGCGCTTCCCGTCGAAACTGTACAAAAGATCTTTACCCAGCTGGTCGGAGCTGTTGCCTATATCCACAGCAAGTCCTGTGTACATCGCGATCTGAAGCTGGAGAACGTGCTACTAGACAAGCACGATAATGTTAAATTGTGTGACTTTGGCTTCACACGGGAGTATGAGGGAAAAGCGAATTACCTGCAGACCTTTTGCGGCACCATATGTTACAGTGCTCCGGAGATGCTGAGAGGCGAGAAATACGCTGGCGAGAAAGTCGACGTCTGGAGCTTGGGAATCATCCTGTACGCGCTGTTGAAGGGAGAATTGCCCTTCGACGAGGATGATGATGCTGCGACCAAAGCGAAGATTCTGAAGGACGACCCCATCTATCCTGACACCTTCCCGGATGCCGCAAAGACTCTGATCTCCAAGTTGCTTTCCAAACGGCCCTTGCACAGGCCTACTCTTTCAGATATTCTGGCCGACCCATTCCTGGCCGACCACGCGCCCCAGCAACAAGCCATTCTGAAACTGTCGCAGCCAGCGGTGTTCTCAACACAGCTGGAAAAGGATACCCTGGAGCGCATGAAGTCAGCTGGAGTAGATATCGACAAGGTCATTGAAAATGTGCTTGCGCAACGCTGTGATGCACTTGCGGGATGGTGGGCATTGCTCATTGAGAAAGAGACGCGCAAGCAAGCACGCAAGGAACGCAAGCGAAAAGATCGCGACGCCGAAATGAAGATTCTCAGGCGGCTGAGTGGTGCCAGCAGTCGCCTCGAACGAATTGCCCCCACGCTGCTCGAGGTCGACGAAGAGCATTCTCCGGGAGATGTTGAACCCCGTCGGAGTAGCAGTCGTGGAAGGACACAGCGGAGGAGCACTCCTCAGATCCTAGTCAGCGACCTTCCACAACTTCCGGAAGGCGATGTTATGAAATCGCCCAAGTCCGGAGCTGGAACGCCGCCACCACCGCCGATCGACAAAGACTCCGTCCGCTCGAACAGTGGTTCTCGGCCACCCTTGCCCCCCAAGGAACGTAAACGCCGGAGCAGTACGCTTCAGCTTGTGACGTCCAACCCGGAGTTGCTGGGTCCTGTGAATGGGGTGAGCAAGCGACGGAGTGGAAGATTCCGCAACCGTCAATTCATGAGCCAGCTCACAGCCTTGAAGCACTGGTTCGTTGAGTCCACAAAACGGGCCAAATCACCTGTCTTGAACGGACATTCGAATAACACCTCCAAGGCGACCCTCCCCAGTAACGCGCTTCAGGCGAACAGAAGCAGCAGGAATGTCGCAGCTAACCTCAATAGATCATCTATGGGGTCGACATTGACGCCGACTGTGTCAAATTCAAGACCGCTGACCAAGTTATCCACCAACGCTCCCCTGGTCGATACTACTCGTGCCGGAGTCCACCGCAAGTCACTTTCACCCTCACCCATCACACCACGTTCATCATACCGACGCAGCTCCACCGGCCTACGTGGCCGCAAGTCCACCTCTTCGTCGGTTTCCTCGATCCGAAGCATGCCTCGACATGGCACATCACACAGCAAGGCTTCCTCGCAGAGCTCCAACAGCATCGACACCATCCATAGCCCGACGAGTCGGTCCGTCAGTATTGGTGGTCGCTCTCCTCACTCTTCCATCAAAGTCCTGCCCGTGACGCCCACAGCGAACGCTTTCCCTTCCAACATTCGCCTTGTCCGGACTCCCCGCGGCTCAGATGCTGGTCTTCCACCTCGACCACTATCAGGCATCGGTGCTGATCTACTGAGTCCTCCACCTGGTACACCGCAAGCTAACGCCTTTGGCTCTAATGTCATGTTTGCACGACGGAAGAAATCCCCTTTCAAGGGGCCCACGTTGAACTCTGCATTCTTCTCCGCGTCAACCATCCCTGCCGCATTCGGAAGTCCCGCTGTCTTGGGTGGTGGTGGGAGACAACGGGAAGGTTCAGACGGCAAACCAAACCTGGGGCTGAAAGATTTCATCGGCGGCGCACACCGGAAAGGCAGCTCTTCGAAGCGCAAGAGTCAGATTATTGAGGAAGAAGAGGAAGAAGAAGAGCAGGCCGTGGTCGAAGAGGAGGAAGAGGAGGTCGAAGAAGTCGAGGCATTCCAGGCCATTCACCTGAACAAAGGAGAACGGCTGGATAGTATCACGATCTGGAACGACGCTGTCACGGAGGAAGCAGAAGACTCAAGTGTGAAGATCCACTCTGGAACCAAAGCCTAGGTGTCCGGGTGTGCAAGTCCGGCGCCAACAAACATTCTTCTGCGCTAAACGAGGCCCTCCCTTCGACTGCATGCCGGCTCCGTACCACAGGATGAGGTCCTGATGGAATGTGATATGTCCACGGCGAGCGAATCGGTGTCATGCCTCTGCCGCTGGAGCGAGGGAGAGGGAGCGCGGAACAAAAAAGTCTAGCGATTTCAGCGAATGTCACGAACTCTTCTTTTTGTTTGTTTAAAATCTCCTTTGTCAGGTCGGGAGACATGGTGATGGGGAATATGTGGGATATGCGGGATATGAATGCGATCATCGCCCGCGATCACGATTGCCTCCGCGACCGCAGTATGCGCGTTGCGAGTCCACGCGTCGCTCTAATCAAATTCTGTACGATATGTGAATGTGATATGTGATGAAATGCAATCGATCTCCTGGCACTGCTGAGCGATTGCTTATGTAGCTACGTAAAGAGCACATCTGAGTATCTGGTCAGTGAGTCCGTGAGTGAATCCGCGAGTGGGTGAGGGAGTGAGCTGATCAGGTCCGGTCAGGTAGTCAGTGATGCGAGATTGAAATGTATCATATCATACGGAGTACATACATGGCCTTATGATGAGCCAACCTTGCCAGACAAGCGTGTGCCGTCGTCCCTCCACGCATGGATACGTCTACTATAGGTAGTGGACAGAGTACGGACGGAGTACAGTACCCAGGTAGGTAAGTTACCATATGGTATGGTATGGTGTGGTATAGTGTCGCGTGGCATAGTGTTGTATAGCTTGTGTTTGTGCAAGTGTACATCTCGTTGTAAGAATCATCGCCAGGGTATACCTACCTAGATACCTACTGTAGGTAGGTACTGTGCCTACCTTACACAGGAGATGGAGATGGATATATCTCTTGCTTTGAGCCAGAAACGAGGTACCTATGTTGACTAGCCGGGCAAGCGATCGGTACATAAGTCATCCTTTACTGCATTGCTCATTTCTTAGTCCTGTCCTCTTACGTCTCTCCGTGTACTCCGTATATTTAAGCCTATAATAAGCACACTAACTTAGTCTAGTTTCAGCAGCTTATAGCTTCTAGCTTCCTACCTCCCAGCTTCCCTACTTCATGTCTCCTGCTTCCTGCTTCATGTCTCCCGTTGTACTTCCACGTCGAGGTCACCTCCTTCTCTCGCTGGTATCCCTTCAGGGGCTTGCCGGGTCAGGCTACATTATGTGTGCTCTGTACTGTGTACTGTGCGCAATATCTCCTGACATTCGGCGATCTTGAACGTCGCTAACTCGCCTCGTTTACAGTGTCAATACTGCGTGATCAATAGCTCCACTTTGCCGTCCTTCGCTTCCCCGACTCGAATAGTCCTCACACATGCCTCGTGTTACCGCAAAGACTCCCATTCTCTCGCTTGGCGAAATGACATTCAAACAGCTCAAGTCATACCCACCAATTACTTGTTGGCGACGTTGATACCCTCGCTCAGGCTGGGACTTCTCACAGTAAGTACCGCTGTTGGCTGCGTGCGAGTCGTGGTTCGGAGATATGACTGGCGGTGAATCGTACGGGTTGTCTCGCTTACGATTTGCAGGTCATCGTCTCCATCACCAGCGTCGTCGTCCTCTTCTTCTTTGCCGTCTTCTTGGTAGTTTCTCTTCCTGCCAGCAAGTATTTTGCCAGGGCATCCGTTGGCTTTGGCGGTCTTCCTGAAATGATCTTGAATGCTCGTTTGCTTGCTTTGGCGACAAGCAGCCGCTGTCGGTGCTTTCGTCTTCGGTTTGCAGTTGGTCTTGCTTGAAAGAGCTCCGGTGAGTTTTCAGGAGCTCTGACTTTCCGCTGGCGGGGTGCTGCGTTATGCGTTCCACTGCTATGGTCGTCCTCGACTGTCAGGTCGATGGCTGAGATAGATTTTACCTTGGTGGCAACAGCGTCTGCTGGAGAACTTGTAAAGACTTTAGACCGGTGCCTTTTGGGCTTTTCTACAACTGGAAGCGGCGGCGGCAGCGGGCTTGGGCTGGGAATAGCTGCGTGCTGAAGTAGTTCCTCTATAAAAAGATTCATCTCTGGTGCGGGAGACGGTTGCTTAGCCACGTCCGGCTTCCGGTCGACTTGTTCAACTTTCTCCGCCCTTGCAGCGGTATGGCCATACTGAGTTCCTGTGTCGGCTGTTCGATTAACCTGCTGTGAGTCTTTTCGCTCTTGGGCCCTGGTCGAGTCTGGAGATAATGTTGACTTCGAAAGTAAGAAGGACTTTGATGTTTTCGAGGGTATTTCGACCGTGATCTTAGCCTTCTTAACCTTCAGGTAAGACTGCCGTGTTTCTGGTGATTGTTTGCTATTTCTTGGCGCGGTACCATCTGCCTGAACATCTGTCCAGTCCTCTTCGTCATCGGGGAGTAGAGAACTCGTCGTTAGCTGATTGAGCTGTCGCCTCTCGCCGTATATACCACGGATGAATTCTTCGAAATTGGTCCCCCTACTTCCTCGAAGATATCCGTCCACCTTGAAGCTGCGCAGGAGTTGATACGCCACGACACCTCGGTAAATGTCCCGGACTTTGTTGAGAGACTAGAAGTGTAAGTCAGCTGCGAGTATGGACGCCCGAAGGAAGCCTACTGGTGCCATCAGTTGCCCAGCTTCATAGTTTATCTCGGGTATCGCTGTCCTAGATGTACTATGCTTTTGCTAAGAAATGTAAGTGAGGAGCCATAGTGTATGAGGTGCACATTGTTCTTCGCGCTTACATTTCTTGGTGAAAGCATAGTATAAAGCCGTAGAGCTTCTCGATGATTTAAGATCGCAATTGGTTGGGTCTCGACAGCCCCCCATACCAAAAACTATACGTAGTGTTAGCTCTACTCAAAGGTTCAGCTCCCGCAGCTTGCCTCCCCAGTCCCGGTGTAGTCTTTCTGATTCCTCCGTTCAGACTTTGAAGAGCGATCGTCATGGATCCTAGTTAGGTTGTTCAACTTGTGGGCTCCATAGACGTCGGGGACAAGCCAAAGGCCGTCTCCTTCTCCGTATGTCTGCTCGATCTTCTCTTCTAGATCGTTATAATCGACGATCAATAATCCTCTTGGGATCCGGTTATCCGTGGCGATAATGCTCAATGCTCTGGCCGGACTCTGCGTCAACGAAAGGAATGGAGACTCGAAGATCTTGTCTTCACACAAATGTCTTCTTGCCAGATCGCGAAACTCGTTTGTTGTATAGCCTGGCGGTGGCGTGATCCTCGTGGATGGCGATAGGAAACGCCGAGCTCTGAGCCCATGACTTGGGTCAAAAGCTCTAAACAAGAGCCGCGGTCGTTTTCGCACGAATTTTCCTTGATTGTTGAACCGAAGACTTAGGCGCGGATTCATACGTGTTGCTGTTGCTGAAAAGTCATTTTCATCAAGACGCATGGTCACCTCATCTTCGCTCTCACTGTCACTCCTTGGGGCCCAGGAGCCACGGGAGCAAGAATCCGTTGAGATACTCAGCGAAGCAGAAGAATCCGTCATTGAATCAGAGTTAGAATCAGTGTCAGAATCAGTGCCAGAGTCAGGACCCCATTCATCTTGGCGTGCACGAAGCTCGCTCTTTAGCCATGCTGTTTTCTGCGTAGGCATCTTCGCAATTGACTTCGCCTACGGCTGTGAGAAGGACGCGGTGGAGATGGCTGGGCCGAATAGGATAGTAGCAAGACGAAAGAGATTGAAAGCTAGTGAAGCGAAAGGGAAGTCGAGGTGAGAGAAGTAGAAAGGTAGAGAAACAGCGAGTAGAAGAAGAGATGCGGTTATCCGAAGGTACGAGGTGAGGCATAATGATGGATCCAGTGTAGGGAGTAGCGTGTTGAAGTGTGGTGCTCGAGCCAACGCTGTAGGCATGAAAGCTGAGGTCTCTATAGGTCACAAGGTAGTCGATGCCAACGAGACTGCTGGCGCTCGGAGTGAGGCCTACCTAGTCTGGATAGAGAGCACCCGGAATACACAGCTGATACCTGATGATTGCGTGGAACTTGACCAACCCAAGTCTGAGTTTGATGCCGATGACGCAGCGAAGAGGAAGTGAAGGTGGTGAAGGGAAACAGAACGGATTTACATTGATCCGTCATAGTCGTGTCTGCCAAGCTCCCCTGAGACTCAGGTCAAGGCTGCAGCAGCAGATTCCTCACTGTTCGTCGTCACTTTCAGATTGGTTATATTCTGGTCACTGAGCATGTCGCTCTGAAGAAGCACCCAAACCGCTTCAAGATTGGAGACTTACTGTTCTCAGACTGACTTCAGATGGAGGAAGTCGAGGCTGCTCAATTCCTCGAGTCGCTCATTGGGAAGACACTCTATGTCACAGTTCCGGATGGACGGCTATTTTCAGGGACGTTCCGTTGCACAGACAACGAAAGCAATGTTATTTTGTCGAATGCATTCGAGTACCGAATGCCATCCCAGGCTGCGGAGGATGCTGCTGTGGAAAAGCTGAAGGTTAAGGGGCAAGCCAGCAGGGCAAATATGACGTCCCGCTTCGTCGGCCTGATTGTCATCCCAGGCAAGCAGATTGCCCAGATGGAGGTTGAGGAGCGACGCGAGTGGCCAGGTGGGCAGCCGTTATCGGTACGAACAAAGACGTGAAGGATTACATCTCCGCTTCAGCACGGTCATGCCCTGCTGTGGCATTTCAACACGAATGCTTTGCCGGTCATACCACGTGCAGGTCCCCGCGGCATATGCGAACGACGTTTGCCTCACTCTTATCGAACCATTGAGGATAAAAGATGTTACTGGCTGAGACGAGCGAAGGCCACGTCGGTCCAAGAGCACGAGCAGTTGACTCCGGCGAGAATAGGCAGGGAGGCCTCCGATCAATACCTTCCACACATAGTTACAATGATTCTACTGGGAGGAACCTGGAAGAGCCTTCACGGGGACTGTGCGCCGGTACCGATGAGTGATGCTGTCAGGCATCGTACCAGAGACGACATTGTTGCTAATTGGCTTACACCCTCATGAGTGATGGACATGAAGAACGGCCTCGTCGAAGGACTGCAGGGCAGAGACTAGAGTGAGACTGATGAATTCTGGCATCCTCAAAGTTAAGGGAGCGATGACACGGGACTAATTTCCCAACTACTCTGAACCCTCGGTTAGAAATGTATTTGCTGCAGCCAAAATAAGGGAGGAAGCAGAGAGCGAAAATTCGAGTCGCACTGCTTATCCAGCGGCAGGCCATCAGGCTTAGTGTACTCGGTACACAGTGATATACGGCCCCGAAGTCCCTTGTACTCGTAGTAAGCAGGGTTATCTCTGGTAAAGTCGCACCTTGGTGATTTGTGCGCAGCGTGACCTCATCCGGGGGGTACGGGCTTGGTGGGCTTGGGCATAACCGGGAGCCTGGCGGGCCCGGCGGGCGTTAGGGGTCTACCCTGTACTCGTACTGACGTGACTGGGTCCTTAGGCGGCCTTCAGCACATCGAATGTTCTGGGCCACGCAGCCGATATGGCCGAAGGTGCAGCCAACCAGAGCGGCGCAGCGAGTCTGGAGAACAACACCAAGAAAGCCGAAGCGACTAACTGCGCATGGACGAGGAGTTCACTTCTGTCGGTAATTCTGCTCTCAATTTATTATCAGCCCTACGTTGTCTTCCTCCACCTCGTCGCCTTGACAGTATCTTAGATGTTGTGATCTCCATGCTACCAGGCTTGACTTAGTTCTCAGTGTCTGTCAGTCGCCATCTTCCCGTTGAGGTTAGTCACCGTCCAGCCTTTCCGCCGCCGGTGTTGCGTCACCTGTTTCACGATCACAACCCATGCGACCTCTTCCCTCCCACAGGAGATGCAGTGGTTTACTTAAGTTGTCCGAGCTCGAGACACTTGTTTATCAGTCTACTGACGTCGGATCTCCGTTCTACCGCAGGCGAGACAAAGAAGTGAACCCCCACAAAAGACGTTCCATGCCCTACCAGCCCTTGTCACCTATTCCTACGCACAACACCGCTCGAGCTAGCGATATCGCGCCTTATTGTTTGAAGGTGGATTTGACTTGAGCATACGAACAGTGTGCTCCTTCCAGAACGCCCTCGAGAACAGTCGCCAAAACGCATTCCTCAAAGCGGCTGCTTATCTCACTCCTTAAACCTCCTTGACCCGCTCGCTATCTCCTTCGACCATCTGCCACGGCCGGGTCCATAGTTTCCCGCGAAGAATTCAATGGGTCAACAACAGTCAAAGGGCAGCGATGGTACTAGAACCCCATTGAAGAGCGGCTCCTCCTCCAATCTCCCCGAGACTTTGCAGCAATATCCCTCCATCTCTAAATCCGATACCAAGGAAAGCACTTCCAGGTCTATCCGGTCCTCCATTCGAAGCAAGATAAAGAGCTCGGGAGATGACAAGACCAACGATAGTCCTCGGGGATCAGCTTCGGCCCTCGCCGGCGTGGACGGCCCGAACAATGACAAAGGCGACGCTAGTTCGATTGCGAGTGGTCGTTCAGGTTCCTCACGGGCCCCTCGCGAGAAGGTCACGCAGGGGTCATTGGTAGAATCGCCCACGTCGCCTGCGGATGATGAAGACGCACCATCACCGGGCGCCAACACGCCAGCCAGACCGCCATCACCAACCCAGTCCAAGTCCGTCGGCAAGGGCCACAAATCGGTAGATCGTGCTCAGCGTACTGGCGAGGTTGGGGCGGTTTCGGAAGACGCACCTCATCAGGCTCATGTGCACTCGTCGACGCAGAAAGCTGGGGATTCAATCCTGGTCAAGCGGGAGAATCAGATCAATCCACGAGCTCCAGAGACCAAGGCTTCGCTGAGGGCCAAGTTGGCGGAACTACCAGGCGCATCTCCGGGCGGTGGCATGGGCATGGGAGACGTGAATGACATGGATCTGGACGACATGATCTCTCGGCTCCTCGATGCCGGCTATACCACCAAAGTAACCAAGGCCGTGTGCCTTAAGAATGCCGAAATCACGGCCATTTGCAGTGCTGTCAGGGAAGTGCTACTCTCCCAGCCAGCCCTCCTGGAGCTGACTGCGCCGGTCAAGATTGTCGGAGACATCCACGGGCAGTACAACGATCTGATTCGTCTGTTCGAAATGTGTGGCTTTCCTCCCAATGCCAATTTTCTCTTCCTTGGCGACTATGTCGACCGCGGAAAGCAGTCGCTCGAAACCATTCTCCTGCTGTTCTGCTACAAGTTGAAGTACCCGGAGAATTTCTTCATCCTCCGGGGCAATCATGAATGTGCCAACGTCACGCGTGTCTACGGCTTTTACGATGAATGCAAGCGGAGATGCAACATCAAGGTGTGGAAAACGTTCATCGACACCTTCAACTGTTTGCCGATTGCGGCTATTGTGGCAGATAAGATCTTCTGTGTCCACGGTGGGTTGTCCCCGTCGCTCTCCCACATGGACGACATCCGACAAATCGCCCGCCCTACAGATGTCCCAGATTATGGTCTGCTCAACGATCTCCTCTGGAGCGATCCGGCGGACATGGAACAAGACTGGGAATCAAATGAAAGGGGAGTGAGTTATTGCTTCGGGAAAAAGGTTATTGTCGACTTCCTCTCACGGCACGACTTTGACTTGGTTTGCCGCGCTCACATGGTTGTTGAAGATGGATATGAGTTTTTCAATGACCGGTTGCTGGTCACCGTCTTCTCTGCCCCCAATGTTCGTCAAGCACGGCCCCTCAACTAGTGCTTGCATATCGCTAACTGTAATCTAGTATTGTGGTGAATTCGACAACTGGGGTGCTGTCATGTCGGTGTCAAGCAATTTGCTGTGCAGTTTCGAACTGCTGAAACCGCTGGATTCGAGTGCACTCAAGAGCCACATCAAGAAGGGCAGAAATGCTCGTCAAAACATGCTCAACAGTCCGGTAAGTGCTTGTTTTTCCATCGTCCTGACAAAACCCGGCTAATGCGGTGCGTAGCCAGCACAAGTGTCCGCCCAGAGCTTCTAGGAGTTGCCCAAATTGTCGCGAAGTCCATCAATGCAAACACAACGGCCCGGCTCGTCCCTGCGTTGACTATGACCGCACTTTCCGCCTAGGGTAATGTCACATCAGCCCTGCACAGCAAAGGTTGATTTACAAAAGATGCATAAACTTCCTGCGGGGCCAGATAAAAGGAGTCTATCTATGCTACCCTGCTACTTCAGTGCTTTCTTCTTCCAAGAGGCGTCGGGGTTGGCGCAGGTGGATTGCTCCAAACAACCGGGGAGGAGCCGAAGTGCGACGAGCGCTACAGTGCTGGAAAAGCATATCCAAGTGTCTTCCAGAGTTCCTAGACCTCGTTTCAGTCGAGGCGAATCGAGTCGAGTGGATGCAATGCAGCCGAGGGTGTACTGGGTAGTTTGCTTGGGGTGTAGCGCTGCGGCAGCAGGGGTGGAAAGGAAAGAGGTTGTCTGACACACGGACACCGGCAGCAGCAATTTGAACTTTAGGGAGCAAGACGTCGACGTAAAATGACGGGCCAATGCGATGAAGATTCTCCAATCCCAATCGAGGTACCTGTTTCAGACTGAAAGCGGCCGTGAAGCTGAGGCCAGCCCCGAAGGCCAAATGGCGCTGTTCCATCTGGTCAGACGCGCGAAACGAGCACGAGCGCGTCGAACTTTGGCTTGCAGGCTCAGAAATAATGGGCGGGAGCAGTGCTCCACTTCCACACGCAGCCAATCCCGTCTGGCTGCGGAGCAGTCACTGTGCCCTCACCTCGAGCACAGTGTACAACTGACTTGCAACTGAGATCCTTCTGACTTTTTCCTCTCTCTCTCACCTCTGCTCAAGCCTTGGGCCAGGACAGCCTAAGCCGCGCCACGGCACTGAGTCGCTCAATTCACCTTCCTCCCACCACCGGACTGCATGTCTTGACTCAGCAAACCGACTCCCGCGAGGCCGTGTCGATCTTCCGCATTGCTTCCCAACGCAAACGACAGCTCCTGCTCTGCCGCCTGCCGTGCACCGCACCACATCCCGCCTCCTGACGAGAAGCTGCGGTTTGGACGCATTTTCCCCACGAGAGTTCCTCGTATCTTGATCTCGCCATTTTGATCCTCCTCAAAGCGGCCTTTGTGGCCACTCTCCGATGCCATCATGAAAGCCGGACCTCTCCTCATACAATGGCACTCCGAAAGCCAGCCCATTTACTCGGTCCACTTCGACCCTCATGGCAAAGGGAGGCTGGCAACGGCTGGAGGGTGAGTCCTCGCACTTCACATTTGAATGTCGTTTGCTAACGGGAATAGTGATAATCATGTCCGAGTATGGCATTCCGATCCCTGGAAACGTAGCAAATGGCCCTTGCTAACAACGGGCGCACAGATATGGAGCATCGAAGCTCAAGGAGAAGAAAGAAAAGTCACATATCTGTCAACCCTTACCAGGCATACTCAACCTGTCAATGTCGTCAGGTTCTGCCCGAAAGGTCAGTGGTCTGTCCATTCCTCTAGTATGCATCTGCTGACGAGGGATCAGGTGAAATGCTGGCCTCGGCCGGTGATGATGGCAATGTCCTACTATGGGTACCCTCCGAAACGTCGATGGTTCCCATGGGCGAGGATCATGCCGACGACAAAGAAACATGGCGGATCAAGCATATGTGCAGGACATCCACAGGCGCGGAAATATACGATCTGGCATGGTCTCCAGATGGCCAATACTTTATTACTGGTGGGGTAGACAATACAGCCAGGATCTTCAATGCACACACTGGTATGAAAAAGACAGCTACTCTTCAGATGAGCCCGGCTGACATTTGTCCAGGCAGCATGATCCGCCAAATAGCAGAACACAGTCATTTCGTGCAAGGAGTGGCCTGGGATCCGCTGAATGAGTTTGTGGCTACTCAGTCTTCCGACCGCTCCGTTCACATCTACGCCCTCAAGCTCAAAGACGGCACCCCTACACTCTCGACTCACGGCAAATTCAACAAGATGGACCTACCTGGACGCCGAATATCGTCCAACAGTCCAGCGCCAGCAGCACCTCCTTCAGAACTGACACATCGCACATCAAACGCCAGCGTCAGCAATCTCGCCATTGCCTCTCCTGCACCGTCAAATCCTGGCACGCCTCTAACTACTCCACTGCCCATGGATCCTCCTCTGCTGGCTTCAAGTCGGCGATCTTCGTTCGGCTCATCGCCTTCCTTCCGCAGATCAGCTTCACCGGCTCCTTCGTTGCCGCTACCAGCGGTAAGGCCAGAAATCTCATCACCTAGCCTCAACGCCGCCATGGGTCTAGCTGTCAGGAATACAAACCTGTACCACAACGAAGCAATGACGTCGTTTTTCCGGCGTCTCGCTTTTTCGGCGGACGGGAGCTTACTGTTCACACCTGCTGGACACTACAAAACAAGCCAAGCATTCGCAGGCGATCCCACCAAAACGAACGACGATATCACCAACACCGTTTACATTTATACGAGAGCTGGTTTCAACAAGCCGCCGGTGGCGCACCTACCGGGTCATAAGAAACCTTCGGTGGCGGTCAAGTGCTCCCCCGTCCTCTATACCTTACGTTCAGCCGCGAAATCGACGAGCCACATCACCATTGACACGTCCTCTGGAAGCGAGGAGATCCCATTATTGCCCGACCCGATTGTCCCTCAGACCCCTACCACGATCATGGAGCCACCGCCGTTGTCGGTCACGACTTCAATACCCGAGTCAATGGCCGCCCCTTCGCCGAAACCCTCGGCAGATGGTGAGCCGGCGAGTCCTGCTCCAGCCCCAGCCTTTTCGCTTCCCTATCGGATGATATACGCAGTAGCAACGCAGGACGCGGTGTTTGTCTATGACACTCAGCAAAGCACGCCCATTTGTGTGGTGAGCAATCTTCATTACGCCACTTTCTCGGATTTGACCTGGTAAGTTGGAACTCTGCAAGTTTTGTGACCGGGCTGACCAATGCAGGTCAAATGATGGACTGACTCTGCTCATGTCCTCTACCGACGGTTTCTGTTCAACACTGGCATTCTCGCCTGGTGAACTTGGCCAGGTCTACACTGGACCTCATCCGACCTACAATCATCCAGTCGTTTCAACGTCTATTGCTCTCCCGACTTCTTCGGCCGGATCAACACCAATTCCGACGCCTACTGCAACTGCATCGCCTTCATTGACCAAGGCTTCTCCTATTCCGGTACCACCATCTCATCCATCGCCAGCACCGTTTATCCTACGTCCTGGAAGCCCAGCCAGGTCCAACTCACAGTCGTCCATAGCAACCATGACGTCGATCCAAACTACTGGTTTTCCTAACAATCCTACACCTACCATGGGCCATGTGCCACTGGTTACTGCTGCCAATTCTGGCCCCCCGGTCGCCATTCCCCCAATGACTACACCACCGCAGACTCCTGCAAGTTTCCACGGGGGCCAGCACTCTGCAACAAGCTCGATTAGTGGATCGGTCTTGGGCAAGCGAGATGCGGGAGCGACGAGCGAGAGTGAGAAGGAAGAGAGCAAGTCGAAAAAACGAAGGATCGCCCCGACGCTTGTAGGGCCTACGGGCTCGGCTGATACCACGAAGGACGGGGAAGTGAAATGATTAGTTCCAAGCTGTATCTGCTTGTGGGGGCAGCCTTTCTTTTGTTCTGCAAACATGGAGGGCATTACTTGAAACCTACGATGATCTAGCGTGGCGTCGGGTAAAAGTCGCAAATAGGGACTTTATGGATTGCAACAGAGAGGCATATTCAGGAGGGATGAAATACCATATTTGCCCAAAGATCATCTGTCCTCACTGAATCTCAACTTCGTAAATTGTAGATCTCGACGGAGGGTCGTGGTGTTGAGCCTGAATCATGCACTTTGTTAGCAGGCGTTACAGCGGAGCATGTCCAAAGCGGGCATGTGACATCGCGTCATTGTCGTGCTGCAGAGGGACAGCGACGACTTTTCCACGAGTCTTCAATCTACATTCATTCCACTCTCTGCGCCGCTTGACCAGATTCTATCAGCCTTCTGCACAGGCTCCTGCCTCCACAAAAAGATGCCCCCAACTTCTTCACTGGCGCCCAATACCCCATCCGCCATCAGCCTGACGAACACCTCCATCATATTGCTACCGCACCATGGGTGTAACGGGCCTCTGGACAGTCGTCGCCCCCACCGCTCGTCCCACTCAGCTCGCCTCCCTAAACCGTAAACGGCTCGCCGTCGACGCCTCGATCTGGATTTACCAATTCCTCAAAGCCGTGCGCGACAAGGAAGGCAATGCCCTCCGCAACAGCCACGTGGTCGGCTTCTTCCGTCGAATCTGCAAGTTATTGTACTTCGGTATCAAACCCGTGTTTGTATTCGATGGCGGGGCGCCCGTGCTGAAGAGGGAGACCATCCGTAAGAGAGCGCGGAGAAGGGAGGGGAGGAGGGAGGATGCAGCCCGGACGGCTGGGAAGCTGCTTGCCGTGCAGGTTGCGCGCGCGGCCGAGGAGGAAGAACGGAGAAGAAAAGAGGCGGTAAGCAGGGATGACGATGAAGAAGAGTTGCCGCCGGAGCAGGAGCTCGTGTACGTCGAGGAGATTGGCATGAACCAGAAGGAACGGCAGGCAGGTCGGAGTGAGAAATTCCGCAAGAAAGATCAATACCATCTGCCTGATCTGGATGTGAGCATTGCAGCAATGGGCGCGCCCAATGATCCGAGAATCATGTCTCAGGCCGAGTTGGAAGAGTACGCGCGCCACTTCCACAGCGGCGAGGACATCAATCTGTACGACTTCTCCAAGATTGACTTTGAGAGTCCCTTCTTCTTGTCCCTGCCGCCCGGTGATCGCTACAATATCCTGAATGCGGCAAGACTACGCTCGAGACTGAGAATGGGATACTCGAAGGAGCAACTCGACGGCATGTTCCCGGACCGCATGGCTTTCTCAAAGTTCCAGATTGAGAGGGTCAAGGAGAGGAACGAGTTGACGCAACGCCTTATGCATCTGAACGGAATGGTCGAGGGCGATTTCCTCCTTGACGGCGGAGGCAGAATCGCGGGCGAGAAGGGAAAGGAGTACATCCTAGTCAAGAACGAAGGCGTAGAAGGTGGGTGGGCACTCGGTGTGGTGTCGAACAAGCATGGAACCAAGAAAGAAAACGCAATCGACCTTGACAAGGACGAGAACTCGGACGAGGATGCTAATCGTGCTGACTCTGCTGACGAAGACGAGTTTGAAGACGTCGCCATTGAAGGCTTGAATCGGTTACCGAAGAATTGGGCGAGGAAAAGGAAAGCTGAGGTTGACAATGGTATGATGTATGAAGAAGCCGCCGAGGTGATCGCGAAGAAGAGAAAGGCCGTGTACGAAGCCAGAAGGACTGCCGCCGAGACGCAGACCGGACGTCCTCAGGCCATTCCTGCTGTCCCACTTCCTACCCAGACTACGACTGCCCCCGTGGACGATGAATCTCTCTTTGTCCCCGACAATAAAGCTGACGATGAAGACGAGGACGACTTGTTTGAGGATGTCCTCCCGGTTGCGCCCGATATAGATGACGATGACGACCTACGACGAGCTATTGCTTTGTCCTTGGAGCAGATTACCGAGGACGATCACAGCACTCTCGACAAGGCCACAAGACCACCTAGCGAGAGCTCCGACGAAGACGAAGCCTTCGACCTACAAGCCGCGCTGGCAGAATCAAGACGGACCAAGCCCAAACCGAAGACAAACGTCAGAGACAGAGATCCATCCCAACCAAGGGAGGCTCCATTTCAGTTTCAGGGCCCCTTGCCGTTCGAGTCCCTCAATCTGGGTCAATCACTACTCAGAAAGAAGAAATCAAAGAAGATTGAGGAGGAGCTATCCGGCGGCTTCGATCGCGATCTGGGGGACGACGCTTTTCGAAAAGAAAGGCCGCCGCAACCAATGCCTGACTGGTTCGGTGCGACGCCTAATCCCAAGGATATGAAGTATACGGGAGTGGACAGGGACTTGATCGAGGATCCTACCACATATGGGCTGGACGACGTCGACAGAAGGGAATTCCTGCGTCGACGCGAGACAAAGGAGATAGTCGATCTGGATACCGATGAAGAAAGAGAGCAGAGTCCTGAACCTATTAACCTCGGAGCTGACGCTGAGAAGGCCGACCATGATCATCCGATTGACCTTGACCAGGACGAGGGTGATGAGAAAGATTTAGAAGTGTTGGTCCAGCCATCTCAGGACATGGATATCGATGCAGCTCTTCCAAGCCAAACAGAAGGGGTCGATTCGCCCAGGTTCGAAGAGGTCGGAGACCGTGATAAGCGCACGCGAGACGAAGAACGTGAGAAGCGCTATGAAATAGCTCGTCAGATTGCCGCCGAGACAGGGACCGGAGCACCAGAGGGCCAGCCGCATCCGACTTTGGGCGAGATGGCGGACGAAGTTCGAGCGGAACCCCCATTGCCTTCTTCCGCACCACAGTATAATCCTCGGCCGGCGGATAAGACTGCCGAAGACGGTGAGTTTGAAGCGGTGGACTGGAGCGAGTCTGATCACGACCAACCCGATCAGCCGGCAACTCCTGGCTCTCTCGGCACTGTCAACCCAGAGTCTCCAGCACCTCGACCTCGATCTGCAACGGCTGAAGTAGATGAAGATGATGACGAAGATTTCGAGGACGTCAATATGGAGCCAGCTCCAGCTCCACCTCATCTACAGAACACGAACATACCCAACGTATCGGCCCGCCGAGATCAGCCAGAGCAACAGCCTCCCAACCCAGCAGCCGAGCCGTTACCGGAAGACGAATTCGACTATCTCTCCACCGACGAAGAAGACCTGATGCGCCAACTTGCCGAAGAGGCAGAAGAACACGCCCGCTTCACCTCAGCCCTGCACAATCAGAGCACCTCAACTGAGCAAGCCATGCGCGACTTCGACGCCGAGCTGAAAGCCCTACGAAGCCAACAGAAGCGCGACCGCCGTGACGCGGACGAAGTCACCCAGACGATGATCCAAGAATGCCAGTCCCTGCTCCGTCACTTCGGCCTGCCCTACATTACCGCCCCCATGGAAGCGGAGGCCCAGTGCGCGGAGCTCGTGCGTCTCGGCCTCGTCGACGGCATCGTGACCGACGACTCGGACATTTTCCTCTTCGGCGGCACGCGCATCTACAAGAACATGTTCAACGCCGCCAAGTACGTCGAGTGTTACCTGGCCGCGGACCTGGAGAAGGAGTTCCTGCTCACGCGCGAGAAGCTCGTCCGCTTCGCCCACCTCCTCGGCAGCGACTACACCGAGGGCATCCCTGGCGTGGGGCCCGTGACGGCGCTGGAAATCCTTACCGACTTTGACGATCTGGACGAGTTCAAGGCCTGGACGGAGCGCGTTCAACTCGGCAGACCGGCCGATCTGGAGGGCCAGCTCAGCACGCCCTTCCGCCGCAAGTTCCGCAAGACGGTGCAGAAGAAGCTGTTCCTGCCGCCGGCGTTCCCGGACCGGCGTGTCGACGAAGCGTACCTGTTCCCGGAGGTGGACTCGAACGCCGAGCCCTTCCAGTGGGGGGTTCCGGACTTGGACAAACTGCGGGGCTTCTTGATGGCGACGATCGGGTGGAGCCAGGAGCGGACGGACGAGGTCCTCGTCCCCGTGATCCGCGACATGAACAAGCGCGAGGTGGAGGGCACGCAGAGCAACATTACGAGATATTTTAGCGGGGCTGTGGGCGCGGGTGCCGCTCGGGGCGGAGGGTTAGGTGGTGTAAGAGGTGGTACTGGCGGAAAAGCGCTCGCCATCGGTGGCGAGGGACCGTTGTTTGGTGCCGCGCAGGCAAAGGCCGAAGCTATGGCGCCGAGGAATCGTTCCGGCAAGGAGAGCGGGCGGATGAGGAACGCATTCAAGCGCCTTCGAGGCGAGGCTGAGAGGCGGCGGCGGCGTAGAAAGCACGACAACGATGAGGGAGACGAGCAAGGCGAGGAAGACGAGATGGATCCCAGTGACGGGCTGGGTGAGATTCAAGGCATTGATGGGGACGAGGAAGAGGACGAGGACGGGAACAAGGCCACAAATCCCGGATCAAACTCGGCGACTCCCGTCTCGGTGGATGGGAGTGGGTTCAGCGACGGAGATGTCGCCGGCGATGAAGCTGGATTGGACACAAAATCGAACTCGAAGTCGAAGACGAAGTCTAAGACAAAACCGAAGACGAAGGCAAGGCCGAAGAGCAACACAAAGAGTGCGACACAGAGGCGCGCCGCAATCTGAAAATAAAGAAGGAGAAAAAAATAGATCTCGACAAGGGGCTCGAGGAGAAGCGCTGTGGGAGAGGACTGCTAAATGATACTTTCGGGCCGGCTATGGCTTTGTTTGGGTGAGTCACAAGTGTATACATGATGAAAATGCATGATAAGATGAAGGAATGATGATGTTCACGTGGAGTAGGAGGCTAGATAGGGATACCTCGACGGGCTCTCGTAACGAGACGGACGTCCCTCCTAAACGAAGACTTTTGAGATGCGCCAGGGTCTAAAATGCTGGGGTATCATTTGACTCTTCTGCATTCTTCATTCTGTGTAGGTATGCCGTTTGGGCCCTTTTTTACACCTTGGCCACGTCCTGCGTGCGCATTCTGTGAATCTAGCTGCATGGTTCTGGTCTTCTCTAGTCTCCTGGACGGCGGCGATCTAGACGCAGGGTGCTTGATGCTCCCGCCGTCTCCGTGGTTCCTGTTATTGTAGAGACCAGTGCTTCCCGGGCATAGATTCCTACTGAGCCCGATGTGTCGTGAGCGCTGTTGAAAACAATGACTTCTTCGTGCGAGGAGCTAGCGTGGTATGCAAAGGATGGTTGCTCTGGAGTCGTGCCTCGTTGTCCTCGAGGCTGATAGATGTACATTGAACTGTGCCACGGTGTACATGCACGTTGTTGTTTCATGTGTGCATGTGAGTGGAGCGTACTGTAGATCATGCAAACAACTCGTCCCTCCTCCTCGTTGTCAGGGTCGATCAATCCTCCTGGTCAAATCAGGACACATTGACTGGGTCCTCGTACGCGGCCCGTTCTTTCGATCCTCGATAAACTGCCCCTCGCGGAAATAGGCCGTGTATCCCAAGATGGTGCACCACGGACACCGGTGCTGCTGGTAAGTTTGATCGAACCAGCCGAAGATATCGTACCAGTTGGCGTATATACAGTCGAACTCGGGGCTCTTCAGCTGCCTCTCCCAGAATGCAATGTCTCGGGGTCTGAACATGAAGCATGCGCGACATAGGTTGAGCGACGGTGGCATCCATTTGTTCTTCCGTTCGAGCAGGCGGAACAGGCCGTCCTTGTCACGGTAGCCGCGCCAGGGGGACATGACGTTCCTTTGAGACGCGATGCGGGCCATGGTCTTGCATGTGAGCGCGAGCGAGACCTGGAAGTAGGGAATCTTGACTTTCTCCAAGATGAGTGTCAGGATCTCGGGTGGCAGCTGCAGGATTTTGGACGTGGGTTGAGGAGAGACGGGCGCATCGAAGAGGATCGCCTGAGGAATGAAGAACGGATCGTATGGATCTGCCGGGGGCGGCACGTCTGGCGCGATTTGCTGGCTCCGTTGGAACGGGTAGATGGTATATTCTGGGTATCTTGCGATTTCGGCCGCGGTGGGAGGATGTTGCGTGAGAGTTGTTGGCAGACCACCGGTCCACGAGGCAAGAGTCAGTGGCGAGGTCGTGGAGGTCGAGGCAGGCTGATCTGAGGCGAGATCCCATGTCCGAAGCGATGTCGATGTGGATGCTGACGACCGCCGACCTGCCATTGCGAGCGGTTGTGTCGTGTTATGAACAACAAGCAGTGGTGTGCGTAAGGTACCTTAGGTTCGTACCAAGACCGCGAAACACGAGTTGAACGAAATCCGGGGAAGACAGGTGCAGAGGCGGATGCAAAATGCGGGCAGCGGAACAAATGAGGGGCCCGAGTTAGGGTACGAGATACGAGTTACGAGGAGCCGAGGAAACACTGGGGCAGCCAGGGCCAGCCACATGCGGCAGTGGGTTGCGAGGGTGCTGCCTAGAGCCTGGAGCCTGCTGGGGGAACTTCGGGCTGCTCGGGCATCACTGACTACCCGTAATTAGGTAGCTTAGCTACGGAGGAATTTAGGGCCACGGAGCCCTCACAAAAGCTGTTCAACGTCGACTCACATTCTCATACCTGCATCGCGCCGTAAACCCAACGTCAATTTCTGCGTTTGAGGATTGGAGAAAGTAGGCTCGTCCAAAGATGCTGACATAGACGGCTTTCAGATTGATGAATATGTTTTTCGACCTCCTGACACGAGCGAAGTCTAATGCATCAAATGTGTTGCGTGCGACCACAGGAAGGTTCAATGAATTGTGCAGACAACGAAGCATTACTCGCTCATCCCATCAGAGTTTTCTGCATCTCAGGTCCTCTTGGAAAGTCCAGAGGCCGGATTGCCAATCAGTCATGCTGCAACCTTCCTCTGCCATTATGGCTTTGGAGGCACCTGCTGAAAGATGAGCTTGCCCACTTGTTCCTGCCTCGTGTGTGTCTCCTTATATGCATCGGTCCACCCTTTGTCGAATGTTCCCATTTCTCCTCTCCACATCTATCAATACTATTTCGTGCACTAGCAGCTGTGCAAGTCAACCTTGCATCAGTATCTCGCTATGGGTAACGCCTTGGAACTCGCTTCGGACGGTTTTAGAATTTCCGTCCTCACCTTCGTTGTAACAATCCTGCTCACAATCTATCTGCACATGAGACCGACCCCGCAGCATCCCGACGCGGTCGTATTTCAAAAGGACGCTTTAGTGTTCCAGAGGGACACGCTCGCCATCCAGAGGGACACGCTCGCCATCCAGAGGGACACTTTAGCCATCCAGAGGGACGCAGTAGCAATCCAAAGAGATCTCCTCCGTCTGATTGCATCGATTTTGCCTGATCACGCTCGGGCCGAGCTCGAGAAAACTCCCCTCGAGACACCTCTTGTTCTACCACCACGAACTCCCGTCCCAGCACGGGCCACGACTCCAGCACCAGCACTAGCCTCTCCAGCCGGACCGACCACTCAAGCGCTCTAGTTCGTCCTCTGCTGGGGAGAAAACATACAGTTCGTCAGTAGTGTCAAGAAAGGTTTCGTGTTGGCTGTAGTTAGAGAAGGCCCCTCATTGCACGGCAGCCTGACTACACCCACTGCAAGGCTGAAACAGGCAACTCCCTCCACACCAAACCCAACTCAGCCTGGCCAAGTGACGTCGGTGGGGTTCCTTGCAACTTGAGTTCCTGGTGAGCTGCAAGTGAGAAGCGCCCGATCTTACACCAAACTAACAAGATCTAGGCTTTCACCCTCTGCCCCTTACCCTCCTTTCCCATAACTCTAAGCACGCCTCCAACGGAACTCTTCTTCTCCAAAATGGCTGAATCCCGACCTCAGGGTGCCCCTCCCGAAGAACAGCTAGAGTCAGAGTCGGAAGCCGAGGAACACGCAGAACAAGACCATGAGGGCACTGTCGAAGGGACCACCGCAACGGCAGAAAAGTCGAAGAAGAAAAAGAAGAAATCGAAGAAGGCCAAGCTAGTGTCGGCTCTTACTGGTAACAAGTCATCCGAACCTGCAGAAGCCTCCAAGTCGTTGTCCAACGACGTGGTAAAGACCCTTCTCGATGCGAATCCGGCACTCAAAGGCGAACTGGCTGGGATCCCCCGCGAGAAGGCAGGCGAGTTACTCAAAAAGATGGACGTGTCACAGTTGCTCAGCGGACTGTCGATAACTGGAAAAAATCAGAAAGACATGGCATCATACAAATTCTGGGCCACTCAGCCAGTGCCTCGTTTTGATGAGAAGCCTGAAGAGAAGCCTGACGGACCCATCAAAGAAGTCATTCCGGATCTGGTGCCAAAGACCGCTGCTGCTTTACCAGAAGGCTACGAATGGGTGGAGCTGGACTTGACACAAGAGGACGAGGTGAAGGAGGTCTACAAGCTGCTTTCATTACATTACGTCGAAGATGACCACGCAATGTTCCGATTCAACTATTCCGCTGTCTTCCTAGATTGGGCTCTCAAGTCGCCTGACTGGAAGAAGAGTTGGCATATCGGGGTTCGTGCGAAAGGTCCCAGCCGTCTTCTGGTAGCAACCATTTTTGGCATTCCCATCAAGCTGAGGATACGACAGAACGTCCTCGATGTGGTGGAAATCAACTTCATGTGTGTTCACAAGAAGCTGAGATCGCGGAGGTTGGCTCCAGTCCTGATCAAGGAGGTCACGCGACGGTGTCATCTGGAGGGCGTCTACCAGGCCATTTACACCGGCGGTGTCGTCTTACCTACTCCTGTTGGCAGCTGTCGATACTACCATCGGAGTCTCGATTGGCTGAAATTGTACGAAGTCGGATTCTCTCCTCTCCCTCCGAATATGACACAAGCAAAGATGATTGCTCGAAATCAACTGCCTCCAAGTACCAGCACGACCGGATGGCGGAAAATGGAAGAAAAAGACGTTGATGCTGTTCACGATCTGCTCTCGCGGTACCTGGATCGGTTTGACCTTGCACAGATATTCTCCAGAGAAGAAATAGTGCACTGGTTCCTCAACCGACAAAAACCAGCTGAGCAAGTAGTCTGGTCGTTTGTAGTGGAAGGAAATGATGGCAAGATCACCGATTTTGGCAGCTTTTACTGTCTGGAGAGCAGCGTCATTGGTGAGATGAGCAAGAAGCACGACAAGATTCGAGCGGCGTACATGTTCTATTATGCCACTGAGCATGCGTTCAACCCCAAGGAGAAGGGCCTGAAGGAGAGACTCCTCCAGTTGGGACAGGATCTGTTGATCGAGGCAAAGAAGGTGAGATTTTTCATACTGTTCTTGGTATTCTGAGAGGCTGACCACCCGGTTCTTAGGCCAAGTTCGACGTATTCAATGCTCTCACACTGCACGACAATCCCTTGTTCCTGGAACAATTGAAGTTCGGCGCTGGCGATGGCCAACTGCATCACTACCTGTACAATTGGCGGACAAAGACCATCAATGGCGGTGTCAACTCGAAGAATCAGCCGGATGAGAGCAAGAGAGGAGGCATCGGTATTGTGTTACTGTGATGAATGCGCGGGAAGTGGCACCAAAACGCTCAGAATCGCTCACGGCTATCGCTCAGCGGCTTGACTGGGTATTGGTTCACAACTTTCTGGCTGAGCGGACTCCTGCACGGTGTCTTTGAATGTCATCAGAAGGTGTGAGTGGAGGAGCATGATTGCATAGCTTAGATGCAAGGCTGCCTCAAGCGGATTCGAATTGACGAGTGAAGATTCTATGTCGTTGGAGCTCAGACATGCTTTTCCATGCGACACGCCAAGCGAAATAGAAAACAATGAACATGATGTCGACTTCCGTGGCCGATATATCTCTTCTTTTCCCTTCCAATCTGGCCACAGTGGTACACAGCTAGCACATATCTCCCTGCCGACGTGGCTTCGTCACCAAGTATGCTGACATCTTTCGATGCGACGGGCGCCGTGCCGCCAGTCGAGGACCACCGCATACGCTTCGAGCGGCGTCAAGCTTGCGTGTTTGCCATGCCGAAGAGGGCATTTTCCTTTCACGCCACTTCTTGCTGCAGACATCGCCAACATCATTTCGTTCTGAGGAGATAAAGTCGTGCAGGTAGATCCGGTGAAGTAGCCCTTTGCCTCGGGACACTTCCATCAACCACAAACCCTTGGTACTGTAGTTTCCTCGAAGGCGCCGTGTGAGGTCGCAGCTGCAGAGAAACTTCCAGCAGTCGCAGCTCTCAGCGAACGAGCGGCCAGGTCTCTAGTCGCTCCTAAGGGCGGTCAGCCCTTCCGCCAGTCTGCCATGTGTCGTCTGTCGTCGGATGCACCTCAAGTCCATGTATTTCTGTATTTCCCTATTTCCCTTGCCTCTGCTTATGTTTCGGGTTTTTATCGCAGATGATGAAGACGCGGTTCTTGCGGCGCACGGCCTGTATTATCACACAAACATCAAGCGTTAGCCTGGGAGATCCGTAATCCTAGTTCTCGAACCATCTTCTGGACGTGCTTGATAAGGGCACACCAGGCGTGCGCGGAGCGAGAGGGAAGCTACGTCCAATGCCGCTTCGCGCAAAAAGACATATATACACACAGAAAGAGCGGGATGTCTCATACCTTGCAGCTCTCGCATAGTCTCTTGACCGAAGAGCGAGTCTTCATGCCTCTTGTTTGCACCTGCGTGTCCAGAGATAATCTGACTTGTGGGTGTGGATGTGGGTGTAGGTGTGGCTGTGATGGCGAAGCTCGCGCAAGCCGGGACGGGAATATCGAGCTGCGAAGAAAGGTGCTGAAGCTGCTTTGCTGGGATGTGCTGGAGGTGAGCACTCTTTGTGGGAAGTGCGGGAAACGGGTTTGGGGGACGAGGGAGCGGAAGAAGGTGAGGCGCGTGGCGAGAGAGGGCAGCATCTTGATTGCTGTCGTGCCGAGGGCCTGGTATCTGGTGTTGATAGCTTGCAGATGTCGATTGAGATCACTTGATGGGATGGCCAGAATGGTTCGAAGCCGTGTAGTTTCGAGATCAGGAGGTCGCGGTGGGAGCCGTGATCCGCCGTACCATCTGCATTGCACTTTATGGCAATATGCTTTAGACTAGCACTCTCACAACGCGCCCGCGATCATCTTACTTTTATTGAACTTGCGAGCGTGGCATTGTGTGTTCTACTTGTACAGTTCGGCGGTCCATATTTTTGTGGAGTTGTCTTCGAAAGGATCAGACTTGAAGACGTTGCTCTCCGAAATACCGTCTTTGAACCTTGGGCCTCCATGAATCCTCTATGTGAGGAACCTTTCCGGCGACTTCAGGATTGTCGTGTAAGGTTCCAAACGAGAGAAGCGCTGCCTACGGAGTCTGTCCAAACGGCCCCTGCGGGCATTGCATTGTATCGTGGATGCCGATTCGCACTTGGTGAGTAGTTCAGTCAATATCTTCCGAATCCATTGTCTAGCGACATGGCCGAGGTCTCATACCTCAAGGAAGCCGTTGCCGAAGTCTGTCATCAACATCCAGCTGCCGTCGTCGACTATATTATCAGGCAGCCATCGCATCGGAGTTTCGATGCCCATGTTGACAAAATTTGATATGCTGGCATCGGCGTAGGGACTTCCATCTGGGCACAGCTGTTGGAGACTCACGCTGCCGTTATACTGATATGCCATACTGTTCTGTACATCAGGCGAAGGAGCTGAGTTTAGTGCCCGTCCTTGTACTTGTGGTTGTTGCGCAGTCGACGGGGACGCGTGGAACTGGAAATTGCTGCTGCTAACTTCTGGGGAGAAAGCCGGAAGCGAATTCGATGCTGGTGGTGCATGGGAAGGGGATCCCTCGCTCGTCTGTGCTGGTCCTGTGGTAGGATCGACTAAGACACCCGCGCTCGCTGCGCACGACCTCGATGGCGGCCTTGCACGTGGAGAAGCGACAATACTATGGCCACGATGGTCTCGCGAGCTCTGGATTGCGCCTCGCACCACCTTTTTGTCCGACCACTGTCTGAGCAGCTGCACAATGACTGCGGCACACCTTGCGGCTGAAGGTGTCGCACCGGCTTGTCGCAGCACCTCCAGGCCAAAGTTCAACCTCACACTTGCTTCTTGAGCCAAGACCAGGCCATCGCCGCTGCGTCGGTTACACGATTCGTTCTCCTTCAGGTCAAGAACGTTGATTGTGCAGGCAACAAACATGGTGTATGTCTGAAGGTACGTGATGAACCGGAACCCAAAACGACGCACGTGCAGAGTGAACAGCGAGTCGATCATCTGGGCAGCTTTTGTGCAGAGGTCCTTTGCTCTCGGGGACAGTGTTCGATAAGGGCGGCATAAGAGTATTATCGTTGCATGATATGTCAGATTGAGGAGCAGGATATGGATGGGCGGACAGAGAACGGCTCTATCTCCAATCGAGATGAAGAGACCGTCAGGAAGAGTAGTTGACCAGTCTTCAAGCTTCTGGATGGTGTTCTCGAGAAAAGCCAGCAGGTGGTCTTGCTTTGACCGATGAGGCCGGCAATAGAGACCATCCAACACGCCGTCGATGATGATGCACAACCTGCAGTATGCGCCAAATCGGGCACTCCCCAGCAATTTCTGCTCCGTGAAGGCTGCCATCGATTCTTGCTCCTGCCCCAACACTGGTCTCCACGGCTCATCGTCCATCTCTTGGCCGTCAATCAGGGTTTCTCTTGATGGAATGTCGAGCGTGTCATGGATGATTGGAGCCCTGCCAAGACATAAGCTCATGGTTTTGTCCCACGTGAAGCAGCTCCAAAACACCTGCTGTCGAAGTGCGAGCTCTTCCTCGGAAAATTGACGGGCCAGATAGCTCATCTTCTTGGAGTCAATGTGTATCCCCAGATCTCGCATCATTCGGAAAGCCATGCCAGAGTACAGCCAGCCTTGCGAGGTCCTTCCACAGCCACATTCCCGCGCCGAGAGGATAAGCAGACCTTGTACTGTGGGAATCGAGCTGCCTCTGTCGATATCATTGGGGAGCAGCTGCAACGCTCTGGCCGCGAAATGATTCCCTAAGCTTGGGGAATCGGGCCTCGTCGAATACCGTGCAGCTTGTGCTAGTACGGCGCATATCAGAAACGGTGTCACCCATGGCCCGGAAACGAACAGGTCCCCTGTACCGTGTCAGCCTTTCTCCGCGACATTGCAACCCGTTGAGACACGTACTCAGGAATAATCGCTTGTTGAGGACCAAATGCAGGTGATGTGCCCAGCACCAGTATGCGTCGAGCAGATGGTCCAGGAATTCACTAGGTATTTCAGACAAGACTTCCGGTGGCATAGGTGATTCAATGGGTGCATTCACGTCTGGCGTGGTGTATATCGTGGATGCACTGGACATCGGTTGCTGTTGGTCTGTCGTCTGCCGCTCACGCTGTTCTGTGCTGCGAGGCAGCGTACCTTCGTCGTCCTCATCCTCCCGAGGACCAACGTGGTAGTGGCTTGTCTTGCCGTAGAAGCAGATGCGCCCATCCACGCCTACCGAGGCTTCATCCGGCGGTTCACCCTGTATAAGTGGGGACGAGTCTGCGGCCTCAACATCCAGATCCTCGTCGAGCGTATCCTTTGGCTCTCGTGCGTCCGCCGAAGCACGTCTTGCGCGCTCCGGCTTGGCCCTCTCAAAGGGCATCAAGATCAAGGCTTGACGTTCTTCCGTGCTGCTACTCTGGCGAAGCCTCTCAAATCTATCCTCGAATGCTTTGAGGCGGTTCTCGAGCGAGACGGCATACGCAACCGACGGTCCTCTACTCGCAACAGGCCAGGTCAGCACCAATCAATCCGCGTGCAGCCGGTTCCTGACCTGTCATATTCACATGATTCACGCGAGGCAATGCACTTGTTGCATGTCGGGGTTGCTCCATCGCAACGTGCCTTCTTTCGACGACAGTTCGAGCATGCGAATCCGTATCTCCGCGCCTGGTGCCTTCTCTGCATTTTCCTGGAGCGCTGACCTGCCGCGTCCGGCCTGTGGTCCGTCATACTATGGCTGTGTTCTCCGACTGATCGCAAGATTCTGACAACATACGTCTGCTTCTCAGGTTTGTTCAGGGGTCCAGGTTGGCCGGCCCAGACTCCGGTCCTTAAAGCCGGGTGTGAGCGGCAATGTGTTCGGCCTGTTCAGCAACCCGTTGGCAGGCAAAGGGGCTCAGCCTCGTGACGTGTGAATGCCCGGAATGGAGGGGGAAGTGCGGGGATGGCCGGGTCGATCTCCCCGGCATCTCTCCGGCGAGGAGGAGGGAGGTATGTGTAGAATCGCTGTGGCGTCAAACAGGGGCGGTGGTGAAAGACACACCTGTGTCACGGTCGGGTGTGCTCAGGGCACAGCTACATATGAATGATGCCGACACTGCCGAATGCTGTGACTCTGCACTGCAAACAAGATGGCAGACCTCGAGCCGACACTTGAGCGATTTCGAACAGCATACGACAACCCGGAATACCAGAAGGGTCTTAACGTGGCGTTGAGGGAGGCACTCAAGCTATATGCCTCAGCTGCGCAGCTAGATTTTGTCGTGAGTGGAGAGTAATCCAACGCCAATCATGGCCTATTGACTGGGGAGCAGCAAGACAATGCTGGAAACATTCACGTCTCGCAGCATGGGCGTGATCCGGACTTGGCAGACATTGCAATATCATTCCAGCTGGACGAGCATCGGTCGAGGGCGGCGTGCCAGAGTGCGTTCCGGGTCTTCTACGAGCTACAAAGAGAGAACTTGCTGTGCGGTGTGACGCTGCTTGGCTGGAGCTCAGTCGGCGACGAGTACGTAGGACGACATCTCTGGGAGAGCGCTGGCCTGAAAACCCAGAATCGACCTTCATACCCCGAAGTCCAACAATTTTCAAATTTTGCGGATGTGTCGACGTTCCAGCTATCTGCGGTCTTCGAGGTCGTCGAGGAACAACAGGAGCAGCTGCAAGTGGAAGGCGCTACAGTCCTCGTCGAGCAGATACAGGAACTCGCAGACTCGCCCATCTCTGCCAGGCTGTCTCCGCGAAAGCAATCGCGAGCACCGGGGGTGTGTTTGAGAGGCCCAGGAGCGGAGCGTGTGGCGTGTGGAGCGATCAAGGCGTACAGCAGCTACATTGGAGCCCTGTTTGACAATTTCGACTAGCGGCCCTCCAGTATGCGCAGACAAAGGCCACTCGTACTGTATGCGACACGTCAAGTGCAGCCGTCGTCGGAAAGTCTATGTTCAAGAAATCTGACCTGTCACCCCCCCGGTCGCTCCTCGGTGTCCAGGCCTCGGCGGAGAAGCGCGGAGAAGAGCAGCCGATGCCGCTCGACGTCCCTGAGTTGGGAAAGGCCCTGAATGACTTCACGCGGTCAAATGCGGCGTTGGTCCGTCCACAGCCTGTCTCCAAACTTTCTGGTGCGCCGGGTATACCGAGCGCGTCACTCAATGGGACTGTCGTAATATAAAAATCTACCCCGGCCATGGCTGCGATGGAATACTTCCCTGAAAACTACGGATACCCAAGACCGAGCTTGTCCGAATACGAACCCAAGCAGCATGGCGTCCAAGTTGTCTGCCACGGGCTACATCTCGTCGAACGACAGCAAGTTGTACTATGAGACAGAAGGAAACCCGGATGGACCTACGATTCTGTTCATCCACGGCTTAGGCGGCACCACGAACGCCTACCAGCCCATCGTCCCTGATCTCCAAGACTTCAACATCGTGCGCTTCGACTGGGGCGGCCATGGGAGGAGTTCCACGCCGAAGACCACGAGCATCGAGTCGTACGTGGCCGACGCTGAAGGTATGCTTGTTACCTCGTGGCTTGTGCTGGCGCCGGGCTGACCAAACTCGTGCAAGCTGTGTTGAATGAATTAAAGCTGAGCAATGTCAACGTCGTCGGCCACTCGCTGGGCGGACTGGTCGCTCTGCATTTTGCCGCCAAGGTGCCCGACAAGGTCAAAGCTCTGGTGCTGTTCGGGCCGATCAGCCCACCTCCAGAGGCCGGTCAGCAGGCGCTGAAGGGCCGTGCCGCTGCTGTCCGGGAGAAGGGGATGGCCGGGATTGCTGACACCGTCGTCGGGAACGCCTTTGCCGTCGAATCCTACAAATCTAAGAGGGGAGAGGTCACCCTCGCGCGAGAGATGCTGACAAGGCAAGACCCCGAGGGATATGCGCTGGCTTGCGAAGCCGCGGCGAACAGCAGCGCGCCGGATTTCGGCAAGATCCAGGCTAAAGTTGTCGTCGTCTCGGGCAAGGAAGACAAGGTCTCGACGGTGCAAGCGGGCGAAACGACCACGCAGAAGCTGGGCTCGAATGCCACGCAAGAGGTCATCGACAGTGTCGGGCACTGGCATATGCTCGAGGCGAAGGAGAAGGCAGTTGAGATCATCAAAGCGACATTCTCTTAGATCCACGTTTTTTTAGACGTCTACAACAGGTTTTCCACGAATTCTATGGTTCCGCCCCGTTGACCCCGTCGGCCTGGTCCGTCCGCAATGTAAAGTCCTCGCCCTTGAAGGGTTTGAGACCGGCAGTGACACGCATTCCGGCAGCACACGCGCTCCAGTCCAGCGACTCGCCCCCGATGGCCTTTGCCGTCGTCAGATGATTCCAGGCTTGGTCGATGATGGGCGTCGGAGTTGCCGTCTCGGCACCCAGCCGGCGAATGTATGCGGCGTCCTTCATCCCGCCGGGCAGCGTGAAGCCCGTCTTGCCAGAGAAGGTGCCGTCGCGGATCTTCTTGCCGTAATTGACCCATGCCGCGGCTGGAAACCATTGTTCTGGGAAAAGGGGACAGAGGACTGGTCAGTGAATGATTTCTCCTTCTGCTACTCCATGTATAAGAGGAATATTCACTCACGGATGAAGTCGTAGAAGATATTCGTGTCAAAGCCCGTCTTCTCCGCCAGCGTAAAGCTCTCGGACAGCAGTTCGATCGTGCCCAGGATGCAGTTGTTCCCCAGGATCTTGAGCAGCGCTCCCTTGGAGGTATCCTCGCCACAGTCAATCACGGCCTTGCCGAGCGTCGGCACAATGTACGACTTGACCTTCTCCCGGGCACGCTCAGACCCCGAAAGCACGATCAGGAGGCCCGCACTCTTGGCTGCGGCAGGTGGTCCAAACACGGGACAAGACATGAACGATACGCCCGCCCGTCGAGCTTCTTTATTCAGAGTGGACGACGTGGTCGGAAACAGGGTCGAGTGGTCAACAAGCATCAGTCCTTCTTTTCGCGCCGGAAAGAGCTCCCGGCATATTGACAAGGCCACCTCGTCGTTGGCCAGGCATGTGTGGATAATGTCGCATTTCTGCGCCAGCTCGAGGATGCTACCGGCTGGTTCACAGTGGTTGTTCGTTGCCAAAGACTCGGCCTTGGCCCGTGTGCGATTCCATATCTGGATCTTGGGGAGGCCATTCGACTGAGCATATGTGGCGAGGTTATGCGCCATCATTGAGCCCATGTTGCCTAGGCCGATAAAGCCGAACGTGACATTGTCGCTAGTAGTAGCCATGTTGGCCGTTCGAAGGCACAGTAATATCCCTCTATCCCTCCGTCACGGTTGAGTCTGTTGGTGCAGCGTCCCTGGTTCTGAGCAAGGAGGTTTACAGTGAACTGCCTGGATGTTTGAAACCCCGGCAGTCCATCTCGCGAGGACGCTGCTTCATCTGGCCTGATATGTATAGCCTAGGCAATCTCTGCCCTTTGTCCTCGATGCAAGAGCTTCTCGCACCTGGCTGATAACGGCATCCCACCGTGCCATAGTCTATGCATGATCTTCAGAAATGTGACGAGAGGGGTAACCAAGGGCGAGGCAGGACAGTATGTACAGGTCCATGCAAGATCCCTGAAACAGCCATCGGCATCTCCCCGTCGTTGCTTGCGTCCAGCTTGTTCAGCTATCCAGCGGGGACCCCCGCATTCATCGCCTCTACTATGTATGGCACCAATTAAGGCAGACGACGAGCCGATCACAGGCGGAGTATTACCAACGGAACATGATTCAAACGGCTGGACGATCCATATGCTTAAAGGGAGTCGCGCGAGGCCTCTTGCTCATATGGCATTCAGAAGCCCTGAAGTGAGCTCGCAGTGTCGGCTTCAACCAACGCTCGATTCTACACGACACAGATTTTCGGGCTTTAAGTATGGGTTCCATCGACCCAGCAAGGACATTCACTCCAGAGGAGCTGCCTCCTCCCTGGAAAGTGACACCCGCAGATATAACCATCGACAACCACAAGGACGGCGACAAAGGCAAGATCCTCTTCAAGAATGTCAACATCTTCGATTCAACTGGCGCGGACATCTATCCCGGAGATGTCTTGATCGAAGGCGAACGCATCAAGCAGGTCGGCAAGGTCGACGTTGCGCCAGACGACGACGACGATATACTCGTCATCGACGGCAAGGGCAAGAAGACTCTCATGTCTGGCCTCTGCGACGCCCATACACATCTGAGCTGGAACAACTCGCCGACGCTGGATGGCCTCACCGGGCTGAAACTCGAGGAGCACGTTCTGTTCACTGCCCAGTCGGCCAAGACGTACATCGACTGCGGCTACACGATGTGTTTTGGCGCCGCGTCGGCTCAACCGCGCCTCGACATCGTCATCAAGGGAGCGATCAAGTCCGGCATGATCCCCGGACCGAGGACCCTAGCAAGTTGCCAGGAGATCACGACCACGGGGGGCGCCATCATCCCCAGCATCAGCAAATACGCGGACGGAGAGGACGCGATGCGCCGCACAGTGCGCGAGTTCGTCGAGCTGGGCGCGGACAACATCAAACTCAGCATGACAGGCGACTATGTCCATCCGACCATGGGCAGTACAGAGACGTATTTTACCCTCAAGGAGACGAAGGCAGCCGTAGAGGAAGCCCACAATCGAGGGAAGAGGGTGTGTGCCCATGCCCGCTCCGCCGCGAGTGTCGTCCTCTGCTGCCAGAGTGGAGTCGACGTCGTGTACCACGCCAGTTTTGCCGACGACAAGGGGCTGGACATGCTGGAGGCGCTGAAGGATCGGGTCTTCGTCGCCCCCGCGATCAATTTCCCCTACAACACCTGCTCCGGCGACGCTATCCCGTACGGCATGACGCCCGAGATGGCCAAGAAGAAAGGGCTCGTCGAGGAGGTCGAAAAGGCGTGCAAGGCCATGAAGGAGCTGCACAGACGCGGCGTGCGAGTGCTGCCTGGCGGTGACTACGGATTTGCATGGGCCCCCCACGGGACATACGCAAGGTGAGCCTGCAGCAACAACAGCATCCCGGCGAACCGTTTCCGGCGTGTCCCCACAGAAGAAGAAGTGAAGCTAATGCCAGTGGCGGCCGTCCCAGGGATCTAGCGCACTTTGTCAACCTCTTCGGGTATACGCCGAAAGAATCGCTCATGGCGGCAACGGCCCTGGGCGGAGAAATCATGGGCCACCCGGACGTCCTGGGCAAGGTCCAGCCGGGATACTACGCCGACGTGATCCTGCTGGACGGCAACCCGCTGGAGGACATCGACATCTTCCAGGACACATCCAAGCTGCATGCCATCGTCCTCAACGGCCACGTGCACAAGAACGTGGCCGTCGCGGCTGCGGACGGGCAGAGTCTGACGGCCGACGGCCTGGCGAACAAACGCACGGTATATACAAATTTGCCGCTGGTGCCGAAGGAGGAGCAGGAGAGGCAGCAGCGCGATGCCGAGGAGAATGGTATTGGGGTCGAACCGCAGATTGTGTGAGTCGAGGAAGACCGGACGGTACTGTCTCTGCGGCGAAAAGTGCATCTTCTCTACAGTACTGTGTCGTCTCCAATGCAAGGAGGCGCGGCCACGAGGTTTACATAATGACCATGTACCTCGTCGTGTACTGTTTACCAGCACGGGAAGGAGTACTCCGTACTGTGTAGTAATTCGAAACGTCCACTGTATCTCAAGACGAGCACAGGGTGCGACTCCTGTCACCGGGGTGGGAAAAAAACAGAAAAGCCACCAACGGGAGACTTGCATGCAGCACATGCGGCGCCAGGTTTTCAAATGTTTATTCCGTATTGGTTTGATTGGATAGGTCATTAATCTGATTCTCATATACATTCTGGGGCTCGTGCCGGAGCACAAGCATATAGTATTCAGGAAGCTCAGCTTGGCCCAGTCCACAACCACGGCATGGCGGCGGCGACGACGCGCAGGATTAGGGTCAATTAGGAGGTGTGGTATATATATCTCCGCGATATATATTGTCCTCGGGACTTCTATACCGTATACCGTATAATGCATACGTACGTCCAAGAGACGCATTTTCCTGGTATCGAAAAGCAAGAAAAAGGTAAATGACAGCTCCGGCTTCCTCCTCGTCCATGATGGCTGTAATCACACTTATAGTAGCAACGTGGCTAGGAGGCTGATGATTGTTAACGCGAAAGCCGTGGTTTGGAATTGGTAGGTTCCGGCGGAGAACTTCAGTGCGCTTGCGGCACCTGTGAACGAGGACGGTGGTGCCGTCGAGGTGCCGGATGCTGCGACCGTGGCTCCCGAGGACCCACTGGATGTCGCAAGTGCCGAGATCTCCCCACTGGGAGTCACTGTCAGGGTTGTGGTATAGGTACTGGTGGTGGGAGAGGTGGGAAGAACAAGTGTGGCGCCTCCACTGGTCAAATCAGAGCCATACACGGTGGTGGTGCTGTTGGTGCCGACTGGCATGATGATTGTTATTTGACCCCAGGCGCTGCCGGAAACTGTGCGATGGGAGTAACTGGTGGTTACGACAGTCTCGGTTGTCGTGTACGGCTGGGTCGCCGAAGAGATTGGTGCTGGTGGTGTTGACGACGGTGATGATGTCGTGGTGGGGACTGTCGATAGGGTTGACACCGTTGCTGTCATTGTTGAGCTCTCTGAAGTAGCCGTCGTCGTTGACGGGACTGGTGTGAGCGTTGCAATCGTGACGATCGAGCTCGATGGGGTCGAGGGAGGTGGAGGTGCTGAACTCTTCGGCGTGACCGTGGTCGATATGGTTCCCGTAGCCGTGTTGACCGTTGAACCAGCAGCATTTGTCGTAGGTGTCGTTACGGTGGTACTTACAACAATAGTCGAGAACTGTTCACAGTAGTCGAGGAACTGTTGGAACTGCGGTGCGATCTGGACAAAACTGGCGGAGTCATCGGCCTTGTGGTAGTCAATGCATTGCTCACACTGCGCGAGGGACACCTCAAATGCTGAGCCTGGCACGCAGAGTTTGGACGTCTTCCCGTTCGACTGAGCCTCTAACAGACAGTTATTACACCACGGATAACAAGCTCCCGGAACGCTGGTCTGCGCTTGTCTCGCTGCAACGGTCGGACTCGGTGGTAAGAGGATAGTGGTGGTCCGGGTCAAGACTTCGTTAACGACGAAGATCTCATATGTCAGCCCAAACTGGGTCGGGTCCATGTTGAAGAAATGATCAATAGCATTGACACGAAGGGCTGGGTTTGTTGCAGGCGTAGAGTTTCCATAGATGTCCGCGTCCCAGGTGGGCAGCGTCGCGGGAAGGACTGACGCCGGGATACATTCGTTCGGACTGCAGAGGAAGTTTCGATCCGGAATGCCAGCTTCGAAGTTGCAGTTCTCCAGAACAGGTTTGCACAGCCAGCCTGGAGGACAGCCCCAGCTAAAGAGAGAGAGTCAGCACAAGTTGTGAATGATAACGGGGAAGGCAGGAATGACAGAGATCACGTGGTCGAGCCACACCGTGCCCGAGTAGAGTCTTGAGGAGGGTCAGGAGGTGGTGCTGAGAAGTGACACTTACGTCCAGTCCGTGGGATACGGCCCGGCGGCGGTGTAAGTTGGATTGGCTATCCGAGTTGGACATAACGTAATGCTCGTGGCCTGAGTTGTGATCTCGTATATCGAGATGATTTCTGTTGCCGTCGCGGTGGTCGGGGTCGTCGAAATTGACGTTTCTGTGAGCGTCGCTGTGGTGGGAGTGGTCACTGTTTCAGTTGTCGGAGTTGTCACTGTCTCGGTAGTTGGGGTTGTCACCGTTGCAGTCGTAGGTGTGGTCAAAGTCGTTGGGGTAATGGAGATGGTCGTCGTTGTTTCTGTCACTGTTTGGGTCTCCAAAAATGAGCTCCCCGGTGTAATACAATGCAAAAGAGCAGACTAACCGTTGTAACAATCGATGTAGAGATGATGGTCTGGTAGATTGTGATTGGAAGAGTGGTTGTGTCAGTGAAGAACTCGGAGGTGGTGGTGGTGTCTGTGAAGAACTCCGAAGTGGTGGTCGTATCAGTGAAGTACTCAGACGTAGTGGTTGTGTCAGTAAAGAACTCGGACGTAGTGGTGGTGTCGGTGAAAAACTCCGAGGCGGTCGTTGTAGCAGTGACGGGCACATACTCGGTCGCGGTCACGTTGATGAAGACCGTCGGCGGCGCCGGACAAGTGACAATCCAAGTCTTGTCAACTGTCGATGTGGTGACATACACCGGAACTGGAGGTAACGGCGGTGGATGACCTGGCCATGGCCAGACAGTGTATACCGACTGAGAAGACGCCGTAGCAATCGCAAACGACAGACAGGTCAGAGATCTGAGCGGTGAATGCATTTCGACAGAGCTCTGAAGCCTAGACAACTATTTCTCTTTTCACAGCGCACTCATAATGCAGTCAACGAGAGAGCCCGGGGGTGGAAAACGAATGATATCGAACGAGAGAATGTGCCTAAAGCGAATGGAAGTAGACAGAGTATTGAAAGCTTCGAAAGCTGCCAGACTCAATGTCAAGTAAGAGCAGGGGAAGAGAGAATCCAGGCGCCGAGTGCCAGACTTGCCGTCATTATTGGAAGCCTGTTCGGATAATGAGATGGCCAGGCGAGCTCGTCTTCAGCCTGGTACCCAGTACTCGTCGTACTCGTGCCATGGTTCTCACGCCACATGGCAATGGCGCCGTTCATCGCATCCGGCGTTGGGACGTTGAGGGCAACTGGATATGCAGGTCGGTGACGTTCCTGGCTTTCCATTAACGGAGCCCCGCCAGATGGAGATGGTGGCGTGCCAATCAATGACAGGATCAGCTATTCAAAAGGAAGCTCGCATTCGGGGCCTTTTCCCGATAGCAACTAGGCTCGTTGAAGCGGGAAGGTCGATGTGGAAGATCAAAAGCGGGCAGCAGTGAGCCGACAGTGAGAGCACAGTGAGAGCACAGTGAAGACGGAGTGAGGGAGCAATGAGCGTTGACGTTGAACCTGGAGGTTGTTTCCGCTGGAGGTGGAGCCCGCCCCAGCCCCGATGCCCGGCAGCGCTTGTCCTCTTCGGGGTTAACGTGTCTCCAAAACCGGTTTGTCGTTGGTGACGGCATAAGCGTCCCGCACGGCCTTGTCTAGCCTCGACACTTGTCTCTGCTCCCCCATGTCCTTGACGACTGAGGTGTTCGCTTCGACGCAAATCATGACAGGTTTTGTGCTTCTCGATAACGGGATGTCCATAGCCCAACGTTCTGCTTTCCCAGTTACGGCCACGATTGTCCCTGATTCATGCGCGGTTTCGCCTGGCTCACGGCTTGGGCCAGGGTCTACCCTTCGATTGCCTGACAGCAGACGCGCCATTCAGCCGCTATCATCATCGTCACCAAGACTCGGACTTCCAATACTCACTCCCACGATTACTATGACGCACCGAGCCAGAATGGATGTTCCCCCTTGTCGTGTCGGTTCACTGCAACCACAGGACCCTGCGCCTGCACATCGCGACCAGAAGCACGATCTTACCAATGACCTGAGAGCTCAATACACTGAGGTAGTGATTGCCGCTCAGGTGGCAAAATCTGGTCCAGATGATAGTCAGTAAGTATCAACACGAGGTTTGTCTCAGAACACACGGTTCTATCTCCCTGGAACCTTGAATGTTGTATAGTGCCTACACGCAAGCAATTGTTCGCCTTTTTCAGCGCTCAGATCGTGCAATATTTCAGCACTTAGGCATGACCGTCGCAGCCCCCAGATGACACCACGATGGTCGCATATTTGGAGTCTATAGTGCTCGTTGGGTTGTTGACCGCAACTGCACGAAGCATTTCAGTTGAGCAAAACTACACAATATGTAACTGGGCTCGCTTGAGGGCTGGAGTGGTACGAGATGCTGTTTACCTCGATGGTGGTCTCCTTTGGTGGCAGACTGCCTTCGCAGATGGAACTGCACCCGTCGTGAGCAGCGACGGGAACGTCGATGGGGATATGTTTGTGCTGAACTTTTCGACGCCTTTTGATACTGCCAAGACTAATGTATCGGGCCTGTTGAATCGGATGGCAAAAGCGGGAGGGGCAGGAAACAATATCGCGCCTAACTACGTGGATGGAACTATGTTCACTAATGATGGGGAATTATATTTATACGGGTGAGTTGGGTCCAGAAACGTTGGGTTTCAAGGTTGACTGAAAAACCTCGACAGGGGCCTACCTCGCCTGACCGACTCTGCCTCGCCGCAAAGCGAAGAGAGCATCCTTGGCTACGAGGCCTACCAGTATGGTCCGAACAGGGCTAGCTGGAGTCCTGGCTTCTACCAAGGGACTCTTCCCGATGGGGTTACAAGATACATAACCAACGGCGCAGGAGTGTCTGCTCCGAGTGAAAACCTGGGATTCTACTTCAGCGGAATGCGATCGCCGTCATGGGGACCAATTTACTACGAAGACTCCTCAGCGAATGTGACCGCAAACACTCTTATTGAAGTCGACATGTCCGAAATGAGAAGCGAGAAATGGACGAACAACACGCTTCCTGACAACATCCCGCCGCGCGCAAACGCCGAGTTGGCGTGGATACCTGTGGGCGAGCAAGGCGTACTCGTGGCAATTGGTGGAGTCACCGCCCCGGAAGAGATATGGCCAATGGGTCTGAACGATTCACAAAGTTCTGAAAGTGAAGCGCAAAGTCCAGGACTCATGACCTCTATTCCCGTCTACGATATCGCTTCAAACACCTGGTATCTGCAGAACACCACCGGTCAGGCCCCGGGCCAGCTGACAGAGTTCTGCTCTGTCGTTGCGACAGCAAAAGACTCGTCGTCGTTTAACGTCTACATCTACGGCGGCTATGACGGCCTGAACGCCGCTGATGAACCATCCGACGACGTCTGGGTCCTCTCACTCCCAGCTTTCCAATGGATCAAGGCATACAGCGGCACTAAATCTCACGGGCGCTCAGGCCATCAGTGTGTCACTCCATACCCGGATCAGATGTTCGTCATTGGCGGTGTTCACCAAAACCAAGCCAACTGCGTCGAAGGCGGAATTGTCCAGATCTTCAACCTCAATACACTCGAGTTCCAAGATACTTATGACCCCGAGACGTGGTCGGAGTACGAAGTACCCGGTGTCGTGTCCCAAGCAATTGGAGGCAATGGTGCCTCCACAAAACGCGCCGCTACCCTGGATGGCGAATTGGCGTCCATCTTTGCCAAACCCTACTCCAAAACAATCACGCATTATTACCCATACCCTGTCAACGGCTCATCCGACGGCTCCTCTGGAGGCAGTGGAGGCTCGGGCGTCAGCAAAGGCGCCATCATTGGCATCAGCGTCGCCGCCGCCGTGATCGGTCTCCTATTAATCGTCCTCATCATCCTGCTCGTCCGCCGCCGCAGCATCATCCGCAGCGGCTCCTCCGACAAGTCATCCCATTCGAGCAACAGCCGGATCTCCCGTTGGCTCAACGGCGCCTCCTGCGCAACAGCAGGTCAAAAACGTCCTTCACCCCAGCAATGGCAATCCACGCAGAGCTCCCGACAAGAAGTCCAGCAAATCGGCCCCTATGCCTCCCTACCGGACGAGTCAACCCCTCCTCTGCAACCTGTCCGCCACGAAATGGCCAACACGACCGAACGGCCCAAGCCCCCGTTCGAACTGGCGACGGATTACAACAACCTAGACCATCCCCGCCACTCCGGCATTGTCGACTACGCCTACAACACCAACTACGGCCACACGCATTCCAACTCCAACTCGACCTCGAACTCGAACCCAACCTCGGACGAAACCTCCGCGTCCGCCAACCGTCCCTCCCCACCGAGTAACAACAGCCCGTCCCCCGCCATGGGCACAGGCGCCTCCCCGCTACGCAACATGCGCTTCCCGCCCGCCGGGCCCGCAAGCGACATCTCCCCTCCCAGCCAAGAAACCTCGAATTCCACCTCGTCGAACTACTCCTCCACCGGCACGTCCGAGACCCTGGCGTGGCCCCTGCCCGGCTCGCAGAACACATGGCGCGGAACTCGCGGCTCGAGACCAGCCAACGGCAACAACAACAACAACGCCGCGGGCCTCGGCCCAAGAAACCCGTTCGAGCGCGAACACGAGCGCGACCGTGACCGCGACCGAAACAGCGAGAGTTCCTCAGTCCAGCCGATCATGGAGGAGCAGGAACCTGACTCGCCGCACTATGCTCGCGGGTACCCCTTTGCGAACAATGCTCATGCTCATGCCCATGCTCAGGAGCTACCGACCGAGAGAGACGCGGACCAGGACAGGCGGTTCTCGTATCAGCATGGCAATGAGAGCGCGAGTAGTGGGATAGGCACGCTGCCTAGTCCCGTCGTGACGAATGAGGGGGCCATGTTGCCGCCGCAGGATGAGGGCACGAGGCGAAGTCTGTTTGAGACGATCAGCCCGGTGAGTCCGACGGTGGCGAGGAATTGGCATGGCCATGAGAGGCGAGGCTGAGATGATGGTTACGATGAAGAGACGAGCGAATAAAGTGTACGTATTCAGCCTGGATATCCAGACTTAGGTTGGGGCGTCTATAATCTTTTATGTATATCTGAAGACAGGCGTGCGTTTGGCCTTGTGAATTGTACTCTTTCGTGTATAAAAATGCATGATGAGGGCTTGACGATGCAGAAACACACTGCTTGTGAACAGACAAGTCGATTACTCCGAATTCTGTTGTAACAATTGTAGCTCGTAACGAAGGGGCCGGCGAGGCTCAAGTTCCTTTCTAACAGAACAAAGTTTTGAAATGGTACTGCTGTATGAGTGTGTTAATTGATGATCTCGCCCTCAACCCTCGGTCACGAGGTCCGCCGGCGCTTTGTGGCCGGCTCTGTTTCTGGCAGTCTCCGAGCAGTCCCCTTGTTGTTCCCATTCGAGGACGTCTCTACCGTCCATTCCTCGTCTTGAGGAACTCCAACGTCGCGCTCCACATCATGTGGATCTACATTGTGCGCCCACTCTAGTATGGAACTTCTGAGCCGCCGCAGAGGAACCGTCATCAGGGCCGCATTGACACTGTTTCCGGGCGCAAGGTCGAAAGGATACCCATCGGGTAGCAGCACATCAACTGCCTTGAGCAGCTCGACTCGCTCATGTTCATTGTACAGGTGCGCCACCCTCCGGAGGAGCTGTGGGACGTCGATAACTCGGTTCTTGAAGTCCTCAGTTATGGCCAAGATCGTTCTGTACACGTCTGGCTCGTCCGCGAATGATGGTTCGATATTTGCCACGTACGAATGCATGGCTTCGATGAATGGTTGCTCTGGCCACTAACCGCGTCTCGTATCACCAGGGGCCGATATAGGAAGTCCTTCGGGATTTGTAACACCAGGACCCTTGGTACTTTCCAGAACCTCCAGAAAGCCACCCACAAGGTGCAGACTCCCTGTGACAAAAGCAGTGATCACCGGTTCTTGGTCAGATGAAATTTTCGATTCCTCTTCGCTCGCGTTCTGCGTCTGCTCCTTTGCGCTCGAGGGGCTCATCTCATGTGGTTGCGAGATCTTGGTCCTCTCCCCAGTTGGAGTTGTCCGCTCTGCATTCTCATCTCCCCTTTGTTGATAGAGCCTTGCCAAATCTCGGACTATTTCTACTGCTTCTTCGATCGCGCGCACGACTTCGACCTTGGCCGTAGGGTCTATCTTGGCCCATGTCTCAGCCAGACGGCGCTGAACTGTCAAACCCTGAACATCTGACGCGTTCGAGTTAACGAAGACCAGATCCGGCTTGAAGCCGCTTTCTTTGAAGGTCGTGTTAGTACAGAAGATGACGTGGGTAAAAGGCCGTGAATCGTCCAGAGCCTTGGAAAGCGTGGTGAACAGTTCCTCTGCAAAGGCGTTTGCATCCCTGGTCTGCTGATTGAAGATCAAGACGCGGGGTGGTGGATGTAGAGGTTCCGATGATCCGTGGGTCGGTAGTGATTTCGTGACGAGTTGAGACGCAAACCACTCGCCAGCCAGCCTAATACTTTCCAGTGTGTGCGCACCATCGACATACCATTTGATCCCTCTCTCCGTTCTAGTATCACATCGTCCGGGCCACCGAACATTTTGCAGGCCGTTTCTCACCTTCAGAAAAAACTCACGATCGTGCGACTTGAATCCTTGATCGCGAAGCCACTTCCATGCAACCTCAAGCGCGAGAGTGGCATTGATTTTCTGGAACTCTCCTTGGAGCCCAAGCTTGTAATCTCCAGTCTCGATCTTCGGCATCGGCTTGACATACTCGAGGTGGCACCCTTTCTCCCTTGCCACTTTCTCCATAACCTCTTTCGCCTCCTGCGGCTGGCTGACAGGCGTGAAGCAATGGACGCCGTTCTTCATGATACCGGCTTTGTGCCAAGCAATCTGGCCAATGGTATCACCAAGCATACCGACATGGTCAATTCCCAGGCTTGTGATTGCCGTTACCACCGGAGATTCCAGGACGTTTGTGCTGTCGTAGGCGCCACCTATGCCGCATTCGATTACTGCAACATCGATTTTCTCGCTGATGTAGGTGTGAAAGGCCATCAGGGTCAAATACCTAAAATAAACAGGTTTGGCCTTCGTCGACACCGGATCTTCCCCTGCATCTCTTGCAGCATTCTCGAGGCGGTCCCAAACCTCGAAGAAATACTTTGCAAACAATTCCTCAGACAACGGCTCGCCATTGATCTGGATCCGTTCCCGAACAGATGTCAAATGTGGGGAGGTGAACAGTCCAACTTTTGACAAAGGTCTAAAACCGGGCTCATCGCAATCAATGAACTGTGTGAGGATCGAAGAGGTGAAGGCGGCCGTGGATCCCTTGCCCTTTGTCCCGGCGATGTGTATAGCATTCAAGGCATCGAAATCTGAGGGCTGCGGGAGGCCGAGTTAGAGCAAAAAGCAATGTACCGCAGCCTCGAAGGGTTCAGACCTTGTATCCGATCCTGCGGCACCAGTCGATCATTTCAGGAATGGCTTGTTCGTTCAACGATCGCCCCGACTTACGGATGGCGTCGACAATAGCGAAATTGGACTGAAGGGTGTTGAGCGAATTCACGGCATCCTAGAACCCTGTCAGAGTGTTCCACGTGAAATTCTTCTGGGCCGGGAGACTTACATTGTATGTGCGTGACATGGCCGGGGTCGTCGTCGACATTCCACGGACGACGATTCTGACCTGAGCAGAGGCTCTGAGAATCCATCTCTGCATTTCAGGACAGGCATGACTGGGAGCTGACTTACTGCAAACGTTCTACACCAAGGTGAAGGTCTGATAAGATTCGCGTGAGTATGCACCTGCGCGGACGTAAACTTTGCTGTAACGTAATGCTACGGGAGGAATATGTGCAGCAAGGCGTACATCTAGGCGCCGTCGTATGACTGTCATCGAGGTATGTGAACGGGGAGTCAGAACTCTAATCATGCCATGAAGTGAGAAACCGAATGTGAGAGGCGGCCTTTCCCAGCCCGAGTCTGTTATGTGATGGAATAGTTTCGCATAGTGGAAGTCGCCATGGGTCAGTCGCACTCGTCAGAGCCGCCAAAGGAGGTTCCCATCGGTAAGTCGATCGTATCAATGACCGGAAGAGCGGGTTGGCCTGATACTGGGAACTTCATCCAGAGCATCTGAGCCACGAGCTGGCACTTCGCTTCGCCAGCAAATGCTACACGCATTTGGAGATAGCTCACTACAAGGACAACTTCAAGACGCTTGCAGACCACCAGGAAGATGTGGAATACTGGAAGGAAGACACATTATGTCGCTTCCTGGCCCTGCCAGAACCTCTCAAAGCAGGCCCTGTGCTCTACCACATGTGCAGCTACCTTGGGGCGTTTCCATTCCCGAGTCTGGCGCCGTGCATACTGACCCGAGAAGCCATGCTCAAGGTCATCACCATCATGACAGGTAGGTACAAGAAGGTCTTGAGGCGTGGTGACCAGGACAAGGTCAAGCTCTTGTTCCGGAGTCTGGCTGTCTTCGATCGCCGGTCTAGTATGCCTCCGCCAAAGGAGCAACCCACCATGGAAGATGTTGTCAAGGACCAACTACCGGACGAGATGCTGAAAGAGCGAGAAGTCGAGGAAGGCGTCCGCTCGCACGTTGCTGGTTTCGCGATTGACGAGCCGCTGAATGATGACGAGGACGAAGATGATGATGACCTTGCCCTGGCAGCGCTGGATGCTCTTGATGCCATTGAAGTCTTCCAACATGATCAGAAGACCGACCGGAAGATCAACCGCGCAATAATCCCAGCACAGAACCTCAAGAACCTGGTCATGCTCTTGCTCCTCATCGCAGGCATCGAGCCATTGACGCCCCTCGGCGTATATGGCGAGAGCCTGGCCCAGAAAGAGCGGTTCCAAGGCCTCAGCGACTCAGCAGATGCCATTGTAGCAGCCTTCGACCCAGACTCGCGTGGCGAAGGCATCCGATATTCGAATTTTGTGAAAACCATCACAACCACGTTACCGGATCTCTTCGTCCCGTTCAGCGCCTTGTTCGAGCACTTCCTTTTCAGCAAAAACATCAACCTCAATAAACACCGCGACGCGGCCGTCCAACCCACGCCCGATACCCTCGAGATGAGACCATCTCCAATATACAAGTCACCAGAAGATACCACCTTCAGCACCATCCTCACCGACACGCTCCTGTCCCAGCTCTCCATGTCCCTGAAACTGTCCACCTCTCCTACTTCGTCAAGTCCGTCGCTGCAAAACATCTTCTCCTCCAACGCCCGCTTCAATCAACTGTATTCGACCTCGTCGCACGGGACGTCTCTCTCCTCCTTTCACCGCCAGGTCCTCTCCTGGACATCCAGCACCATCGTGCTCATCAGCGGCGCAAATGACAACAAACCCATCCTTCTCGGTGGCTACTTCGCCGAACCATGGCGCGAGAAACCCACCGCCCTCACCCCCGAATCGCCTGCACGGTTCTCCACGCTGTTCCAACTCCTCCCCCGCCACGCGGTTTTCCCAGCAAACATCTACAACCGCACCATCCCGCCTTCGTATTTCAACTCAAAAACAGGTATCGCCTTAGGTTGCATGATCCCTCCTCCGACCTCGCGCACCGGTCCACCACCGCCACCGATTCTAGGCCCCGTGAGCATCCTCCTCGACGGAGACATGGAATCCGTGACATTCAACCACGACGGCTCTTCCGGCTCCGGTGCATTCGTGACCGATCCCGGTCTGGAGGTGGCGCAGACTCACCACTCCGACACTGTCCAAGCCAAGAAAATCACATTCGACCTGGACACGCTGGAAGCCTGGGGCGTATCCTTCCCGCTGGCGGCCCGCTCGGGATCCACCGCTGGGGAGGAGGAGGACGATGAAATCACAAAGCAGAGGAAGAGACTCAAATGGGAAGAAGACGAGGCTGCAAGGCGGAGGGGCGTGAATTTCGGGGGGGACAAGGACGGGGCGAGGGCGTTGTTGGAGATGGCCGGCCTGGTAGGCGACAAGGCTGGCCATAGGAGCGGAGGGAGCGTATGAAGGAGAGATCTGGGGAGAAGGGAGGGCTATTGAGGGGCACAAAGTGCACGGAACGGAGCAATTGGTGGTTTCTAGGCATTAAGATGTTTCTGGTCAATAGGACGAAAGCCGGACCGCCCGGCGTGCTGATACCTGCTCTCACAAACGCCTGTGGTTCTCCCCGGCATACTATATCACAGTGACAGAGAGTCTGATCGGGGGTGTCTGGGTTTAGTCGGCCACGTGTGGACTGACTCTCTTTGAATGAAATCTGGGGTTCTTCCGTAGCATTCTTCCCTCAGACGGCCCTCGACCTTGACCATAGCGGACCGGCAGATGTCCTGACTTAGGCATTGCAGAAATCGAGCACACTTATCCAGCATCCTCCCGCAATCCCCGCCGTCCCTGCGCCTGCTAAACCCATACACGGAAAAGGAGACAAACTCGGAGCCGACGCCTCTTGCAGCAGACTGCTCAAAAATCAACACTGGCAATTTCCAGCAGCGCCGGCTTGGGTCGCCTCCGGTCTCAAGTCCACGCCCGGCCTGGGATTCGCCCTCAAATTCCTGGGCCCTGCCTGGTCCAGCGGCAACTTCTTGGCAATGGCAGTGAACAATTCTTTGACATTTGTCGAGGTCTTTGCGGAGGTCTCGAAGAACAAAAGGCCAGCTTCCTTTGCGTAGGCTTCCGCATCGGCCGTCTGGATGGCGCGCTTGTCGGGGTACTCGTTGACGACGTCGACTTTGTTACCGGCGAGGGCGATGATGATGTTCTCGTTGGCTTGTCGTTGGAGTTCTTTGACCCACGACTTGGCTTTATCTAGAGATGACTGGACATGCCGCTCATTAGCATCGCAGCATCTGCAAGGAGAGGAGTGTAGCGTACAGCTTGTGTGATATCGTAGACCACAACGGCACAGTTGGCATTCCGGTAGTACATCGGGGCCAGTGACTTGTATCGCTCTTGACCCGCGGTATCCCATATTTCGAACTTGACCGTCGTGTTCTCGTCTAACGATATTGTCTGTGTGAGGAAGGCGGCGCCAATGGTGGACTCGCGGTAGTCGTCGAATTGGTCCTTGACAAACCGCAGGACTAATGAGCTCTGAGGGCAGCGTTAGGATGGATGCGACGTGGTGGCAAGGCAGCGGAGTCGATGGAAACAATACCTTTCCTACAGCCGATTCACCTGGACTGCAATTAGCGGTGCGATATGGCAGGCAGAGTGGTCCTCAACATACCCAGAAGGACGAGCTTGAATTGAGCAAACCTGCCGCCTGCGCCTGGTCGGCCTACGGGAGCTCGAGCCGCCATATTGTGTCGTGCTGGCCTCGAGAAAGGCACCACTGAAGTGGACAAGTGTATTTATGAGTAAGAAAGGGTGGAATGCCGGATGTTGGGATGATGGGGTATCGGTGGTGGTATTGTCTCTACCTGGAGTTGAGTTGCAGGAGGGATGAATGATCTGGGCCAAGAAGATGACGATGGCCGCCAGTTACCGACACCGACGGACGCAGGCACAGGCACAAGCACAAGCAACAAGCACAGCCCACCGGCCTGCGTCACGCTCACAATAAAATCCCAGCACCCAGCTACCTTGTCAACAATGATATGATAGTGAAGATCGCGACAAAGACTCCGTAGGCTGTCATCATGGCCAACCTGCTCCCCTTCCGCGACATCAATGTCCACGCCTCCGCCAGTCACTATGCCTTTACATCACCCTCCAACTCGTCTGCGCCGACCCTCGTGGTCGAGAGGCCGTCCGGCGATATCCGGCTCAACAATGGCTCTCTGCTGGGCACGAAACGGGTCTCGAGCATTGCCGGCATTCTGGGCATCATCAAGCTGAAGCTGGACAAGTACATTCTGGTCATCACAAAGGCGCAGCCCATGGGAAGACTCCGCGGACACATGGTGTACAAGGTCGTTGCTACAGAGTTCCTGCCCCTGCGAGAGCGACCGGTGCACGATCCCGACGAGGACACTTATCTTTCCTATCTCAAGTCCTTCCTCGCTTCTGGACCCATGTACTTCTCCTACTCGCTCGACATAACTTCCAGTTTCCAGCGACAGTCCAGCTCGGATCTCTCTCAGCCACTGTGGAAGAGAGCCGATGACCGCTTCTTCTACAACCGCTTCATCCAGACAGACCTGATTGACTTTCGGACGGGCGGCGGCGCGGCAGGTGGACTGCGCGGCCAACAGCAAGCTGGCGCCGACCCATACATCCTTCCTGTCATGTATGGCATGTTGCGCATTACTCCCGCCAAGGTCAAGAACACCGCCTTCACGTTCGCCCTCATCACCAGGCGATCCAGGTTCCGCGGAGGCACAAGATACTTGTCCCGTGGTATCGACGAGCAAGGGCACGTCTCCAATTACAACGAGACCGAGCAGATTGCCTTGTTGAATGACACTTCCGGCCCGACAGGCTATGCTGGCGGCCCGGGGGTTGCCAATGGAAAAGTGGGCGGCCAGCCTTCTGAAACACAGGTTCTTGCCTATCTCCAGACCCGAGGCAGCGTACCCGTGTACTGGGCCGAAATCAATGATCTTCACTACACACCCAAGCTGCAGATCCGTGGCGTGGAGTCTGCAGTCGATGCCGCGAGAAAGCACTTCGACGAGCAGATCAGAATCTATGGCGACAATTACCTGGTCAACCTAGTCAATCAACGAGGCAGAGAAGAGCGCGTCAAGAAGGCCTACGAGCAGGTGGTTCGAATCTTGGTCAACTCTCCAGAGGAGTCGGTCGAGGCCGACCGACGTACGGATGAGAAGTTCCGAGACATTGAAGCCCATGAGCCGCACCAGAGGATGGACAGACTACATTACGTCTACTTTGACTTTCACAATGAAACCAAAGGTCTCAAATGGCACCGGGCCGAGCTGTTGTTGGATGAACTGATGGACGGTCTAAAGAAGGGACAGTATTTCCGCGGTGTGGAAATGCCAGGAGATCCATCGGGCGCGCTTGAGGTCAGGAATCGGCAGACTGCCGTCGTGCGTACAAACTGCATGGATTGCCTAGACCGGACCAATGTGGTCCAGAGCATGCTCGGAAGATGGGCGCTGACCCAGCAATTCCAAGATGTTGGCATCCTGCAACCAGGCGAGCGTGCGCAAGATGACAGAGAGTTCGAATACCTCTTCCGCAACATATGGGCTGACAATGCGGATGTCGTCTCCAGATCGTATTCGGGGACCGGCGCCCTGAAGACCGACTTTACCCGTACCGGAAATCGAACGAAAGCCGGAGCTCTGCAGGATCTTCAGAACTCTTGCACGCGGTATATCCGGAACAACTTCCTGGATGGGCCTCGACAAGATGGCTTCGATCTCTTCTTGGGAACCTATCTGCCTTCAACGTATGGAGTGGGGTCGTCTTTGATGTTCACCGATCGGAGGCCACTCATCATCCAGGCTATTCCATATGTGCTGGCTGCTTCCTTGTTCATCGTCCTCGTCTCGATCTTGACGCGACGACCTCCAGAGGCGGCTATTTGGCCTCTCCGATTGTTTGTGATAGTGTGTCTCGTTGTGGCAGGTTGGTCATTCCAGTTCATCTATTCGCACGGGCTGTTATATGTCAACTGGCCGAAACTCAACACGCCATCTTTTGCAGCTGAAGGATTTTCGGACGCATTGTCGAAAGCTCACAAGGATCCGGTAGTTGGCCCGTTTATCGCCGCGGCGAGTGGCAAGGATAGAAGAGCCCGGAATATCAGCACGGCGAACATGGGATTCATGGAAGAAGGCAAGAAGAGGATAGAGTGACGGCGAGGCGAAGATGATGGTCTGTTGTGCTCTTAGGCTTGATCTTTTCGTAGACTTGTTCCTCCATAGAGATAATGTCCCTGAAGGACTGGCCAGTTCTTCCAGCGTGGTCCCAGTCATGAGGGGAAGATAGTAAGGGCTGTCGAATGGCTCGAAAGGACGCCTCTTTCATCCCATTCAGGACAATTGCCGGACGCCACCCCTGCCAGAGCCATCGGTGGTAGTCTGTAGCAGCAAGCCAAGTCATATATTGTATGTGTCTCCAGGGACGTTGAAGTCTCGCGCATCTGTGGCGGGAAAGACGGGACGGGGACGTGGAGGAGAGCACGTGACACGATTCGCTAGCCTGGCTTGGCAATGGCCCGTGCACCCACTTTCCTCATTCGCACTTTGGACTTTCCCGCTATTTTCGACCTTTTCGACCTCCTCGACGTTCTCTGTCATGAAATGCAGTAAATGCTCCCGCCTTCGCATGCGGTCAAACCTCCCATGCCGCGTCTCCAGCTGGCATGTTGTCTCTGTCTGATTCTCGTCAATGGATCACCATCCGTCCAGACGGGCTGAGCTTCAGCACAGCTGCTCCAGGCGTATCTATCGGCTGTGTACCTTAGTACAGCTTTTCCCTTCTTCATCAACTAGTCTCATCTCGTCCCTGCCACGCCCAGTTACACCCTCCATTATGCTCCGTGTCACTCCGTAGGCCCTATCTCGTCACGAAGAGCAGCCATGGATCCTCAGGTTGCCGGTCATATCACGGGGCAAGCTGATCTCTACTTTTGTGCGTTTTGTTCTCCGAACGTGTGCGGATCGTTTTCTTTACACGAGGATACTCTGAGCGTTCCAGGCCTGCCCTTCTAATCAAGCTTGTTTCGATTTCCCCTTTTTTCATCCATGATGGCCAGACAAGAAGTTCAAATCGGCGACTTAAGAGAGGGAGGCACCTTCGCGCTCTTCTCTCTCCTTTACGTCCTGCAACCATTTTGCAAAGAGACCCGCGGTAGTACAGATGGTCAAGATGGAGCGACAACCTACAAGCGAGCTCGACATGTTCGCTAGGAAAACGCGAGAGTTGATGAAGAGATCCGGCGTCATGCAGTGGTACTGTACAAGCAGACGTAGCTCTGACTTGCACTATTCCACCCTTCCTTCCACTTTCTTGGCCGTCAGAGCCATCCCTTCTTCTCCCGCCATTTTTTTTTTTTGGCTTCAAGCCGCTCCCTTCTCCTTGACAATAGCCAACAGAAAGCCATCAAACATGTCCGCCTCACGCCCCTTATGACCGCTCACGAAACTCACATGCGTCGCCTGCACGCCCTCCATCCCGCCCACCCTGTCGACCAAAGTCTCTGAGCCTCCGGTCTGCTGCAGCGCCGCCCTCACCACATTATCCACGTAAATACACCCGCCAGGCCTGACAAGTCGCACGGCCCACTCGAAATACTCAAACTGCAAATCCCAATCCGCGTCGATGAAAACGAGGTCAAATGGCGCCCGGGAGTCGCCCGCAAGTCTAGGCAACGTGTCCATGGCATCCCCCAATATGATGTCCACACTGTCGGCGTACCCGGCGTGCTGGACGTTCTCGACCGCCACGGCGCGATGATGCCCGTTGATCTCCAGCGAGGTGACGTGCGCGCCGGTGCTCGCGAACCAGATGGTCGAGTAGCCTCCCAGGGTGCCGATTTCGAGCACCCGCCGCGCCGAGATCAGCTGGGCTTGGATGGCCAGGTATTGACCCTGGAGCGGAGAGATGGTGATGGGGTGCAAACCCTGCGCAGCGGAGTTGGTGAGCGCGTGGGTGAGGGCATCGGCGAGAGGGGTGTTGTTCGGCAGGAGGGCCGTGTGGGCTTGCGAGTCGATCTGTTGGATGCGTTGGTACAGGGTCGTGGGGTTGGACATGATGGGTGAGGTTCGCGTGGTGTGGTGTGGTGCGGTATGTTATGCTGTATTGATCACGGGCGATGGATATCTCGTACAGTAGGTCGTGATGGTCGATGATGTTTCGGAGGTACCTCGAGGACAGGACAGAACAATACCTAGGTATACGTACCTTGTGTGGTGACTGCGCTCACAAGGCTGCGATGACTAGGGGCAGCCTGCTACAGTGCGAGTGTATGAAGAATGGCGGAGACTTCGCCTCTGCTCTATTAGACAGGATGGCCTCAGGTTCTATATATACTCCCACATTCCCTCCTTCAGCTTGAGCCTTAAATCCGCCTGAGACCGCGACTGCGACCATGACCGCGATATCAGCGATATGGCCGAGCCCGGGCCTGCTCGGGGATATCAATCAAGGCTGCGAATCATGTCTGCCGTGGAGAGTAGGATGGAGACATTAAAGTGCGACTACCCGCTACTGTATGTACTCCGCAGGAGGTACATTACCCGTACTAAGCAGCTTGTGCAGTACATCTTACCAATCAGAGCCCGTCCAGCGTACAGGAACCCCTTTTTGATCACCCCTTTGTGGGGGACTAGTAGCGGCCTAGGACACAGGCACACGTACGGAGTAGTCCCTCCCTCCTGGTCCTCAGTCCAAGATGCAGGATGCGTGATCACAATCATGGTGGAGGTGGATTGATTCATTGATTGACTGACAAGTCACCATTGCCTCGGACATGGATCATTGTCGCATGTGTCCATTCCCCCCTATGGTAGTTGGCACTGCAGTCTTAATCGTCCGCGGCACTAAACACTAGGTAGCTACCTGGTAGTTAAGTATAACTGCTACGCTACGCTCCGCAGGATAAAAGTAGAGACATCTCTGTCCATGACACTCGTCCCAACAGGAAACCAACTTTGTTTCTCATATCCGTGATGGAGGGCATCCGCAGATGCTGGTCCCAAACCAATCTCACGAACCCCGAGAACATCCATTTTATGCTGATGGCGTTCACATCGACGGCATCGAACCATGTCCATTGTCCCTTCTCATTCGAGCACAATATCCACTAGCTGTGTGTCTTCGCCCACCGCCTCACCGTGCTTGATGCCATGCACGTACGCTTCGCCAAGGAAAACAAAGTGTCCGGTCCGGAGTGGTCGCAGAACAAACGGCAGTAGGACAGCCCGCGAGGATCCACACCTCATCTCTGCCGCGCATGCTCGTCGGTCCAACCCCTAACAACCCGTGTGTCGTCCTCATCACCGTCTCCGGCCCGAGCACAAGTTGAATTCTCGTCGAAACTGTGCGAGAGCCTGCGACCAGTCGACGTATCTGGAGCCGGACGACGCGTGCTGGATTCTCACGAGCTCGTTGCTGACCGAGGAGCCATGGAATATCGAGCCCCCCGGCTCATCGTTGATCAGTTCGAGCCACGGCCTCGTAAGGGCCGTGAAGTAGCGGTCTGGCCAGTGCCAAAAGGATCGAGCGAGCGAGAGTTTCAGGCTCATTCGATGGAATTCTCTGAGCCACCATTTGATGTTGAGATAATTGCTCCATCGACTCCTAGGCGTTACTGCTCCCCTGATGGCTTCGCGGGCCAGCTCAGTGCAGATGTGTGACATGAATTCAGTGGCGCATTTAGGTGGCGTGGGGTGCTGCGTCATGTAGGTATCTGCAACGAGGGTCCGCATGAGGATATCCAATCTGCTGGTGTTGATGGTCCCGTTCCTATTGCACTTGAGTGTTAGAAAACGTCGAGATTCCTCGACATGTCATATTCGGCAAGTGACACGGGAATGGAGAAACTCACTGCGACTCGCTCATCGGATATGGCATAGGGAGTTCGTTGGCGACATCCGCCAGGCTGGACCAGAAGTGCGTCATATCGTCGACATCGGCTTGGACAGGATCAGCGGCCAATTGCTGCACAGTGTCAACCCGGGACCCTTTGGACATCAAGACACGGCGAATCGAGATCGCGACTGTCTGCTTGTCATTTCAGATCGCATGCTGCTTTCCACTTGCAGGATGAAGTCCGCCGTGAAAGAGGATCAGGCATACATTCGACAGAGTAGTCGGGAACCCAGGATGGCAGGCCGCTAACCTCGGTTGCGAAAGTGCCCTCATTGTGGGAAAGGAATGACAAATCCTCCCAAGCGCGCAGAAGTGATCTCGCTGTACGTGTAAACAGACGTTGTGCCGTCATGGAATCAGAATATTCGACTTCTCGCAGGTGAGGCTGTGTGTCAAACGGACGGTGGTTCTTCCTCGCAATTCCCAACAAGGTGTACACCCGATCTCGCGCGTCTTTGCTCTTACAGTAGCGGTGGTTCAGCAGAAGCGACGGTAGCGTCCAAGCCTTGCCAGTCACGACCATCCCGTTTCTGGCATGGAAGAGATGCCACGCGCTTTGACCGGCATGGATTTTGGCCTTCATCAATTTCTGGTAGACCGGAATATTCTCAAGCACCACATTGGCGACGGAGATCTGATCGGTATGGAGGAGCAGAAACCACCTGCTGTAAGTCAAGAAGGACAAGGCGGCCGAGACAGTCTCCCAAGTGTACACCCTCGTCCCGCAGATGAGAAAGATCTCCTTTGCAGCGACCATTTCCTGAATGATCCAGACTCGCTCGGAGAAGGGGCGACACAAAAAGGCCACAAGAGCGAGCCAATGCTGATAAGTCAGCGGCGAGATGTCGAGTTTCGATGGGTAAATCTCTGGCTTCCATAAGTCAGCCGCCGTGACGGCAGTGTACCTGTCGCGCGGGATCGTGGACAAGCTGTCAATGACGGTAAAAACATCAGGAGTTGTTTGGTCTTCCGGTCCTAGCCAGCCTAGTACCTTTTCTGCGGCTGCGAAGATCTCCCCCATCATCCTCACTTGAGCCGCCTTCTCCTTATGGTCTCCTTGATTGATACATATAGCGTCCGCAAATAGGTACTTTGACACAGATCGACCGAACCGGGACAGGTCCAGATCACGAAGCCTCAGTAGCGCCCTGTGCAGGTTCCCCTTGATGGGGATCTTTCGGCCACCACACAACAGATTGAACTTTGCTGTGTCTGTGAAGTTGCTGCTATCATCTATAAACTGTGAGAGTGGGTTTTCCCAGGTGTAAGACAACGCGTCAAAAGCTGGAGCATTGTGCAGGTCTGTAACGATCAGCCTGATGGTGATCGAGTCTTTCAACTCAGGCTGAAGTTCCAGGAGCTGGAACGACTGGCTGGTGGGCAAGGAAGAGTGTATATCCATATTTACGCAGTCAGTCGCTGCAAACATTCAGGGAGCATCGCCTTCAGAAGATCTCGGGACTGTAGAACAGGAGGGGGTGGCTTCAGAGAGTACACAGTTATACTCCATATGCAGAAAAGGAGTCTGGACTGCCAAGAGCTCGTCGCCTACTTCCTTGTCCGTGGCTGTGTTGGGCTGAGACTCAGGCGCCATCGAAACCTCTTCCTGAATTCCATATGGTCAAGTCTTGTGATTCTCGGAATGATGGCTGACGTTCTTCTTAACAGAATTTATTCCAAAAGCGAATGAGATATCGGCCGGAGTTGCTGCTCCGAAATGTGAATCGACACGGAAGACCAGTGAATAGACATGTCAGTTGCTTTCGGCGCTTGAATACCTCCTCATCTAACCTAGACAATACTTGAGCTGAAGACCAAATTCCCTGAATGATGCTTCGTTCTCGTCAAGTCGGCCTGTCCTCATGGTTCACTATCCATAGAGCGAATCCGGTGTGCTGGCCGACCTAGCGCAAGATAGGATACGACTTTGAGACGATGCCATGCTGGACGGCCAATATGATTTGTCGGGGGTGCTTTCGCAGTCACTTGGTCCTCGCGTGCGAGACGAACCCAAAGTCGTTGCATGGCGTCGCTTGATGCCCTGAGATGAAGGCAGTGTGAGGAAGTTCACGCAAGACAAGTCCCACGGGCTTTCTGCACTAGCCCAGAGAAGCCTCTGGAAAATCGGCAAATTAGAGCGCTCGGGTGCTCTTGCATTCGCTTTTCCATAGGAGAATCACTTGCGTCTGTGTGGCTTTGGCGAGAAAGGACTCTGTATCACTGTCGTTTTACCAGATGCTGGAGAGACGCGCAATTAACGAAGCCTTTTGACTAGCCAATCAAGTTTGGGGATCGGCGGCTCGGCCCCACCGGCGGCGCGGTTGAGCTGCAAAAAAAAGTTCCCCGTATTGATAGTAGCGAGCGTTCACTCGTACCTCAGATCTCAATCTGAGGCTAGAAGCCTAGACGTCGTTCCTTTCGTCAAGATGAGTGCGTCGCGAGCTATTGGAGGCTCTTCGAGGCTTCTCAGCACCGTCGTACGCTCGCAAAGCTCAGTTGCTGCGCGTCAATGGATTTGCCGGCGATGCGCGTCGACGGCTGTATTGCAGAACCTGTCCGCAGGCCACCGGTCGCAGGCAGTGCAATGGCCGCTAGATCGTCGGTGGCAGCAGAGACGAGGTGCTGCCGCCGCTGCAGCTGCCATGTGAGATCGATGGAAATGCTTGCTCAGCTTGTCGCTAACGCCGGACAGGCTCGAAGAAGCACAGGACGATCCCGACTCACTTTCTCAGGAGACCATTATTCACAACTTATCACCCGAAGAGGCCCACCGTCTCTCAAAAGTGAGGAACATTGGTATTGCGGTGAGTCGGCGCCTGCAGTTCTATGCACCTGAGCGTCTCCTGATCGCAGCAGGCACATATTGATTCCGGAAAAACAACGGCCACCGAAAGAGTTCTCTTCTACACAGGCCGGATAAATTCCATACATGAGGTCCGTGGCAAAGATGCAGTGGGTGCAAAGATGGACTCGATGGAACTCGAGAGGGAAAAGGGAATTACCATCCAGTCCGCAGCCACTCACTGCGACTGGGTCAGGAAAGAGAATGGCGTGGAAGAAAAGTACCACATCAACTTGATTGACACTCCCGGTCATATCGACTTCACAATCGAGGTGGAGCGTGCCCTCCGAGTACTTGACGGTGCCGTTATGATATTGTGCGCCGTGTCAGGCGTGCAGAGCCAAACCATTACCGTCGACCGACAGATGAGGAGATACAACGTCCCCCGGATCAGCTTCATCAACAAAATGGACAGAATGGGCGCCAATCCCTGGAAGCCCATTGAACAGATCAACAAGAAGCTCAAGATTGCTGCAGCTGCTGTGCAGGTGCCTATTGGTGCCGAAGATGATTTCCGCGGGCTGGTCGACCTGGTCACGATGAAAACAATGTACGCGGAAGGCGAGCACGGCGAGATCATTGTCACCAAGGACGAGATTCCTCCGGAGGTCAAAGATCTGGCTGAAGAGAAAAGGGCAAAGCTCATCGAAACGCTTGCTGATGTGGACGATGAAATTGCCAACTTGTTCCTAGACGAGCAGGAGCCGACGACGGAACAGCTCAAAGCTGCCATCCGAAGAGCCACCATCTCCCTCAAGTTCACCCCTGTCTTCATGGGATCCGCGCTTGCCGACAAATTCATCCAACCCATGCTGGACGGTGTTTGTGATTATCTGCCCAACCCATCTGAGGTTTCAAATACTGCCCTGGATCGAAGACAGAAGGAGGCTCCTGTCAAGCTCATCCCTTACAACTCGCTCCCTTTCGTTGGCCTGGCCTTCAAGCTCGAAGAATCCAACTTTGGTCAACTCACTTATATCCGCGTCTACCAAGGGAAGCTGAGGAAAGGGCTGAACGTCTTCAATGCTCGAACTGACAAGAAGGTCAAAATCCCACGTATCGTGCGCATGCACTCCAACGAAATGGAAGAAGTCTCTGAAGTCGGCGCGGGAGAAATCTGTGCCGTGTTTGGAGTCGACTGCGCATCAGGCGACACATTTACGGATGGTCAGTTGGGCTACAGCATGTCCAGCATGTACGTGCCTGAGCCCGTCATCTCGCTCAGCATCAAGCCCAAGAACAACAAAGACCTGCAAAACTTCTCCAAAGCCATTGCACGGTTCCAGCGCGAAGATCCCACTTTCCGAGTCCACTTCGATAACGAAAGCGAGCAAACCATCATCTCAGGTATGGGTGAGCTGCATCTCGAAGTATACGTCGAGCGGATGCGTCGAGAATACAAGGTTGAATGTGAAACTGGCGCGCCCCGTGTCGCCTACCGGGAGACCATCACGAAACATGTCGACTTCAACCATCTCCTGAAGAAACAAACCGGTGGTGCAGGTGATTATGCGCGCGTGGCGGGCTACATGGAACCCAAGGGTAATCTCGAGGGCAACCACTTCGAAGAGCACATCATTGGTGGCGCCATTTCTGAAAAGTTCTTGTTTGCTTGTGAGAAGGGTTTCCATCTATCATGCGAGAAAGGCCCCTTGATCGGACACAAGGTTCTCGGTGCAACTATGGTCATTAACGACGGTGCAACTCACATGACGGATTCCAGCGAAATGGCCTTCAAGAACGCCACGCAGCAGGCCTTCCGCAAGGCCTTCATTGAAGCCGAGCCTGTCGTGCTCGAGCCGCTGATGAAGACGGTTGTGACTGCCCCGACCGAGTTCCAGGGCAATGTCGTCGGCCTGTTGCAGAAACGTAATGCCACCATCACTGATACTGAAGTCGGCGTCGATGACTTCACCGTCTGGGCAGATGCGAGTCTGCAAGGCATGTTTGGGTTTAGCGGCAATCTGAGAGCTGCGACCCAGGGCAAAGGCGAATTTAGCATGGAGTTCAGCCACTATGAGCGAGCACCGATGCAGCTGCAGAAGGAACTGCAGAACGAGTACCTGAAAGCACAGGCCGAGCGGAGCAAGAAATGAGAAGGCGGCGCTCCGCCACGATTCCAACCTGCTGATCTTGACCTGCTAAGGAATGGGCGACATGTGACGATTCTGTGCCCGTTGTCATATCTCTCAGACCTCGCGAACAAACGTCATGATCACGGCGCCTAGCAGCTCGTTGATGCAGCCTTAGCACTCGCGCAGAGTCGGTGTGGACAGATACGTGACAGCTATCAAGCGGGTACCGTTGGCGATACATGAACGCAGAAGGGACGAAGGGAAGAGAATGAGTGGTGTAAACATCATCTCGCGACACACTCCGTGCCGGCGAGCACGAGTCCGCATACCCGCAGCCAGAGTGCAAGGGGCATTTACTGCACATCTGAGGCCGCCGATGCCTGAGGTGAGGCAACCGACCTGTCCGATACTAGGTACCATTCATCCCATGTCTTATTACCACTCTACTCTCAAAGTTGATGTCGATGTCGACGTCGACGTCGACGGCAAAAGCTACAACGTCCCAAGTACGAAATCGGAGCAAATGAGTTTCCATATTATTCACGGATATCAATTCAGCCTTCCTGCCGCAAACCATGCATGTGTATGTGCGTGCGTATCCCCTTCGTCTCTTCCAAAGCTTCACCCCTAACCTTTCTGGGCCCATTTCCCAACTCCCGTGTCCGGCAGCCCTGGCGAACGATGATATATTCCCCTGGCACTTCCCCCCCTTTGCTCGTTTCGTGTGATCACGACTAACGTACTCTGGCTCTGGCTCTGCCTCTGCCTCTGCGCACGGTGCTTGATCTGCACTACTCGTATCCCTCTGGAGCGAAAGCGAGAGGTCAGTCGCTGTCGGCAACCGTAGACACAGCCACTATTCACGACGAGGATGTCTGTCTCTGTCTCTACCGCGCGAAACAGGGGCTGGAAGGTACAGGTACGGGTAATTTACACTATAAGGAGGAGGAGCTGGGGACGCAAAGTCGGCACAAGCACGACGGGATATTGTGGCGGAGCTACAGTAGAAGGAAGGCATCTCTTGCTCTGACTTACACAGTACGAATACATGGAAGGTACAGTCCCAGTATGTCGAAGGAAGGCTAGATGGTCGAAATGTAAGTGCCCGATGCTGTGGAGATATAGCCCGGTTGACAAAGAAGTGTGTGACAGGGAGCTCGTACTGTTTACTGTATGTCCTCGAGTCGAAAGGTTGGGAAGAAACTCACAACCAGGACCTGGACTTTGTACTTGGACTCAAGGCGCGGCATGCTCTGGAGGGCGGTTACACTGCTCGCTCGATCACAGCGACGAGAAAGGGGAGATTGCCGAGGAATACTCCGTATGATGTTTGCAGTGTTCCTACAACCAAAATCCTTCTCATCTAATCATGACTGCTCAGATGTCCTTCTTGATCAGATCAGCACCCTTCTCAGCGACAGCATAAGTAGTCGCCATGATGTTCCTGTCCAAAAACACCATTAGCATATTGCGCTCACACCCCCGAGAGAGAGAGAGAGAGAGAGAGCACCGCCGACTTACCCAGAAACATGGCCGGGGAAGATACTCGCATCCACGACCCTCAAGCCCTTGACGCCTTTGACCTTTAGGTCGTTGTCCACCACCTCTCCTAATGCGCATGTCCCAATCAAATGATACTGGGTACTGATATGATTCTTCACATAGTCGATCCTCGCCTCCTCGGTCTCCAATGCCTTGCCCTCCGGTGGTAACTCCCGTTGCGCAAGACTCTTCGCCAGAAGGGGGTGTTTGGACACCTTTTCCATCCACTTCATACCAGCGGCGAGGATCTTGGCGTCGACCTCGTTACGGAAGTAGCCGGGATCAATTTCCGGTGCGGCGAGCGGATCCGACGATTTGATGTGCACAGTGCCGCGCGAGAGAGGATGTTCTAAACACATCAAAAGGGAGAGCTGTCGTTTCCCATTGTGTGGAGCGTCGAAGAATTGCGTTTGGTCAGACCCCTTGCCAACGTCAAGGCGGCAGGGGATACAGAATGTTTGCAGATTGGCGAAAGTTGGGTCGCGGAGTTGGTCAACGATGACCTGGATCACATACTGTCAATCAGGGCGACAGATAAAAGCGGGCTGTAGACGAGGCTTCTACTCACTTTTTCCTGTGCCTTCTCGAAGTCCGTCTTCGCCAGCGACTTTTGCTCGATCTCCTTGATCGTGTCTTCCAGCTCTTCGGGAGATGCCACGGATGCATACGACACGAAACCCATCATCATGCCAGGACTGGCGTACGGTCCTTTCTGCGTCTTCTGGTACACATCCTGCTGCATTTTATTGAATTCTTCCTCGTGGAGAGCGTCCATTGAATCGATACCGGGTTTCAAGTCGAAGAGGAGTCCGCCGAGGACGTGGTCCTGGAAGTTCGCACCCACGCCTTTGTTTTCAACGACACATTCAACTCCAGCGGCCTGCAGAACCTCGGGGTCACCAATCCCAGAAAGTTCAAGTAACTGCGGGCTCTGGATGACGCCAGCTGACAAGACAACCTCCCTTGTGGCCTGCACGGTATGCTTCTTTCCCTTGTGCACGAACTCCACGCCCGTTGCTTTGTTCCCATCCAAAATAATCTTTGTAGCTTGCGCCTCGGTCAAAACTTTCAAATTCTTTCTCCCGAGATTTGGTCTTAAATAGCCTGTGGCCGCATAGCTCCGCTTTCCGGGGTCATCGCTCCTGTTGACGGCGCCTAGACTGGAAAAGAACCCTAAATGGTCGCCGCTCCACGCGTCACTAATGGTTTTTGGTGTGCCAGTGACTTCGTGCGCGGCTTTGGCAAAATCGACCTCAAGAGGCATGTACCAGTCGTTGAAAGACGTGTGGATCGGGCCCGATGTGCCATGGAATTTATCCCCGCCGGCGATGGGCATGAATTGAGGATCGTCGTGTAGTTCGGTCCTGTCCAGGGTTTGCGATTTCACAAAGTAGCGCGCCAGGCCGTCCCAGCCCCAGCCAGGATTCCCCATCGCTTCCCATCCGTTTAAATCATTTCGGCTCGGACGGACATACATAAGGTACTAGCGTGAGATCGCTGTTAAATACGCCGACGTCGTGGTGAGTGCAACAGGGGGTAGGATCTGAGGTGCTTGGAGGATTGAGGAAGTGAGCTCACATTGATACCAGAACTGCCGCCGAGGATTTTGCCCCTGGGCATCGAGTAGATCTTATTGCCGGCATTGGGTTGTGGGATGGAGGTCATACACCAGTCATATTGGGGACGGCCGATCTGACCTGTGTCAAAATATGCCTCGCAGATACCGCTGGACACTTTGACCTACCAGAGTAGGGTAGAGAGACGGGGTCGACACACTCGGGTCATCCATGCGGTTCTCTCCGGCTTCCAACACAGCCACGGAAATGTTCGGATCTTCAGTCAGTCGAGCAGCAACCACGAGGCCGGCCGTGCCCCCTCCGACAACAATAAAGTCGTATTGTCGAGAGGTGAGGTCCTCCACAGAGCAGAGTGCACTAGAGGTGCCATTGACGTGGCCATTGACGCCGTTCGTGACTGACATATTGGCTTGATGGTTGTTCTTCGATCACCAGTTCGATGGAAGCAAAGACAGCGCGGAATTCAAACGGCTGGGTGTCCTTCTAAGAGGCATATCAATACCAGATGCAAGTCATCTCCGGCTAGACACTATACCATGTCGGCGTTCCCCCGCATAATGCCGCCGGAGGTGATCAGCCCGAGGAACCAGATTTTGCGGGGTGCAGCCAATCGCGAGAATCCACGGTTGTCTCCATGTCGACCGAGCAATGAAACCCAGAGGAGGAGAGGCCTGCGGACTTTGTCTTCGGGTTTTCATCTCGGAATCATGGATAGCACTTGGTTGCTTCACGGGAATGTACCCGCGGCAGAGCGTCCTGCAACATCGGAAGCGGTTGTACAGCAGGCTAAGCTGCAGGCTTCCCGTTGCGGAAAGAAGAAAACGTCAGGCGGACAGCAAGGACGCGAGGTCAAGTGCATAGCGCTGGATTGCAAGGTAAACAATGATGCTTTGGGAAATTGTGAATTATGAAAATATGAAAGTGAGGTGAGGGTAATAGTGAAGTGAAAGTTGGATCACGTGCTGAAGTGCACGTGATAGCGCCAAGAAGCCACACCTAGACTGTAAACGCTGTACCGGGTGTGACCGGGGTACCTCCGTAAGCACTCCATGCTGTCTCGACTGTGCTCGTTGGCGATGTCGACTGAAGTTGAAAAGGCAAGCATTCCAACACACGCGCACACGGTTGCTAGAAATTTCTTTGCGAGCCAAAAATAGGGAATCCGGTTTCGGTTGCGTGCTGCTGAGAGGAGAAGAATTTTCACGTGAGGCTGCGGCTGGCTACTGGAATTGTTCGAAAAGGGCCAGCACATGCGAGTCGTGGCTCTTGCCGATGTCACCGTCTCGCACGGCACTGCCTCCCCCTCCCCCTTTCGGTAGCCGAAGATTTAGATTTCCGCAGCTCGACACAGGACAAGCGACTCAGTACACAGTACTGTGGTACTCAGTAGGAGCCACACAGTACGCGCTATTGCTTGATTACGGGCACTTAGTCACCTTCGTATTACCCAGTACTAGCAACGCTCGCCCTATTTGATGTCTTCGATCTTGTTACATCGAGGTCGCCTCGAACTGCTTTTCAGCGGCTGTGGCTCCATCAAGCACTGATGGTGGCGTTCAACCTTTTCAGCTGAAGCACCAGCTAACCGACGACGACGCAGGCGAGTGGCTCCCCGGTCTTGAACTCTTGGGTGCATAGCCAATGCCTTGGACCTAATTTGGCAGTACGTGCAGAACATGTGCATGAAGCTCTGGGTCTTTTGTCCTGTGCATTGCCATTTCGGACGATTCAGATGCCCACCTTTCTCGGCAACGGAGCGCACGTTTCAGCCTGCATTGCAGATATCCACTGCCACTGTCATGCTGGTGAGCAACACGTATGCAGGACCTGATCTTCTGCATGGAGGGCTTATGTATATCTCCTCTTCGTCGGGATGCTGATCACTTCTCTATTTTGGCTCTTGTGTTATCTTGAATCCACCACAGCTTTGTGGCTCGATCTCACTCTGTCCGACTACCACTTGTTCCCTTTGCACAAGCTGTCATTACAGCACCGACTCTTCAGTCCACGTCCGGGCCCGACTTACTCCTGGTCACCGGAACCCCCGGCTTTACGGGCATTCTCAGACCATCCGCACAGTCGACTTATTCAGCACATCCCACCTCAGACGACACACGTCATTCGGTCCACCTGCACGAGCCTGATCATCTTCGAGCAGAGACATTTAATTTACCATAAATCCTCTATCTTCGGCCGACTGCTATCAACCACCAGTCCGAAGTACAAGCCAGACCAGCATGTCTCACCAAAAGACCTCCAGTCGGTACTATGCCGAGTACGAGCGAGCACTCGAGAAAGCAGTTGATCGGTCCAAATCAACACCGCCGTCTACCACTTCGTCACGAACCTCATCCGCGACCTCACTCCAACCAACATCTCCAGTTGCAGAGTGGTGCCATCAAATGCACATGATTCAGAACCGGAAATACCAGTGGTGTGAAGGTTGCTATCCCCGGCCGCCACCACCACCATCAAACATAAAACTGCCCTCGCAGAGGGTCTTGCAACAATCAAGGAAGACGAACGAACCTGGCCACGCGTATCAATAAACTTTCGTCCGGCATGAGATATCGGCACCAAACATTTGCCCAAGCTTTAGCAGGGTGTTGGCGGCGTTTCGAGAAAGCCAAAGGCTCTCATTTAGATTTCAGACAAGAGGTTGATGATTTATGATTATTCTACTGTACAATCATTGGTTTCGATAGATGAATCTTCTGGTTACCGTCACGAACTGCCATTCATGGCCCTCGTGCTGGCAGCCTTCAGCTTCTCAATCTGGTCTTGGAATCTCCGCTCATATGCTTCCTGCTTGAAAACCTGTATCCGTGTTAGGGACGCCACTTCCCACGTCTGTAGGGCTCCCCTCATGCGTACGTACTCTCGTGGCATCGAGTGCGGTGGGTTGCCCGATCTCGGGGTCGGCTCCAGCATCTAAAAGGATATCGATGACTTCCGGCTCGTTCTTAAACACGACACCTGCCAGGATTGACTGCCCCCTATCGTTCAGCCGGTTGGGGTCTGCACCATGCTTTACCAAGAGGGAGGCCAAGGGGGCGTGGCCGTGGTAAGATGCAAGCATAAGCTGAGCGGGTTAGTCACACCACTTGTGGGGAGAGACGCGTCTCAGTCTGGAGAAGTCCCCTGATAGGAGAAATACAACCAGTGCCTGTCCTTACCGACGCAGGGGAACGGAACTCACCAGGGTGTCACCCTTGTCATTTGTCAGGTTTGCAGGCAGACCACGCGGTAGAGCCTGCTCAAAGATCTCTGTCTGACCTGACCTGGCTGCATCAAAAAATCTTCCGGCTAGAGCGATTGCCTCGGGCGGGAGTTCGTCTGCGGAATGTGAGACAGCTGCTTCGACAGGCAGCGTGGAGTCCATTGCCGGACTCAACTGGTATTATTCTATTGCTGACAGTGGATGAAGGTCCGGTCTGGCAAGTGCTTGGCCAGTATATATGCCTGGTTCAACATCCAAACTCCTCCCGAGCCGGGGATGTGTAAAGCAAGGCGCGCACGGTGATTCATCGGGATGACGTCGATATTTGCTCGTTTCAACGCGCTTTGCTGACAAGTCCCGATCTGGTGAATGCGCGCATACCTAGATTCGAGTGAGTTACTCGTACAGTGCCGGGCTTCCCGAGCCCGGGCTATAGCAAAGCCGCGGGAACTAGGGCGAAGCCTTCTTGGAAAGTGATCTTTATACCAAGCACCCGCAGGTAACATGGAGCATGATAGAGCGCTGATCGTATCCACTCGGTGCAGCCTTCCACGTGAATCTCAAGGCTGAAGACGCCAAGCCGCTGTGCTGGAATGGGAATAGCGCATTTCAGATTGCGTGCTCAAGGATATCGCTGATTGTCTGGACTGAGCATGGGTGGAACCTTGCTTCCCACCAGCTCACTTGCTCCCTGCGTAGAAGAGCTCCTCCCATGGGCTACTCGTGGGCGGCACCTTGCTACTGCTGATGCCATAAGAGCTGGAGCATGCATCATGAGGGGCAACCCATCAGCACGTCTTTGCTGGTCCCCTGCCCCTCACTGGGTGGCAGGGATTTGTCCGCCAAAGGCGTGAGTGTTGTGATCGAAGAAAAAGATTTGTCGTCGCCATATGAGCCCAGATTTCTTCGCGAGACTTCTTTTTGCGACTGACATTTAACCCATCACCTATATAACCACGCTATCGTTGCTGGTCTAGATCCTCGCTGCCTTTCTACGCTGCTCCTCACAGGATACTACTTCCCACATATTACCACACACAACCCAACACAACAGTCAAAATGGGTTCTACTGGCCGTCCTGAACCGTGAGTGATTTCCACAGCGCTCAACGGCGCCCATTACTGACGGTCACTATAACTAGTCTACGCTTGGGTTCCGTTGCCCCCAACTTCCAAGCCGAGACCACCAAAGGCCCCATTGACTTCCACGAGTTCATCGGCAACAATTGGGTCGTCCTGTTCTCCCATCCCGAAGACTTTACCCCCGTCTGCACCACCGAGCTGGGAGCATTTGCCAAGTTGGAACCCGAGTTTACAAGAAGAGGCGTCAAGTTGATCGGTCTTTCTGCAAACACCATCGACAGCCATGGACAGTGGATTCAAGACATTAATGAGATCAGCGGCAGCAATCTACAATTTCCGATTATTGGCGACAAGCAGAGACAAGTTGCGCTGTTGTACGATATGTTGGATCAGCAGGACGCCACCAATGTTGACGAAAAGGGCATTGCGTTCACTATCCGATCTGTCTTCGTGATCGACCCCAAGAAGACCATCCGCACCATTCTCTCCTACCCTGCCTCAACTGGTCGCAATACGGCCGAGGTCCTCCGCATTGTCGACTCTCTACAGACCGGCGACAAGCACAAGGTCACCACTCCCATCAACTGGGTTCCGGGTGATGACGTGATTGTGCACCCGAGCGTCAAGACCGAGCAAGCAAAGGAGATCTTCCCCGACATGAAGATCATCAAGCCATACCTGCGGACGACACCGTTGCCCAAGGACAAGACCAGCGCTGCTTGATGATGGTGACGGGAATTTGAGGAACGTCGTGTTATATTTCCAGAACATGAAAGTCGTTCCCACCAAGATAGCTAGCGCGTCGAGATACTATGGAAACTACGTTATTCCGAATTAACTTCACTTATCTTGAGACACGCGACTGGTGATGAAGTACGTGATATTGCACAGCGCGTATACTGCCATCCAGCGCGTGCATCAGTGGCCTCCGTTAGCATCGGAATAGAGCCACCGTGCATACGCCACCGATCGTCTTCCTGCGTCATGTGCTGCCAGATCTCACGGATGCGACAGCGACGGCATTGCTGCCCTTGACCCTGGTCTCAGAGGGACCTGACTCCGGAGAAGGAAGCAGAGGATTTGTGCGTGTCATTGGCTGACGGACCTTTAAACGCGTGCTAGAAGCCGGCTTGGCATTCGGCGCACTCCACCGCCACCGCTGCCGCCATGCTGAGAGACTCGCGGCCATCTAGACCTTCGGGGCACTATCCTCGCTACACAACCCCATATCCCATATCTCATATCAGAACCCTCCCACACTCACCGACAGCGTTGTACAGGCCTCTATTGCTCTCCTCTTCAAAGCAGACTCGGGGAACCGGTGCAGCACGCTCTGTACCCGGCCAGTTGTTGTCGCGTTCCGCCCGCAGATTTCTTCAAGCGCCCCCTTTTCTTTTGACGTCGGCTGAAGTGACACGGGGAGAGGACAACCCTTCACGAAAACAGTAACATCCCGAGACAACTTCTTTGTCCTCTCGGTAAGTGACCTGCCTGATGACCCTCAGCTTGCATTGGCGCTTGACGGCGCCTTGGGGGACCCGATTCTGATCTTAGCTGTTGGACCGGTCGCCGCGGGCGAGCGAACTCGTGTTCATCCCCTCTACACCCTTGCTGAAAGATTTGAAAGAGAGGACAATGCAATCATGCTACTTTGCCGCCTCTGTCGTTTTGTATTCCTTGCGCTTTCGTGTGCGGATTCTGCACCATCGCACTCGTTATCATTGTGTTTATCTCTCCCGTCCGTCTTGGAATCGAGCTGACGATGATGGCTAGGTTCCGACGGAAAAGTACTGGGAGGCAAGGCTCTATACCGTGGACGTACAGCAAGCGCTTCCTGACTTCGCATCTTGACCCGCCATCACCAGAAGAACACGATTGGCCGCCTACTCCGCCGTCGACCACTGAGGCCGACTCGACATCAACTATCCCCAGCGTCTTTTCGGACTGGCACGACCCCTCCTCGCTTTCCTTGTTAGTGCAGGGTACAGCTAGCAGCCTCAAGCAGCGACACATACCCATCGGCATCTCGAAGTATCGATTGACGAAACTACCTGTTCATGAGTATGTGCCATCCCCGGCCACGAAGTCTCCGACCTCAGCACGATTGCCACGATATGTACCCATAATCATCCCGGATTTTGCGCAGCCATCGGTTGCCAGAGAATTTGACCCTGCCGTCTCGAGGTCCGACTTACAGACCGTCCGAACGACTAATTCATCACCAACGACACCGACCTTGAAGAACTGTGCCAAGAGATTGAGAGGCTCGGATGACGCTGATAGTCTTAGCACATCGACGCAATCACATACGGAGAAGATTTCCAGACCACTGCTGCAGATAGAAATGAACAACAGCCAGGTAAGCCTCGTTGCTTCAGAGGCAAGCAATGAGGGCGCGCCGGGCTTGAATCAGCCCGTCAATGGTGTTGGGGGCAGTATTGGCATACCTTCTTCAGCCCCGCAGCAAAGCTCTGCTCCCACCAACTTATCAGGGTTGGTGTGCAATGTGCACAGAACCACTGGTGAAGAGCCCCATGCATTGGTGGGGGCAACCACAACGATCCTGGGCGACAAACTATACGTCTTTGGTGGGCGCATCCACTCAAGGACGAAACCGCAGTTGACTTCAGACCTGTATGAACTGGACCTCATCCGCCGACATTGGACCCGGCTTGAAGCACTTGGGGATATACCACCACCTCGATACTTCCACAGCGTCTGCGCTCTTGGAGATTCGAAGTTGGTGTGCTATGGTGGCATGTCCCCTGCTGCACACGCCCGAAACGGCATCAACGCCCAAGTTGCCAAGTCAGCCGCTGAGGGACAGCCCGAGGTCGTCGTCATGTCCGACATACATGTCTTCGATGTGCCGACCAAGAAGTGGACGCTGATATCCACGTCTGAGAATCCTCAGGGGAGATATGCCCACTGTGCAGCCATACTTCCATCTTGCGCCGCATTCACCTCCGCTAACGCGCCGCTTTCGGCCATCCAGCACAACCCCCCGTCCGCAGATCCTCATTCAGGTACCTTGGGAGTACAGCTAGATGGGACTGGCGGTGCAGAAATGGTCGTGGTGGGTGGTCAGGATAGCAACAACAATTACATTGAACAAATCAGCGTCTTCAACCTCCGAAGTCTGAAATGGACGAACACAACTGCGTGGGATCGCAAGTGCGGTGCATACAAAAGCATGGTGTCGCCTATGACTGGACTGTCGGCCGAATTGATTGGACGCGGTGTACCGTTGAACGACCCACACATGCAGACAGCAAGTTCGCGACCTGGGACTTCTATGTTGATATATTCCAACTACAATTTCCTAGACGTCAAGTTGGAGCTGCAGATCAGGTTACCTGACGGATCGATGGTCGAGAAGCCCATGACAGGCTCAGTTTCTCCACCTGGACTGCGATTCCCGAATGGAGGCATCATTGACGGCCATTTTGTGGTGAGCGGGACTTATTTGACATCTTCGAAACACGAGTACGCTTTATGGGCGCTCGATCTGAAGACCTTGACCTGGGCGCGCATTGACACCCACGGGTCCATCTTTTCTCAAGGCAGCTGGAACAGGGGCATTTTGTGGAACCGGAGGAATACATTCGCTATCCTGGGCCATCGAAAGCGGAGCCTCGTTGATGACTACAACCATCGGAGAATCAATTTCAGCCACGTCTGCATGGTCGAGTTGGAAGCCTTTGGTCTCTACGACAATCCGAGGAGAGAGGCTGCTACTTCAGGCTATGTGTCACTCTCTGCTCCAGCTGTTCCACCGTCCATGCAAACGGGTATGGTGAGTGTGGCTGCTGGAGGCCGACCACTCAATCATACTGCTGAGCAACTGGGTCAGGCAGCGCTGGCGCTGGCGGAATTCTCTGACATGGAGATTGTGGCATTAGGTGGTGAGAAGATTCCATGCAATTCCTACCTTCTTTCTAGGCGATGGGGTCCGTTTTTCAATCAGCTTCTGGTCGAGTCGGCAACGAATCACGACACCGTTAGTCTGTCGGACGGAACGACATTGCGGCCCAGCATACGGTCGCAACAGAGTCGTAATTCTTCTCTGACAATAACGCC